TGTGTGCAATGACCAACAGGAGGCAGACACTCAATGCACAGACATGGAAACATGGGACAGACTGATGACTCAACGAGGGAAGAAGGTAAGGGGGGGCGGGTGTGGAAAGAGATTAACCAAAGATTTTATATGCACATTAGAGGCCCTGTGTACCTGTGGGGTCCCTCGTCCTGGCCTGTGGGGATCTCCACCATCTCCCAAGGGGTTCTAGATTGCAAAGAGGACACAGGTCAGGTCAAGGGACCCCACCAGTGCACGGGCCTTTAGTAATACAGGTGTGTGAGTGGTTTTTCAAGTTACTGGAGAAAAGATGAGAAACAAGCAATCTCATATTGACAGTGGGAGAATAAATTTTAGTAATTTTTTTGAAAGGCAATTCGATATCTATCAATATTACATTTCAAATATAAGAATACTTTGGCCTAGCAGTGTTGCCTTTAGGAATTGGTACCAAATATTTCTTTAATGATACATTTTGTCTAATTTACAAATTGTGATGATAAATCAGACTTTTTGATGCTGTTTTATTCGGAATTATTTTTGTAAATTGTATGTCACAGCCCCTTCCTTCCTTTCTCCTACTTTCAAGAGCTTGTGGCCCCTAAAATTAGGATAGCTTAAAGAGATAATTAGTGATGAAGTGATTTTTTTTAAGTGGCACAACCAAGATCAGTTGTAGAGAAATAACTACAAATGTTGCCTTTGAGTCATTTTTTCTCCCCCTTTTCATGCTTCCTGGGGTGAAATTTTTGGCATGCAAACTTAAAATTTTGTTATGTCTAATACAATAAAAAGACAGTATCTTTAGGTTTGGAATTAAAAAACCTTGTTTCTAGTGCCAGTTGTTCCACAGACCAGCTCTGAGATTTAGGGTGAAGCAAATTTACCCTTGTAAACTTTGTTTCAGAGCCAAGCATCTTAACCTATTTAGTATCTGTCTTTCTACTTCAGTTCCTCCAGTTCATTCCTTAACCCATTGCAAACTAGATTTTATCCTGCTACATCTCTACTCAAGCAGCAAACACCTCCTAATTTCAATACATAGAGTACATTTTCCTCCCTTTTTTATTTGACGCTGCTGTTTCTCCCTTTTAAAAATTTATTTATTAATTTCCTGAGTAAATCATATATATATATATATATATATATATATATATATATATATATATATGTATATATGTATATTTGGTAGTAAATACAGACATGTATAATGAAAACATAGAAGCGTTCCTTAATTTCAGCACCCAGAAATAAACACTGGCATATTCACTGCCATTTGTATGTACACTAGATGCCAGATGCATGAAATTCATGCAAGAATAGTCCTTCCTTCTCCCTGCTGCCAGCACCGGCTTTCCTCTGGCACCCGGGACCTGGCTTCCCTTGCAGTCCAGGCTTTTTTTAAAAGGTCGTCTGGGCATGTGGAGGTATTATTGATATGAGAAAATGCTAAGTAACTGATTTACTATCTGAAAAGGGATTTACTATTGGGGAAATTGAGGGAAGAAGAGACTGAACATAAACTGCACCTATGGATGAGGACAATGGGAGATGGGGGGGGGGCGACGGAGGGTGGGATGGGAACCTGGTGGAGGGGGGAAGAAATGAGGAACCTTTGTAATATGAACAATAAAGATTGATTTAAAAAAAAAAATAAAAAAATAAAAGAGCAAAATAAATAAATAAATAAATAAATAAATAAATAAATAAATAAAAAATAAAAGGTCGTCTGGAAGGACATCTGGAAGGATATCCAGTCTAATTAGCATATTAAGCTTTTATTATAGACTAGAGGCTTGGTGCACAAAATTCGTGCATGGGGGGTTCCTCAGCCCGGCCTGCACCCTTACCAGTCTGGAACCCCTTGGGGGATCCAGCTACCGGATTAGGCCTAATTCCGCAGGGAACAGCCCTAAACGGCCAGTCGGACATCTCTCTCGCAATCCAAGACCACTGGCTCCTAACCACTCACCTGTTTGCCTGCCTAATGCTCCAACTGCCCTCCCCTGCCAGTTTGATCTCGCCCCTAACGGGCCCTCCTCTGCTAGCCTGGTTGCCCCCAAAGATCCTCCCCTGCAGGCCTGGTCATCCAACTGCCCTCCTGTGCAGGCCTGGTCACCCCCAACTGTTCTCCTCTGCCAGCCTGGTCACCTCCAACTGGCCTCCCCTGTCAGCCTAGTCGCCTCTAACTGCTCTCCTCTGCCAACCTGTTAGGACCTCACCCCTAACTGCCTCTGCCTCGGCCCCCACCACATGGCTTTGTCCAGAAGGAAGGCAGACATCTGGAAGATGGCCGGTTGACCCGGTCAAATGAGCATATCACCCTTTTATTAGTATAGATGTCTAGTAAAGTTGGGATTATATTTATACACTGCTTTGTATCCTGCTTTTTGTTTTCATAACATTAATATTGTAAGCAGTGAATTTTAAAGGCTGTATAGTTTTCTTATTATATGGTTATTCCATAATTCATTTTATTGGTTTTTGTTCTGATAATTTTAGTTTGCTTCTCCTAAAATATAAAATAAATATATTTTATTGATTTTCCACAGAGAGGAAGGAAGAGGGATAGAGAGCCAGAAACATCAATGAGAGAGAAACATTGTCCAGCTGCCTCCTGCACACCCCCTGCCAGGGATATGCCCACAACCAATGTACCATGTTTCCCCAAAAATAAGACATCGTCCGAAAATAAGACCTACTTACAGGTTTTCTTCTGAGTGAAATATAAGGCATCCCCCGAAAATAAGGCCTCCCTAGGCTAAACATGAGAGATTTGGTCCACTGATTCTGAAAGAAATGGAGTCACAAGAAATTCACCAGGAAATTCAGGAATTAGATTGTTATGATGATGTTCCAGAAGATGATGACATGATTGTCATTGAATAAATGAGTAAATTCTTGATACTGTAGGACTCACAGTTTGTCTGGTTTGTGTTGACAACTACCGTATTACCGTACCATATACAGGTAATAAATTTCCTTTATTTTCATTTAACAATAAATGTGTACCGTTTTCTTCTTCATGGAAGAATAAGACATCCCCTGAAAATAAGACCTAGCGCATCTTTGGGAGCAAAAATTAATATAAGACACGGTCTTATTTTCGGGGAAACAGGGTACATGCCCTTGACCGGAATCGAACCTGGGACCCTTCAGTCTGCAGACCTTCGCTCTATCCACTGAGCCAAACCGGTTTCGGCTGCTTCTCCTATTTTGTACCTTTCCCCTGCCTCTTTCTTAGGTTTCTTTTTATACCTCCCTTTTAGGTTGTGGTGGTCTCCCTTATTTTCCTTTCACTGTTCCTGAGTGTCCCACAGGGACCTGAAACAGATGTAACAAGGATAAATAAACTATATGTTTCCCTTAAGGGGTGTCAAGTGGGCAGAAAAGGGTGGTGGATAAGGACAATAATCCTAATGAAATCCTGTGCAGCCTACAAGCCTGTGTGCCCTTCCTTCCTTAACTTTCTAGCCTTCCTTTTCCTCCTAGTTCCCTTAATGTAAACCTGCCTTTTTATCTTTCTTTCTCCTAAATTTACACAAAAATGATAACCCTTATTGGGAGAAACAGGAAATTCTTCCAGTGTTGATCAATCACAGCCAAAATTCTGTATTTTCTTGTGTATGTAAACAAATGATCATTGTTATATATTACTTAACCACAGATAGATGTTTTTCTGAATTCTAGTAAATATGAACTTTACTTCTGACTTACTATCACAATATCCAAGGTATCTTAATCTTCCTTTGAATATTTTAGGGAAAAGAAAACGGACTAAATATGCTTCCTTTCTACAGGAATTTATATATTTTGAGAAACTGAGATAAGGATACTTAGTGCTTATTTTACTTTAAGATTATAATCCTATATAATAAAAGGCTAATATGCAAATTGACCAAATAGCAGAACAACCAGTTGCTGTGACACGCACTGACCACCATCAGGCAGACCCTCAATGTAGGAGCTGCCCCCTTGGTTGTCAGTGTGCTACCACAAGGGGGAACACTGCCCAGCAAGAAGCCCTGAGCCAGGCTCACAGCTAGCAAGTGCAGCTGCGGTGGTCGGAGCTTCTCCCACCTGCAGCAGTGCTAAGGATGTCTGACTGACGGCTTAGGCCCACTACCTATTGAGCCGTCAGTCAGACATCCCCCAAAGGCTTCCAGATTGCGAGAAGGCACAGGCCAGGCTGAGGGGGACCCCCCCCCCCCAAGTGCGTGAATTTCGTGCACCGGACCTCTAGGATCTGTATAATAGACATGTACTCTAGCTTTTGGAGTTATAATTTAATCTTGTAACATAAAATTTTCTTTTGTAGTCTGATATGTAATTGCTATAGCCAGTCTAGAAATGTTTATTGAATGATTAGAATGTCAATGTAGATCTTTGAAAGCCTAACTGCTTTAAGCAAACAAAAATTATTGTTGTAAAGGAAAGAGTATAACCACATTAAATACAATCTGGAAAATAAGAGGCAAAAGTCCTGCTCTTAATTTCACTTAACAAAATTGCTCATGGAATTTTTATATGTTTGGTTGTTTTCAAATTTGTGTTTATGTAGTTTAAATGTGTCCTGCTTTTTCCCCACTGAATATGTCATTTTATGACTATTATTTAAAATGGCTGCATACTAATCTGTTAGTTGCATGACCCTGTTGTATGCACAATGTTTATGTAGAATAGTGTTTCTAAATATATGTATACACATATATACGTGTGTGTATATATATACATATATACACACACATATATATGACTCTCGAAAAAATAGTTATTCTAATAAAATAAAATTGTTTAGCACAAGGATTTTAATAAGTAGGCAAACGATAACCTTCTTATTTAAGGTCAGTGCCTTTTTCTTTTCAAACATATAAACCTGAAACTTGAGGAAGTTGGTCGTGAAGTGAGAGTATGTATTTTGGAGAAGTTATCAACAAAAGTTATTGCGTATTCAAAGAATTATTGTCATAAATCTTACGTTACATTATGTTCTTTTGTAGATTATGGAACTTTGTGGTGCAACAAGACTTGGTTATTTTGGAAGAAGTCAGTTCTATATTGCTTTGAAACTTGTAGCTGTTGCCCAGTCTGGTTTCCCTTTAAGAGTGGAAAGTATTAATACAGGTAAATATGGGATACATAAGCAATTGAAATGAAAATAGACTTTAAGTCACTAATGAAATTGAGTCTTTCTGATATTACAGTGGCATTTGTGATCTTGAGAAAAATGTCATTACTTTATTCTCACCACCTTGCTATTTAAAATTTGTGAATATTAGAATACATCTGTTTTAAATGTTATGGCATATATGTACTTTCTGCAGATTTCATTGTATAAAACTATTAAAATGGTGTTTGTTATAACATAAATTTACTAAGACTTGCTTAGAATTTAGGTAATTTTATCAAAGTAAAGGGTGCATTGCAGTGATCCTCATATATGCTTTCTTTATATGTTTAAGTATTAAGCAACATTATACTTTGTTTTCTTGTTTGTGAAGACTGAACGCTCCATATAAAATTAGAAAGCATCAATTAACCAAAACTTTCTGGTTGATAGAGATACTGTTAAAATATTGGCAGAATAAAACCTAGTTATAAGCATCTGACTGTCTTATACATATCACCTAAGAAAATTTGTTTTTCTATTATTTGGAGGTGTGTTGATAATGAAGTAGATGGAAATTTTATAAGATAGGCACTTAAAAGCAGAGAGTTTTGTGCTTTTCACAGGGAAGAGGAAAGAGCTGCATTTTCTGTGATGTTAGGATTTTTATACAGTAGTGTTAGTACAGTTAGTTTTAAGTGCTCAGTGTTCAATGCCAGCTTAGGTGGAGGTTTCCATTGTGGGCCTCTAGTGTAACGCACATCCTTCTCTTCGTGTTAAGAGTTTACATTCTTTTCAGGTAATTTTGAGTACTTTGCGTACACACTGAATAAACTTCATCCCCTCCTTAGTGAGGTAATTCTAGGGGAGATTCAGGGAATTATAGTGGAAGGAAGTACATTTTCTTCTGAAAATGATTCTGCTATGTTATTCTGGTCCAGATTGACCTGTGGAATTCTTAGTTTTTTATTTTTCTTCTTTATTTAAAATAGAATGTAGAGTATCTGCCTGTAGGAGTGAAGTAAGCCAGACTAAAGTTGATAGATCGAGCTGCTTGTACTGTGTCTTTGGTAGGTGAACAGTAAGATATTTTCAGGAATTTCTGTCATGAAAATGTTTGGATTAATCTAGTCTCAAACTTAGTGACATATTTTGTTATACTTAGAACTCGAACATCATACTTTAGAGAATTAGTGTGAGTAGAAACAGCGTAGACTTTGGGGTCAGATTGACCTGGGTTTAGATTTTATCACTTATTGTCAATGAGCCTCAGTTTGCTTCCCTGTAAAATAGGGACTTTGCAGGGTTGATATGGTAATGAGTGCAAACATAGGACCAAACATGCAATGGACATTTAATACAGCTATTTTTATAACCCCTTGGAAGGACAATTTGGTATTACTATTTCTAGGTTAGGGTCTCCCTAAACAGTTTAAGGAAGAAAACGAATAAAATTAGCAGTGATAGACATTTTGTTTCAGTATCAGTTTTGCAAAAATTCTTTCTAATATCTAATTCACCTCTTACTTCAGGTTTTAATGTGTGCATCATTTTTTATTTTAAAGTAATACTTATTTTTGCCGTTAATAGTAAAGGACCTTCCTCTGCCAAGATTTGTTGCTTCAAAGAATGAACAAGAATCTCGCCATGCAGCCTCGTATTCTTCAGATTCTGAAAATCAAGGGTCTTATTCTGGTGTTATTCCTCCGCCACCTGGAAGGGGGCAAGTGAAAAAGGGGTCCGTAAGCCATGATGCTGTCCAGCCTCGTACATCTACAGATCAACAGGTAGTCACATGCATGTCATTGTTATTAGTTGACATCCTGTGTAGATATTTACACTAAAACTTTTACTGAATGCCTTAACAGTGAAAATGTTATCTTAAAATTGAAATTTAAAAATAATGATACTCTTTCTAGGAGCCTGCGTCTCCAGTAGTTTCACCACAGCAGTCCCCACCAACGTCTCCACACACATGGAGGAAACACAACCGTCACCCCAGTGGAGGAAATGGCGAGAGGCCTCTTGCAGGACCTGGGCCATTTTGGTCTCCTTTTGGTGACGCACAATCAGGTATTTAGAAGTTCTAGATGTAACAGTCATTTATTAAAGGTGTAAATTGAAAGAAACTTGATAACATTCCTTTAAGAATTGCCTCCAAGAAAATTTTTAATTTTAAGTTAAGTGCCTTAAATGGAAGCAAATGATAACTGTGAAAATTTGTTAAGTAGATATATCACTTTGAACATTGGTAATTGCATTTATTTTAAGGTGACCAGATTTTAACATTGGTAAAGCGGGACACCATTGACCGGGGAGTGTGGGGGTGGGGGATGATCTTTGATTAAAAATTTGGTCTATATGGAGCAACAAAAACTTTCATAGAATGCAAAAATATAGTATTGTAATTTATTTTTAAAATTTTTAACGTAAGTACAATTTACAAATATAATAAATAAATAAAAATTATGTATAGTGTCACTTTCAAGGGCGACACTAGACTTTTTGCTGCCACTATAAAATATAAATAATATGAGTACTGTCTGCTAAATTCAAGAAAATTTATGTATTTATGAAATAAATAAATTTCTTACCTAAATTATCTGAATAGCTGATTTGTAATGACATCACTTGTTTAACTAGCCTCACTAGCACGCAGTATAATGTGTATAGTCTGAAAGATAGTTACATAATGCTTTCGTCGTTGCCAATCCCAAAAAATGCCATTGTGCATTAAGTCCAAACAATGGTGGTCGAATTCTAACTGATCAACAATGTGAACTTTGATAAACAGTTCTCGATGATCAGTTCTCAACAATTACATTTTTATTATTAAAGTTTAACATTATAAAATTAACAAAAATAATATAAAACTCATATCCTGGCTAAATAGCCACATGGCCGCCGAAAACCGTATATTCTCTTCCCATTCTCTAGCTTGTCATGAATTCTTTCCAAAAATCGGGACTTTTTTAAAATGCCGTGGGACGTGGGACAAATTGTTAAAAATCGGGACTGTCCCACCAAAATCGGGACATCTGGTTACCTTAATTTATTTATATCTATGTTGCTAGATAAACGTTTATAGATACCACATTCTCTGAAGGTAAAATGATTGATTATTTCCTAGAATACTATATATATTAGATTAGTTTCAGTAACAATTATAAAGATTTAAGTGAGATAATTTTAAATTGACAGAAAATATTTCATTTTGGAAATTAGCATTTCTACAAAGTTAGAACTCGAAAGAAAACTTATATAAGTATGGTGAAGTGTTATAATAAAAAACCTGGTAATTTTATATTCTTTAAAAGTGAGTCAACATGTTTGCCCATTCTGCTTGTAGGTTCTGCTGCTGGTGATGCAATGTGGTCAGGGCATTCTCCACCTCCACCTCAAGAAAACTGGGTCAGTTTTGCAGATACTCCACCAACCAGTACTCTTTTAACCATGCATCCTGCTTCTGTCCAGGTGTGACATTTTATTGGTATTGCATTTTTATTTGCTTCATTCAGAATACTGCTGCAGTCATTATTTTTATATTTTGCTGTTGCAAATTTTATGAATGCAAGTTCACTTTTATTTAAAAACCACAAAACAAACAAAAACCAGATCTCCACTCTGCCTTTTCTTTATGTCTGTTATCATTGAAACTTTTCACTAAAAGTTTTGGCTGATTTTCTTTCTAATTTCTTAGTGAACTTTTGAAAGGTTTTGGCACTTAGGAATATATTTGCTTGGCTTTCTTGGCACATTTCCATAACTTTTTGTTGTTTACACATTGCTGTCATTCTATACATTTATATAATCATTGTCCAAAAACATTCAGTAACCTGATTATAAGTATGTGATTTTCTGATGAGTTTGTGAAGACTTCTTATATTTTAAACATCCACAAAAAGTAAGTTTTACTTTCAAAGATAAATAACCTAGCAATCTTGGTCCATGTAATCATATAGGTAAATACTGTACTGAGGAAAAAATGTTTCATTACAGGACCAGACAACAGTACGAACTGTAGCTTCAGCTACAACTGCCAATGAAATTCGTAGGCAATCCAGTAGCTATGATGATCCCTGGAAAATAACAGATGAACAAAGACAGTATTATGTAAATCAGTTTAAAACCATTCAGCCTGATCTAAACGGATTTATTCCAGGTGAGTTGTTAAAAAACAAATTTTTCTAGATGGGATAGTTCAAAGCCTCAGTTTCATAATCTCAAAGAAATTGTTTTATTGGTCAGCGATTATAAAAGATAATTCTCAAATTGTCTAAAAAGAATTTATAGTTACTAGAGACCAAAAATATGATATATGCATATGTTAAGGTTACCTTTTATTCAATGAAAAACATCTTAAGACCACATTTAATTCTTGGGTCTGTAGGTTCAGAATAATGCTAAACAACACTGTTTTATATTTCAGGATCTGCAGCTAAAGAGTTTTTTACAAAATCAAAGCTTCCTATTCTTGAACTTTCTCATATTTGGTAAGTGTGGTATATACTACTTGGGTAATGTGGATTATTTCAAAGTAGTTTCCATCAGGTAGATTTTTTTAACCTTAAAAATAAACTATTAGAATAACCTTTTAAAGAATGTTCTTATGACTCAGTATTGCCTTAAAATAGTCAGCTTCTCTCTCACTCTCTAGAAAAGAAATAAACTGATACCAACAGAATAGTTCTTTAAAATGTGCTAAAAGTCTTTAAGCTATAGTAGCTGTTTCTCATTACTAGTATAATGCATGGAATATATTTGCTTGGCTTTCTTGGCACAGTTTGTTCATACATGGTTTGTTTATTTCATTTGGTTTTAAACAAATTTATAAGTCCTATACCAGCCATGAGCTTAAGAACAGTGCTTAGCACCCATTTAAATACCAACTGAAGACTCAGGATGGTTGCTGTGTAGTTGGAATCAGTCATTAAATTACAATCACAAATTGCTTTTTAAAAACAATTGTCAGGTGTAAGTGTTGTTTTCACTTTATATCTATACTAGAAACCCGGCTCATGAAATTTGTGCACAGGGGAAGGTGTGTTCCTCAGCTCAGCCTGCATTCTTTCCAATCTAGGACATCCTTTTCACCGTCTAGGACTGCTGGTTCCCAACTGCTCGCCTGCCTGCTTGCCTGCCTGATTGCCCTTAACCACTTCTGCCTGCCAGCCTGATCATCACCTAACCACTCCTCTGCCAGCCTGATTGATGCCTAACTGCTCCCCTAATGGCTCGATTGCCCCTCACTGTCCTCCCCAGCAAGCCTTGTCTCCCCTAACTGTCCTCCCCTGCAGGCCTGGTCCCTCCCAACTGCCCTTCCCTGCAGGCCTGGTCCCCCCAACTCTCTTCCCCTGCAGGCCTGGGTCTCTCCCCCAGCTCCCCTCCCTTGTAGGCCTGGTCCCTTCCAACTGACCTCCCCTATTGGCCTGGTCTCCCCCAAATGCTCTCCTCTGCCAGCCTGGTCACCCCTAACTGCTTTCCCCTGCTTGCCTGATTGCCCACAACTGCACTCCCCTGTAGGCCATCTGGTGGCAGCCATTCTGTGTCCACATGGGGGCGGCTATGTTGTGTGTTGGAGTGACAGTCAATTTGCATATTACTCTTATTAGATATGATATTTCTCTATATTCTAAATTTTATTAATAGGGTTTTTAGTAGCATAGAGTGCTAAAGTAGGAGATAGGTAGATAATGCCTAAAACCAAAAAGTTAAGAACTAGCAATATATACATGCTATTTATAATTTAAGGTGATAAATTTTTTAAAAATGGTTGTTCCTAAATCTAGGAAATGGAAGGATAGCAGGGTGGGGCTGCTGTCTTTTAAGTTTAAAAAATTTTTGGTAACATTAAATAAGCCTGATTTCAACTAAGTCTTATATCTAAAGATACATATGTGTTAAAGGCCATTTCTTTGGTGACCTTATTTTTGGGGGCTCTTTTTTCAGCATTTTATTATGAAAATTTCAAGCACTTAGAAAAGTTGGTTGAAAGAATTGTACCTTAAACCAGTCCTCGGCAAAGTCATTAGTCAACAGAGTAGCAAACCGCCGCTCACAGCCGCATGTGGCTCGCGAGCCGCAGTTTGCCGATCACTGCCTTAAACCACCCATGTGGCCATTGCCTGGAATCTACATATAACCGTTTGCTATACATCTTCCCATCCAGGGGTTTTTTAAATTATTGTTTGTTGCACTTTTTCTGGAAAAGGATTTCTCTTTTTCTTTTTTTCTGAGACATAAAGGGATCCAAAGTAGAATGTGATTCTATTTCTGATGTTTTTCTTTTAGGGAACTCTCAGACTTTGATAAAGATGGAGCATTAACACTGGATGAGTTTTGTGCTGCTTTTCATCTGGTAGTTGCTAGGAAGAATGGCTATGACTTACCAGAAAAACTCCCTGAAAGTTTAATGCCCAAGCTGATTGATTTGGAAGACTCAGCAGGTAAGATCCAGGAGCTAAAAGAGAACTGATTGCATGCCTTGAAAAATAACACTTGGTTCTCAAAGCAAAATCTAGATGTTAAAACTTAGCTTAAAAGCATAGACATTTCATCAAGGTCATGTACATTTGCCATTAGAATAAGATGTATAGCCTGAACTTGAATCAATATTTTGTCTGTTTAGTCAACTGTAAACAAAGATAAAGAATATATGGCACTATTTTACTTTACACTTGTGACCTGCTGAGATCTGAAGTGCATTTCACAGTGTCTTGTTATTTTGTCATCCTTTAATTACATTTTATATTGTCTGAAATGGGGAAAGTAGCCTCTCTTTATTATCAACATTTTTCCATTTAATTCATCTTAATTTGTTGAAGGGAAATACCTAGTTTATCATTAGACCTTTGTAGTCTGCAAGCATTTTCCTTTAAAAAAACCAGTTCCTTTAGATGCTAAAGAAATTTGGAAATTTTGTGTGTGATGTAGATAATACTACATTTTTATCATGTTTACAAGAATGCTTTTATAAATGCTACTATTTACAGATAGTTTAAAAAGAAATAGAATATAGGGGGTAAAAAATGAGTACGTTTTTCTTAAATTCTAAAAGAACAAAAGGAAATCTAATGTTAAATTAGTGAGTCTAATTAAAACTAAATCAATGTCTTTGTTTTTTCTAACAATTCTTTTTTATATATTATGATGGAAGGAATTTTATACTTTTAAAGGGAAATTAAAACAGAATTTGGCTCTCAAAAGGGTATCCACCTATTGGAAAGCTTCTGTTTAACCCAGAATTGCATCTGATCTCACTTTATTGTATAAATTATGCAGTAGGAATAATATGCATATTATTATTGTCAAAAAGAGGATTATCTCCTTAGATTCAAGAATCTGTGTACTTCTAATTTTGCTAATTATTCCTGTGACCTTGGGCAAGTTCTTTTTGTTTTTTCACCTGAAATGTGTATTCGATGCTACTCACATTTCACGGCCTGAACACATTGACCTTTTATCAACCAATAAGTCTATTTAAAGTTTTAGGGTTGTTTTTTTAGTTTTTTAAAAGCATTATCCTATGAGAATCCTAGAGTTTTTCTGATCATTTAGGCAATTATTAAGTATCATTAACATCTGACTTGAGCTAAAAGCTTAGTATTTTTGTTAGGTAATTTTGCCTCAAAGTACTTTGATTTACCTAATTAAAAAATAAACAAAAAGAACTTCATTTGGTTTATTTCATAGTAGCCAAAAAGGAAGAAATTGTGGTTGCTACAGACTTATTGTGCCATTGATTTTAAAATTAGGCCTTGTGTCTAGAATTTTTCTATGACTTTAATCCTTTAAAAACTGACAGCATAGTATACTTTAAATCAAGCTTATTCTGTTATATGTCATTTTCTTGAGACTTGTCTGATTCTGTTATCTGTTCCATATAGATGGGTGAATCTTGCTTTTGCATGTAGTCTTTTTTTTCCCCTCTTTTCTATTTAATTTAAATAAAATCTGGGATTCTTTGTAAACTTGATCTACTGCCTGAATTTTAAGGCTAATGATTTAAGTAGATGTTTTTTTCCTGGGCATTTTTCTTTTTACTCCTATTAGATCTGTTTAGTCACTTTGATTTTTTCCCCCTGCATATACCTCTACACTCTTGTTCTAATCATAATTTTAAAGGTATCAAAAAAAACCTTGTTGGTTTTTTGTTTTGTTTTTTACCATTTGCACATAATCTGTGTAATTTTCTGATGAAATTTATTGTAAACATTTGACCATACAGTATTAAATTCAAATCTTCTTTACCTAATCACTAAGTGATAAATTTGGAATTTTGTTCATTTGGGGTTGAGGGAATGATTAACCTTTTTTTTCTCTCCCAGCTATCATAAGCCTGAGATTCATATGCCATAAGTTCTTTGAATATAGATATTGTTATGTGACACTGTGGATCAATCAAGATTTGTAAAAATCTTTTTAAATAGCTATGTTTTTAGAAGTTCACAGTTGAAAGGGAAACCAGTTCCTTTTGGCTGACCTAAAATTTATCATAAATATTTATTCTCTGGAGCTCTTCTGACTTTCAGACAAAAGTAGCTACTATCTTCTCTGATCTCTCATAGTATCTCCTATGTGCTGTTTATTTGTGGCACCTATCACACCCTTTTTTTTTTTCTCTTTCCACCACTACACTCTGAGTTTCTTTAAAAAAAAAAAAAGAAAGAAAAGAAAAGAAAGAAAAAAGAAAAGGAAAGGAAAGGAAATGTGTCATCTTCACTAGGCCTAATTGCCCTAGTCGGACTGCCAATTTTGGTATCCCCAGGATTTAGCACTTTGCAGGCATGTGCTAAGTTGCTCAGTAAATAACTGCTGAGAAATTAATACTAAATGTGTGCTATTTTTAAAATAGGATATTTTTCTTAATATATTTCTGTCTTTGAAAATATAGCCTTTTGTTATATGTTTGTGATGTTGGGATATATTAAAATATTAACTCTACAAGTATTTTGTATTTACAATTTAATAACTCATAGAAAAATAGATGGTGAAAGTGATGACTTGAGTTACAGTTTTTTGGAGAAACAAGCTAGGCTTTCTAAAGACATACAAACAAGGATGGGATAGATATATATTTTCCAAAATTACTTGAACAAGTTTATGGTATTAAACAGCAGACAAAATAAAATTGCTAAGGATCATAGGTATAAGTACGAACACAGACCTGAATTAAAATATTTAACATCAGCACTAAATATGGCAACTAAAGTAAATAAAAAGGGAACTTGATTTTTGTTATCTTACAAAAGAAAGCATATAAAAATTTATCTGTGGAAACAACTTTCTGAAGCTGAATTCAAGAAAGAATGTTTATCTTCCAAGAGTGGTTATCTTCTTTAAAGTAAAAAAGGGTTAAACTGACCTGCTAGCCTATCACAGTAGTGTATCTTAAAGGGAAAAAAGCATCTTAAACTCAGTCTCCAAAGAATCTTCTTTGTTGTAGCACAGTCGCAGTTTTACATATACTGTATTTTATTTGATTACTTGAGGTCCAGTGCACACATTTTTGTGCACTCATGGGGTGCCTTGGCCTGGCCTGCGCCCTCTCAGAATCTGGGACCCCTCGGGGGGATGTCGGACTGCCAATTTTGGTCCAGTCCCCTCAGACCAGGCTTAGGGACCCCACTGCTGCACAGATTCATGCCCTGGGCCTCTAGTATGCAAACGAGATCTTTGGTTAATCTCTTCCCACCCTCTTCCTTTCCCCCTTCCCTCTGAGATTCATCAGTCTGTTCCATGTTTCCATGCCTGTGCATTGAGCATCTGCCACCTGATGGTCAGTGCATGTCATAGCTAACAGTCAAACAATTGAATGGTTGCTTAGGCTTTTATGTATAAAGATTTGATAAAACTAGTGCTTTGGTGCACAGATTCGTGTACGTTGAAAGGAAATTAATTAGAAGGTGGCCAGCGGGGTGGGACTGGGTGAGACAGGCTGGATATGCCCTGGAGCCAACCTCCTGCAGTTCCTCCCTGGCTGCCCTGGAGCAGTGGCTCAAAGGGCGTCTACGAAGTGAGCAGGGTCCCTCTAGCAGGTGGGGTCCCTCGGCCTAGCTTGTGGAGATTGGGCCGAAATCAGCTCTCTGACATCTCCATAGGAGTCGAGAGGGCAGTTCTCAGGTGACCCACTCCAGTATTGGGCTCCCTCCTCTCTGGTTCTATGGTGCATCACCTCAGAAACCCCACTCCTAGTCACTGCAGCTCAGCAGCTCCTATGTTGAGTCCCCTGGTCATTGCTCATCGTAGCTATTAGTCAGATGGTCGTTTAGCCTTTTATATATATAGACTAGAGCCCCGATGCATGCCAGAATGGGCCTTCCTCCCCTTGGCTGCTGGCAGAGCTGTTGTTCCCCTTTGGCCCAGAGCCACCTTTCTGTTCTGGCCCGGAGGGGAAAGAGCCGTCTTTCCCCTCCAGTCGGGAGCTGCTTTTCTGCCTTCCCACGCTATCCAGAGGCCTGGAGCAGCTGGGGCAGTGCAGAACATCTGCGTCGTTGCCATGGTGATGACACAAGCATCCCACCCTGCCCCTAGCTGCTCAGCACCCACATATGCAAATTAACCTACCATATTTGTTGGGTTAATTTGCATACCCACTCCTGATTGGCTGGTGGGTGTCATGAAGGTACAGTCAGCATGTTATTCTTTTATTAGGTAGATAGATATTTCTTAAGCTACACTAGAGGCTCTTGGTTGCATAGTAACTATATTGGTCTTGTTCATTATATTTCAGCACCTAAGAGGATGCAAATTCAGCATATAAGTAGTTGTTTTTTAAATGACTAAATGGACGAACTACTTCTTTTTAAATCTGTTTTCTGTCTTCACAGACAATGCTCATGTGAGCAACTCAATAATAGCTGACTGAATGCTCAAAGAGGGAAAGGAATGTGCTCTCCATTCTGTCTCCTCTTTTATAGCCACTGCTTTATACAGTAAATTTGAGCAAATTTTCATTATTGTTGATATGGTGCATAACATAGATCCTCAAAATCCTAGAAGTACTCCTAAAATGAATGTTTTTAAAAGCCAGAAATTTTTTTTATTGTTTAAAGTATTACATATTGTAGTACATACATTTTTAAAACAAAGCATATCTGAAATTCTTTAATTTCTTTGCCTGTCTTTTAAGAATAAATGAAAAAGGTCCCATTTCTAGTTTTTCTTAAAGACTTAAAATTTATCAAAACCTTTGTATCTTTTAAATATTTTTTCTCATAAGAATAAAATTGACATTTCAAATAAATAAAAGTTATAGTTTACTTTTGCTTTGAAGAAGCTATTACATAAAATTGGAACCTTCAATCTTTGTGATTGAAGAATTCTTCCAACAAGTTTTGCTACTTGAAAACAAAATAAGTTTAAAACCATAAGAGTTTTGGGAATAACAATTTTTTTAGTATGTTGAATATACTAAGAAAATAACAGAAGTTCAGGTGGGCAAGTGAAAAACGCAGGTAAAAACTGAAGGTCTTTGAGAAAGGTGGTTTGGCAGGTACACTGCACTGAATTGAATCTGCAGATTTTTCAGAGTCTTTGAAAGATAGAAGGATGAAACTATTGAGAGCATTTTTATTTTCTAGTGCAATACAGAAAACATGGTTTACACTCATTTAATTTGCACTTGTTGCTAACTTTTAAATGTAGCCTGACAGTATGTCAGTCAGTAGGATCACACAGTGTTGTGTCTTCCAGGCACACTTTTTTACATGGAAATACTTTTTGCATAAAGCCCTTTTTGGGTTGGCTTTAACAAATAATTTAGGCTCATGCTCTTCTTTTTCAGCCCTGATGCTCTGATGATGTCAGGGGCAGAGCAGAACCCTCAGGAGGGAGGCAGGGTTGACACAGTGTTCCAGCAGGAGGCTAGGTTGGAACACTGCACCAGGTAAGAGTAAAACTACACCCCTGCCTCCGTGAGGATACGCCTACAGACTAACTTTTGTGGGCGGGCCTGCAGCTCTCTGTTGGAGTATTCATAGGGAGCCCGGTTCGTAGAAGATATAGCTTATTTACAGACTTAATGCCCATGACTGTTAGTTTCTAGAACATAGGTAATTTTCTCTTTTCCTTCTGCCATTTGTTGTTCTATATATGAAATAGGAAATGAACAATGTGTAATTCTGTTAATTAATCCAGAAATAATTTGGGGATTTTCGAAGACAGACTTTTTTTTTTAATAACATTTTTTTATAACATTTTAGTCTTAGAACCCCTTTACATTCTTAAATATTATTGTGGACCCAAAAAAACTTATGTTTATGTGACTTAGATCTATCAATAGTTGCCCTATTAGAAATTAAAAATGATAAATTTAAAAAATTTTTGCAGCTTTTTAAAAATTATAATTATAAGCTCCCTAAATATTAGCATACATATTTTTAGGAAAATGACTATATTCCCCAAAATAAAATTAAAAATTATGAAAAGGGTGGCACTGCTTTACATTTTGTAAATCTCTTTAATATCTATTTTAGTAGAAAATAGCTGGATTTTCATATTTGCTTCTGCGTTCAGGCAGTTAGACATTTTGTTTGAGGTATCAGGTGTCTGCAGACAAAGCACTGAGTGCCAAATCTGGTCATCTAACTGTTTTTCTATAGCCCACAACAAAAAGTGTTTGTTATTCTTTTTCTTTTTAATCATTGGAGAATAAAGAGAACAATATTTCATGACACATGAAATTCAAATTTGTAAAATTATATGAAATTCAAATTTCATTATCTATTAATAAAATAAAGCCAAGCTCATTTTTTACTAATTATCATGGCTGCTTTTGCACTGCAACAGCAAAATTGAATAGTTGCACTAGAGACCATATAGCCTGCGAAGCCTAACATATGTACTATCTGGCCCTTGGTAGAAAAACGTTGCCAATCCCAAGTACAGAAAGAAAATCTTGTCTGGCAAAGTGAAAGGAAGGACTGTTTTTAGATAATTATGGATATTCTTTGGTACCACACCAAATGTCAACAAATGGTGATTTCTTAAAGGTTAATTGCAATGTGAAAGCTGAAACCATATTAATGAATTACTTGTACTGTTATATTAAATTCCACAGATCTGTTTTGCACTTTGAATATACTTTGGATTAATATTTTGCCTGTGCATGATTTTATGACATAATTGATTATTTGTAAAATATTGGTTAATTGAGTTATACAGATATGGATATACATTTTCCAAAATTCTAATTTTTGCTTGAAAGCGCAAAGTTTGTCATTAGTAACAATACTGAAGACAGTGTTTTCCTGAAGTGACAGGCTCACTTAACTCATTTTTGAGAAAATGCATAAAAGTCTGAATAATTCGTTTGTCAGCTATTCTTTAAAGAAAAATGCACTCCCTCTCCTTCTTCCATGAAAAAAGTGGCCTGTTCTGCTCATAGCTGAATCACTCAAGAACACTTCCTGGAGATGATCATCCCTATGCTCTGATAAAAAACAATAGCACAATATACATTGCGCCTCTCCATTACTTTGGGACTCTATTATATAGAATTGCAAATATATATTTCCCCTTTTTCCAAAAAGACTATTAAAAATATTTGTATTCAGGACTGAGGTTTAATAAAAATAATTTTTACCGCTTAATTGTGAATGTTCTTCAGTGACATTGCCATGCCTTTTATTTAACCTGGAATGTGTGTGAGTGAAGAATACAATGACTAGTACAGGATGGGGCAAAATTTGGTTTACAGTTATTCCTATGAGGAAAAATAAAATGCCAACACAGGAGAAAAATAATAATATGATGATTACAAAAATCTCTCTGACTTTTCAGATGCCCTGTAAGAGTCATGGGGATTCCCTGCAGTTCATGGTCCACAGTGTGAGAACTGCTACTCTAGGAAAATGACTGTGTTGGAATGCTTATCAAGTATAATTATTTGAGTGAATAGTATCCTTCAAGAGGCTCCATCCACCACAACTTTTACCAGTGAATCAAGAGGTTCCCAGAATCTATCCCAAATTATAACTGCCCTGAGGTGGGGGTAGGGTACAGTCTGGACCTAAATTTGCTAGAAGGAGACTCACATGAGAAAGCCAGGTCAGGGCCCCAGCATACCCTAAGATGATATTTGAAACTGAAATAATATAGTCTGACTATAGATAGGTTCTTTTGAAAATTAATTACCGTATAGTTAATACTGTTTTAATTCTATTTATTTTTCTTCAACACCTGCTTTGCTGGATCGCTTAAAGACACTTCTCCATACACCATCCTCCTAAACAGAGTTTCAGTTTCATTAAACTCAGATTTATAGCCATTATATCCTTTCCTTAACTTTCTTTCTCTTTGTTATCAAAGGGAAAAAATTCATAATTTTTGTTCACACTAAAACCACAAGCTATTCCCATGAGTAATTTGCTGTTACTATTCATTATAAATATTATTTCATTAGTTTTTCTCTAAGAGCTTTGATTTAAGAGGTCTTCATAGAACATTGTTGGAAGCCTGTCTGCCTCTTATCGTTTCTATACTACTCCGACATCTTTATCAAGAAAGGGATAGCATTAAGAAAGAAATAGCAACAATTTCCAGTCTTACAAAACAAAAATTTATCAAAATCTGCTGCTGGACTGCAAATTAGAGCTTGCAGTGTGATATGACTACAAAAAAGAAGTATTTCGAGATAGTAGTCATGTAACAAAGGACAAAGAGGAATTGAGTACTTTTTCAAAATACTGGTAGTTAGCTTTGGCTCTGCGAAATAACAGTAATGAAGAAGAACACAAAAAGCAACTCATTCAATAAAAATTTGTATACGTAATATGTACTAGGTTCTGTATTTGGCACCAAAATGTGAAGGATTTACTTTTGAATAGATTGAAAGGTTAAAACCTATACATTGCTAAGTTATTGTATGACTTTATTTGGGAATTTGAAATGCAGTGCTAACATTTAATGGCAAATGTCTTTCTTTCTGATGGAGAAACTCAGGAGCTGTTTTATTCAGCTTGCCCATGGTCAGGCAGTGAGATAGTGACAGATGCTGGAATAATGTTTTGATACAGGTTCTAAATAGATTAGGTACTCCCCATTAATTTGGCACTTATTTGATTTTCAGACTGGAATTCAAAGATATGTAAAACTTGGGAAGATTAGAATGAGAATTAAGTTACAGCGAAATTTCTTCTGTTCTCAAATTGAAATTAAAGGATATTTTAAATTAGGGCTTAACTACTCACAAGCAGAATGTGCTACCACATAATACTTTAAAAAATACTTTACAGTGGTATTGTGAATTTGTAGCTTTCTCAATGAAGGTTAAGTGCCAGTAGCCTAATGATAAAACTTTCTTTGGTGTGGGCTTTTGAACTGCTTTTCTCTCATGCCTGGGACTCTTCCTCTCCTTTCACTGTATTCCCTGTACATATATGCTGCTTTTTGGTAACAGAGGAGACTTGCAGAGAAAATGTGAGTGACTTAGTGTAAATTAGCATTTCCCAGAGTATATTCCAAGAGAATATTGAGGGATTTTATTTGGGGTAAAGGATTTAAATAGTTAATTTGCTCTGAGACATTACAAGTCTTTGATATACAAATGCTCATGGAATTGCTCCAACAGGGAGTTACAGTATTCCCAAATTTAAATAGAAAAAATTTCTTGAACCTAATTTTTTAAAGAACCTCACATTAATATTCCATAAAATACACTTTGGGAACTGCTACAAATTCAGCCCTTTTATCAGAAAATGATGCAAAACATCTGTGTTAGACGTATTATTATATATAACACTCTTTTTTCTATTCCTAACTAAAATTTATTTCATGGGAAGCTTTGGTTTTGGATAGACAATAAGTAGCAAAAATAAGTACTGCCTAATTGTCTGATTGGTAAAATGTTTATTTTTCAATTACAGTTGACATTTAATATAAAAATGTTTATTTTAGGAACATGAGGAAAGGAAATTCAGATTATAAAATTAAAATTTTTAAAGTTTTCAGGGTTTTGTTACAAGTAATATCCCTAAACTAAAATATATTATTTATGGAGAATTTTTGTTTTTCAATTTCAGATGTTGGGGATCAGACAGGTGAGGTAGGTTATTCAGGCTCGCCTGCAGAAGCACCTCCAAGCAAGTCACCATCAATGCCGTCACTAAACCAGACTTGGCCAGAGATGAATCAGAGCAGTGAGGTTAGCAAAGCTTCCCTTTCCTTTCATTAACATTAATTTTGTTAAGGTAAGACGTTCCAAATAGTAATTTCAGCATCTAGCTCTTTTAGCATGTATGCATAGTTAAGAGAGCATATAAAGTAGGGCTTTGATAAGTGTTTGTAATTATGTGACTCTGAGGTTTTCAAAGTACTTTTTCATATATATATATACACAGTCATTTGGTTTCCACCACTCATTCCTGCTAAAACCCTGTGAGTTAGACGGGCAGGAGCTTGAGGTTATAGTAAAAAAGTTGAATGTCTTGGCCAAGATAACTCATAGCCATTGAGGAACAAGAGCTTAGATTTGAACACAAGTCCTTTGACATGTAGCCAACTACCACACCCACCATGGCACATTTCTTCTCGTTCTTGTAAACAAGGTATGTGATAATATATTTGGAATCTTAGTATTGGAAGTGATATGAGAAGTCACTAATCCTGCCTTCTACATGAAAAAAGTATTTTCTTCAACCCAGGCTCTTGATAATAATTTAGTTTTATTTAATACAATATGGAATTAAACCCTATTAAATGCATTGGTTAAATGATATTATATATAAGACCAAGGATAACATGTAAAACAGAATTTCAGACAAATGCACTCCGTCTCCTCCTCATTACTTGGGGACTCCATTATATAAAACTATAAAAGTTGGGCCACTCTGATTAGAATAAGAGAAGTAAATCAAAGGCCCCTGTGTTAAACCTTAGTGCTCTGTAGAACATCAGCTAAAAAATAGCTGTTCTAGCCTGTTAGAGCAGTTTTCATCGTGAACAAGTAACTTTTTTTGCCTTGAATTTTATATATATATATATATATATAACTTTTAGGTAGTGCTAACAAATTTAAAAGTTTGTTGACTTTCAGGAAAAAATTCTAAACTTCTGGACTTTTCATATTTTTTAAAGCCAGTAATAAAATACTGAATTAAAGAGACACTCCTTAATTTTGGAGAGTTGAAAAACAGAAGTATCTGGTAGGTTTAAAGTACTTGATGCTGCTTTATGACATAATCACAGATACTGCACCTGACCCAGAGCACTTGTCATACTGTCAGATGTAAAGTCATGTATATAAGTTTTTCTAGAGGGAAGAATTAAGCCTTGATATAATTCACTAGTAAATAGGCTTTATAAAGAGTGGGGTCATTACTCTTGAAACCACTTGCTCATTTTTTAAAAAGCAATATCAGATTAAGAGTAGTTTTTTCATTGATATTCAATTCTAAAGCCCATATTCATTCTAAATAAAATTGTGTGTGATCATTAAAGACTAGGAATACAAGTCCCTTCCACGTTCTGATTTAAGCAGTTGCACTTTTTAGAGCAATTTCATTTTGTAGTATTCAGTAATAATTCAGTTATGAATGTTACGTTATTTTTCTTTTAACTCTATGGAAAATCAAAATGTTAATAAAACTAACATTGATTTTAAATCTCTACCACAAAGCACTAATGATCCTTTCAATAGGTAATTATTTGGCATCTAAAAATGGATGAGTCATTGCAAGGAATAACACTACTAATAACAACAACATTAATAATAAGCCTTATATGTGTTGAGCACCTGGGATATGCCAATTCTGTTCAAAGCTTTTTACATATATGAACTCTACTTCCTCATAACAATCTTATAGTATTATTAATCTCACATTACAGATGGTGAAACTGAATTACAGAGAGGTTAAATAATTTGCCTAAGGTTGTACAGTATGACTAGGATTCCAGTAGTCTGGATCCAAAGCTGTGCTCCTAACCATTATTCTAAAAATATAAAGATAAAAGTGTCTCTGCTCTCCAGGTAGCTTGCATACAGTCTTGTGAAACCAAGTAAAACTTCATACAACCAAATAGGTAAATAAATGCCTTCTTTTTGGCAAAAATCTACATCTAAACTTTTCTCCACAGTTAGATCATTAGGATTTTGAAAATTCCTCTGTACACATGCAACAATAATTATTGAAGAAACTATAACAACAAATAATGTTAAATCACTTCTTTGAAGTGATGTTCCATGATAAGAATGAATTTTTGTTATTTAAGAATCACTTTGAATATATCAATATGTCTTAATTTTCATGATTTTAAAATTTGCAGGCAGAGTTGTTGAATGATTGTACTAGCCATTTTTGTAGATAATTTTCATCCATGTATTAATTTGCTAATATTTTATTCTTACAAGTCTTCTCAAATGGAATATCACTATTTTAAATAAGTCGAACTTTGAAGCATAAAAATGTATACTTTTTCATGCTGAATTACAAAAAGAGGATTTTGGTTAATGGGATAGGTGTGTCTGTGTGTAAACATTCGTTTGTATATATTGTATATGTGTAGATGTTTTTCCCTCTTCAGAGAATATCTGGTAATTCTTAAGAATCAAATTTTAATGTAATTTTGATATAAAAATTCTATACTATTTTATTACCAAGATCTTTAAAACAAATGGAATTTACTATCATTATTATTGGCTTATCACTCCACCTATTTTAAGAGGTATAATATTTGTGTGCCTCTTTTAAAAGAGTAGTATTTCATATCAAAATACATCGTCTATATATAACACATACCCAGATGCTTGATTTGCTCTCATTGTGGCCTCACTCTGATTTTTCTAGCATGGGGGCGGGGGACTGGGGAGGGGGTTGGTGCCTGATTGGTAGCTCTGTCTTTTGATCTGGCATGGTCCTGTTCATAGTGCTGATTTCAGGGGCTGACTTGCTACAGATTGACAAAAGCTCCAACATATATTATAATTCCAGAATTCTTTGCACTTTATCTAAATTATATTTTATTAAGTATACATATGTACAAAATATGTGCACGTACATAACAAAATTATCTTTCAGGGGTGGCACTGGCAAGTGAGACTGACTTGCTTTGTTTTAACCAAAAGTTTGGTAGTCAAGATTCACTAACATCACCAAATCAATGCATTAGCATTTAAATTTTAAAAGGAGGATTTGAAGTTATTATTTCTCTAGTCAAGACAAACCTCTTTACATGTTTACCTTGTTGCATTTATACCACTTAGACTCTGTTTGTTCCTATCTCTCTTTGAGGTTGAATTCTGTAAGGCTTTGAATCTCTTCATAGAGATTGAAGTAAATTGTTAATTTCTTGTTACTATACATTTAATTGTAAAGGTGCGCTCACCTTACAAGATGACCCAGCATAGATGAGTATAAAATGTTTATGCAAAAAATGGAAATTACGGAATTTTGTCAGGCCTATGAAACACAACTTGCAGTGCAACCTCTGAATGACTTTGCTAAATCTTCTCCAATGATCTTTTTACTCCATCTTTCTCATCATGCTGACTTGTCTCTCCTCTGTCTGTTCAGCAGTGGGAGACATTTAGTGAACGCTCTTCAAGCTCACAAACTCTGACCCAATTTGATTCTAACATTGCACCAGCTGATCCTGTAAGTCAATCACTTAGCTTGCTTGTTTGAAATTAATTTTATTAACCCAAATTTCCATTCATTATGGTTTTTAGCAGATTTGCATGTTTCAGTGGAGTGCTTAGAGGGAAATGGTAGTGAGCTTTTCAATTTTTGTGTGCCAAATAGTGGAAAGAACTTTTTTTTTTCTTTTACCATTGTTTGTATTTTCTAGTTATTTTGGTGAAACTGTATGTTTTAAAAATCTGGTACATGTGTCTAAAGAAGCATTTTGTGACAATTGATTTGGTTGACGTGTTTTCGTTTGCTAATTGAGTGTATGTTCTATTAAACATACTGTTTATTTTAGTGTAGTTACACTTAGTAAATACTGTTTTATTTGTATGCGTACATATCATATAATATGTACTACATATGTAAATAAGCAATGTCATCTTTTATTTTAATAGTCCAGATGGTATGGCTTTGACTTAAATAGTATGTTGAGTTCTGTTACAAGAGAATCAAGTTCAGCGAAACAACAGAGTTGTTAGTCAAAGATTCCCATCGTGCAAAGGAGCCTGTCTTGTCTTCCTGTGGTTTACTGTGTTGCTCTGAAAAATGCTACAAAGTTCACATTATGATTTAAAAAATAAATTATATTACCTTAGATTTAATTTCATATATGACACACCTGTTCCTCAAGCTATTTGAACATTTCAAAACTTTAGTTGCTAGTCATTCTTCTCACTGTTCACGCCTGCTTTTTCTTTTAAAAAGAAGGACATGCTAATAACCACTTTTCAAAAAGAAAAGAGGAAATAATTGGGAAGGGAAGAAGAGTTGTAAAGTTAGGATTAGAAAATGAGCTCAGTGGAAAGATACAGAAAAGGCATTCTTTTTAGATGTTTGATCAAAGACAGCCAGCATTTGTGAATTAAATGTAAAAATGGTCTTGTCATTTAATGTGGATTTTAGAGAGTGGTATTTAAAGATAATGGTACATCAACAGTTTAATGAATCTTTGGTGTGTTTTATAATTTTAAGACTTTGTATCTATTTGAAATACAGAGGATGTTGTTAAATTGAATTCAAATAGGTAATGTATGGAAGTGTTTTATTATTTATTAATAAGAGTCAGTTAATATGTAGATCACCTGTGCCTTTTGCTTCTCTTGCTACTTTGAAGGCATTTATTAATTTTTTATTTTAGTCTCTGAAAAGTGAAGGAGAGATAAAAAGGAAACACAATTTTTGCTGTTTATTATTTTTCCATATTATTCTTATCTCCTACTTACACCGTCACGTTAGTTTAAGGTACTTCATAAAAGTATTTTTTTGGGAACGAAGGTTTGCCATAGCAATAAAGAAACTCTCTAGTCTCTAACCCTTAAGAGACTATGAAAATAATTATTCATGGTTTTATGATTACTTGTTGGGCCAGGAAAGAACATTACATATAAAAACGTAGAATTTCAGGGCAAAATAAATTAACTCACGATTTACAAGAAATGCAGGGAAATATTTGGCTTGATAATAGTGATGTTCTTGTAACCTATTGGAAATAATATCCAAATTTATGAATGCTTGCCCTAGGGTTTAATATGGCTCAGTACTTTCTTTTGTTATCTCTAGTGTGGCTAGAGGCTCTAGAAAAATAAAAAATATATGTTAATTTATATTTTTAAACTCCAATTTAGACTTCTGAATTTGACAGAGTTGCCAGTCTTAAGTATTTATAATCTGGTACCTAGAAACATCTATTTTCTTTCATGGTGGCAAACTTAAATCTGAACTTTGCTCCCCAAAGGGGAATTTCTCTTTAAACTTTGAATTAGGAGAATATACTGTTCTCACTGAAGATCTGACTTTCTTAACCCTCATTTAATACCTACTGACATATTTCCTATACATGCACTGATAGTAACTACAATCCCAAATGATCTTTTGCAAGGTTTATATAAAGGATTTTAAGTAACTAAGGCTCAGATTAGAACAGAATCACTTAGAAGAAGAAAAATCCACCACAGTTCTAATGTGAATTTGACATATATTACAGTGTTGGAAATATTTAATGGAATATTTTTTAAAAGCTTAAATTTAATAATTATCCATTAGCTTAAGAAAGTGAAAGTCTAAGAAGGCTCCAAACTGCTCTGTAGTGCTTAAAGACAGTGCACTGACCTCACATGCAAACTGCAGTGGTTAATTATTAGGCTCCCGGAATAGTGATGAAATTGAGTTTCTGACATTTCTTTTCCAGAAACTTGATTATTTTTGTTGAACTTCTTATCAGCTAATAGACTCAGGTAGAATCTGCTTCTGCAAGGAAATTCTAGGCTGATGAGAGGTGTCGTGCACTAGTCTTCTCCATATGCCTTATCTTGAAAGCTATTGAACTTCTGAGTAATTCAGAATACACAAGGGAAGTGAGTTTGATCACTGATTATGCCCAGCCAACTCACCTGGTTTGATGGAGCTCTCTAGGTGCCTGTGATATTTTCTAGGAATACAAAAATGTCAAGTACAAAATTCCAGTCTTAAGTAGTCCACACCACAGTTCAATTATTATAAGCTTGACTAGAAGCCTGATGCACGAAGATTCGTGCTAGAATGAGCTTTCCTTTCCCTGGCTGCCAGTACTGCCTTTCCACTCCAGCCCTTTTTATCTCAGGCCCTGGAGCCACCTCTTTCCGCTCCAGCCCCGCCTTTCCATGCTGCCCAGAGGCTCTGAGAGACCGGGGGTGAGGCAGAGCACATGCATCATGGCCATGATAACAACACAAGCATCCCGCCCTCATCACTTGGTGCCTGTGTATGCAAATTAACTGCCCTCTTTGTTGGGTTAATTTGCATATCACTCCTGATTGGCTGGTGGTGTAGCGGAGGTACGGTCAATTTACATGTTTGTCTATTATTAGGTAAGATGATTGTAATTCATCTGATTGTGATAATTATCATCCATGGCTATGTATAAAACTCTGGGCAGAGAATCATGGGCCAACTTACCCCAAAAAGTTTCCATAAAGGAGCTTTTATGCTGAATTTTTTTTATTGTTATTTATTTATTTATTTATTTATTTATTTATTTATTATGCTGAGTTTTGAATGGAACTATGAATTTCCAGATTTGGACAAGAGCATTCCAAGCAGAGCAAATATCATAAACAGGATTAATTTAGTGTAGTGAGAGTATAGGATAGACATGTGTATGGAGGGACGATGGGAACTGGAAGGATCTTTGTATGTTAGACCAAGGATCTGAACTAAATCTCATACACACTGTTGGCTAATAAGAGTACCATGAGCGCTAGCTGGTTTGACTCCGTGGATGGAGCATCAGCCTGGGGACTGTAAGGTCCTGGGTTCGATTCTGATCAAGGACACATGCCTGGGTTTCTGGCTCAATCCCCAGTAGGGGCATGCAGGAGTCAGCCAATCAATGGTTCTCTCTCATCATTGATGTTTCTATCTCTCTCTTCCTCTCCCTTCCTCTCTGAAATCAATAAAAAAAATTTTTTTTTTTTTAAAGAAGAAGTACCATGATAAAATGGGGTCAAGAAAGAGCTATAATATGAAGGATTGATGGGATCAAGAGAGAGATGATAAGCACCTGAACTAAGAAACAGAAAGGACTGGGTTCAGATAAACAAGATAATAGGATTTAAATCAAGTAGAAAATATAGATTGTGTGAGCATTAATATAATAGTCAATAAAATGCTGAGTTGTATAAAATCAAATACCCAAATAAAAGATGCAAATGTGCCATGAGTAATTACAAATGTGTTTTCTAAACACTTTGGGTGATTTGAATAGTGAGAAGAAAATAGGGGGAACCTGCCAGTCAGTCTGACACTTTTTATCTCTATTTTTACATTTGGGGGATGCTAGTTTGGAACAGAAGAAGTGTTATTTTGGCATCTTGTAACTCAGGACTCAGAGGCTAGTGGGCATTCATAGTTCTTCATCTGGGATGTTCAAATGCTTAAAGTCAGAGCCCTCTTTCATGCTCTGCCTCATTTGTAACATCATAGTCATAAATGAAGCCTCTGATATATGATCTCCTGTTTTCAAGGAATTACCTTGCCCTGCTAGTAGCTAAGACCCACTGGACTAAAGCTATTGTAGGCTATTAGCAATCAGTCAGTGTATGGCTGAAGTATGCTATACAAAATGCTTTGCTGGTATAGAAACTTAATTTATTTGGATAATGAATAGGACACTCAATTTTCTTTTCTTGTAGTCACTAATGTACTTTAATTTATTGTACTGGAAATATATGAAAAGACTAATATTTCCAGTTATTCTATGTGTATCTTTATAAAACTTGATTTTATAAACATACACATAATAGAATATATATGTTATTAGATAAATACTATGAGTTTAAAGCATCTAATAAATTTTTTAAAATATATTTTCTTGTTTTTTTACAGAGAGGAAGGGAGAGGGATAGAGAGCTAGAAACGTCGATGAGAGAGAAACATCGACCAGCTACCTCTTGCACACCCCCTACCGGGGATGTGCTCGCAACCAATGCACATGCCCCTGACCGGAATCAAACCTGGGACCTTTCAGTCGGCAGACCGACAATTTACCACTGAGCCAAACCAGTTTCAGCTAAAGCATCTAATAAATTTTCCTTGCTTGTTTTTTCCTAGTTTTGGGGGGTTTGTAATAAGAATTTATTGTGTCGCCAAAACCTGTTTGGCCCAAAGGATAGAGCGTTGGTCTGCGGACTGAAAGATCCCAGGTTTGATTCTGGTCAAGGGCATGTACATAGGTTGCAGGCATTTCCCCGGTAGGGAGTATGCAAGAGGCAACTGTTTCTCTTGCAACGATGTTTCTAGTTCTCTATCCCTCTCCCTTCCTCTCTGTAAAAAAATCAATAAAATATATATTTTTTTAAAAAGAATTTATTGTGTCACAAACTATCATTTCTCCTTTAATCTTGCCTTATTATATTAAATTCTGATTTTCATAGCTATTTCTGCTATTAAAATTGTAAGTTAAGAAAATAGTATTTATTTCTAAAACCATGTTTTTATAACCATAACAACATCTTAAGTGTATTGTTATAAATATTTTCCTGTGAGTGACTCATTATTATGTGAGAAATCTAAGCTTCTATGTGACTCATTATTATGTGAGAAATCTAAGCTTCTATATGTGAGAACATTTGTAATGTTCCCCTTTATAATTGTAACTAGAGACCTGGTACACAAAATTCGTGCACAGGAGTGTGTGTATCCCTCAGCCCAGCCTGCACTCTCTACAATCTGGGATCCTTCTCACAATCCAGGACTGCTGGCTCCAAACCACTCGCCTGCCCGCCTGCCCTCCCCTGCAAACTTCCAACTGCCCTCCTTTGCAGACCTGGTTCTACCCCCACCACCCCCCGCAACTACCTTCCCCATGCAGGCCTGGTCACCCCCTACTGTCCTTCCCTTCTAGTCATCTTGTGGCAGCCATCTTGTGTCCACATGGGGGTGGCCATATTTGACCACATGGGGGCAGCCATCTTATGTGATGGAGTGATGGTCAATTTGCACATTACCTCTTTATTATATAGGATTGTGGAGTTGTAAGGGAAATGTGAGTTCATTTCAGTTGGATAATACATGAACCCTGTCTAGCATTTCACTGATGTAGAGGCAGGAAATTGCTATGAATGGATTTATCAGTTTAATTGCAATAAAGAATTTGTTATAAATTGTTTGAATTTAGAGATTAAAAGAATAAGCCAAAGAGAGCTGCAAACAAGAAATGGTATACTGGAACTTTCTCTAGCAGAGGCTTGGTGTTAGTACTGTCACCTAAATAGTGTTGGATTTAATCTAAAATATCATTATCCTTTACACTAAATTATAAACTTAACTAAGATATTCAAAATTTAAGGATCTAATATCCAGTCCTTAGCAGCAGCACACACAAAATGCGAACTGACTCCTCATACAAGGAGCTGAGCCTGCTTCCCAGTGTTTTCCATCTGGCCTGTGATTATTAAGCAAAGTGCTTGATCCTCTTTCCGTTCTTCCACTGATGTGGCAGCTCCCACCATCGGGTTTTCCTGTGTACCCAGGTGGACCTTTTCCTCCTTTCCTTTCAGAGACGCTACCTTCTGTCTTCACCTTCTCTTCCTGGCCTTCCTCTCACTCTGAAAAGCCTCTTCTATCAGTTCTTTACCTTCTAGCTAGACTTGCCACTCATGAAGTTTAGGAATATCAGATATGTTATAATATTGAATGGTTTAAGAAAATATTAGAATCTTAGAGGAGTAGGAGCCTTACTTATCCCTCTTAAAAACTGGATCCCTTGGAGGAAATGTTAGGCTAAATTTTTTTTTTAAATATATTTTATTGATATTTTACAGAGAGGAGGAAGGGAGAGAGATAGAGAGCTGGAAACGTTGATGAGAGAGAAACATCAACCAGCTGCCTCTTACACACCCCCCATTGGGGATGTGCCCGCAACCAATGTACATGCCCTTGACCGGAATCGAACCTGGGACCTTTCAGTCCGTAGACCGACCGACGCTCTACCACTGAGCCAAACCGGTTTCGGCTAAATTTTAAAGTTCTATAGAACTAATCTGTGAAAGTACGCATTGTGCCTACTATTATAATATAGCAGGCATTTCTTTAACTCTGTTTTATAGATGAAAAAGAAAAGTTTCAAGTTTTCTTGGGCAGTTTCCTGAAAATAAGTTTCATCTATTACTTAATTTTGGATTATAATGAAGTAATTTGTTTCACTTTAACCTGAGAGGTTCAAATTTGTATGATTTCATCAGATAATTTCACACTTGGCCTTTAAATACTATCTTAAACTATATTTTTATAAGGTCATTGTTTTTATTCAAATCTTTAATCACTCAAAAGTTAAAATGTATTTTTTATCAAAAAATCAGATTACTAGGCATGTACTGTAAACTTGATTATTTTACATATAATTTTAGAACTTTCAATTTAAAAATTCATTTTCATGCTTGCTTTAGTGTGAATGAGAGAGTAGCCACCAGTTTTTAAAATACTGTTAATTTTGATTATATTTTGGTGTCAGTTTGGCATTGTTAATACAAATTCTGTATTTCCTCTCATTTGTTCCTAGGATACTGCTATTGTTCATCCAGTTCCTATTCGTATGACTCCAAGCAAAATCCACATGCAGGAAATGGAACTTAAAAGAACTGGCAGTGGTAAGGAATCTGTGGCTTGTCTGTATTAGGTTAGCGGGTAGGATTTAGGTTAGCTTCAACTACATAAATACAGAAGTAATTATTCTATCAGGCTTCAGATTTCTTTCATAATTGCTTATTTTTTAACATAGTACATTCTACAGTTATACATATATGTGTGTGCTTGTGTGTATATTTTAACTTTTTTAAAAAAAATATATTTTATTGATTTTTTACAGAGAGGAAGGGAGAGAGATAGAGAGCTAGAAACGTCGATGAGAGAGTAACATCGACCAGCTGCCTCTTGCACACCCCCTACTGGGGATGTGCCTAAAACCAAGGTACATGCCCTTGAGCAGAATCAAACCCAGGACCTTTCAGTCCGCAAGCCGACGCTCTATCCACTGAGCCAAACCGGTGCCAGCTATATTTTAACTTATTTTAGTTTTTAAAAGGAAATTATTGAATTTAAATTATAAAACTTAAATAAGGACATTGAAAATATGAATTTTCTGATAGTCTGTGTTTTTATGACCATTTTCGTGAATTTACATTTAAAGTATGTTGAAATTGTAACTGAAGAGGCATATAGTGAGTTTTGGCTTTGAAATTCTTTTGCTTAAGTTCTTGAATTTTCTCATTTTAGTTTTTTTATCCTCACACAAGAGTGTATTTATTCTTTTTTTTTGTTTTTGTTTTTGTTTTTGTTTTTTGAGAGGGAGAGAAACATTAATGTGAGAAACATCTACCAGTTGCTTCTCGTATAAGCTCCGACTGAGGAATGAACCCACAACCTGGCTATGTGTCCTGACCAGGAATCAAATCCACAACTTTTTGGTGTGCAGGAGGACACTCCAACCAACTGAGCCACCCAGTCAAGGCAATTTTCTCCTCATTTTAGATTAAATATTTTATAATTAGAGTTTCTCAAAGACAAACTTATTTCCTATATTAGTCAACATCATAAATTACTTATTTATAACCATTTGTGTGGTGTTTTGTTCAAATAATTGCTTGTCTAAAGAGATAAAATTAAAATATTAACATGCAAATTGACTTTTTAATTGTAAAATATCTTCTATATGGCAGAAAACAAAATTCTATAAATAGGTTTATATTTGTTTTTATTAAGAATATTATTTTGTATTATTTCCTATGGATTTATTGGCTACTTCTTTGTAATATCTAAATGAAGTCTCATATACTCTGAGCATTATGAATTTATTAATTCAAATACCTATATCTTATATTTTTACTTACTAATTTTTTTTTTCTACTAGATCATACTAATCCCACTAGCCCATTACTTGTGAAAACATCTGACCTTTCAGAAGAAAATACGATAAATTCATCAGTGAAATTCGCTTCTGGAAATACTGTAGGTAAGTGAAAGATACCACTACATCTCCCCCTAGAAGTATATTAAGTCTGGATTTAGAGCCTGAATGTTACAAATGTGTAGCCATTTAATATTATCTTTACTGAATAGAGTAGAGAATAGTCAACCCTTTTATTTTATTTTTTTTTAAAATATATTTTATTGATTTTTTACAGAGAGGAAGGGAGAGAGATAGAGAGCTAGAAACGTCGATGAGAGAGAAACATCGACCAGCTGCCTCTTGCACACCCCCTACTGGGGATGTGCCCGCAACCCAGGTACATGCCCTTGACCTGAATCGAACCCTGGACCCTTCAGTCTGCAGACCAACGCTCTACCACTGAGCCAAACCAGTTTCGGCAATAGTCAACCCTTTTAAACACCCTACCTGCTGTATCAGTAAATGGGTCCCCATTGTCACCTGAACCTGCTTCAAGACAGGCCTCCTGTTTGCCTCTCAGTTAGCCAGATTTAGTCCATTGGCTCTTTCCCACTAGATTCTTTCTTTCTCTCACAAGAAATAGTGTGTATATTCAGTCATTCAGCCAGTGTTGATTGAATACTATGTGCCAGGCTCTGTTCTAGACACTGGGGATTTAGTAGTAAAATAAACAAAAATCTTTGCTTTTATGGAGCTTATATTTTGTAGGGGAAATAAGATGAAAAGGGGAGGAGAGAATAACTCATGCTCTAGGAGGTGATTACATAACACCCTGGATAAAAATTAAATTGGGAAAGGGGAAAGGGAGTGACATGTTCAATTAGCTGGTTAAAGAAGGCCTTACCAAAAGATGACATTTGAGTGGAGGGATTTGGCTGGTGAATTTCTGAAGCAAAGCCATTTAAGGCATAGAAATAGCAGATGTGAGGTCCTGATTTAGGAAACATGCCATACTTCTGCTGGGAGCAGCGAGCAAACACCTAGAATAGAACTACTTAGCAAACTTAGCAGGTAGAGGTAGCAAATGTAGAATAGTAACCTGGAGCAGGTTAAGACAGTCTCTTACTGAGTGAGATGAAAAGCTGTTAGAGGATTCTGAGTGGAGAAGTGGCATGGTCTGACCTTCCTTCTTTAACAGGATTACTCTGGCTGCTATACTGGTAATGGGCCAAAAGGCAGGAGCCAAAATAGGGAAAGACTATTTAGGAGATAGTTACTAGTATAATAATGCAGACAAGTGAAGATGATGGCTTGGTCTATGGTGGTGGCAGTAGAAATGCTGAGAAATGGTCGAGTTCTGGCTGTATTTTGTAGGATAAGACCACAGGATTTGCTTATCTATATGATTATAGGATGTGTGAGAGAGGACTTGGGGTGACTCATGGGATTTTTGGCCTGTGCAACTGGGAATTGAGGATGACTGTGGTAGGAGTAGGTTTGTGGGAGAATAATAGGAGTTCAGTTTTAGACATCTTAAGTTTGAAATACCCATTATAACATACAAATAGAAATATGTTAGCCTTATTCTTTTACCAACTAAATAATTCAGTGATTTAACTGAAAAAGGGATACATTTTGAAATATGTCCAAACAACCAGTCCCTTTAAGTTATAATTCTTGAAAGTGAATAGATATGTTTTCCTTTGTTCCTAGAGTTCCTCCTATTTTAAAATGCCTTTATTATGTCACAACTTCCAGTCTGCCTCTGGAGTCTCTATTCCTTCATAGGACTTTGAAGAAGTTGAAAATGATATTTCCTCAGGAGAAAAATTAGGAACCTCTAGCTAACTTTATAAATTTTATTATTGCCTAAGCACATTTTATTTTCTTGTGAAATTTTTAATTTTTCACATTAACAATTTTTAAATGTTTTCTTTATTTAAAATATTTCTAATTTGTTCTTTAAAAATGATTTTTATTACAAAAGTAGTTCACACTTACTATAGAAGTGTAATAAAAATAAAAATGTTTATAATCTGTTTCACAAATGACCATGATTAGCATTCATTGTCCAGCTTAATCAACATTCTGTGCATATGCCATATTTTTATATAGAATGAAATTGTAACGTATGTACTGTTTGTGATTTCTTTTATGTGACTTATTTTGAATATTTATGGTATTAAGTGTTAACTTTTCTAGATTATAACGTACACCATATGCATAGTATTTTGTTGTATAAATAAGCAATTATTTATTTGATTTATATATTTTTTTACAATATACAAAATATATTTAATTTTTTATAATAAAACTGGTATGAACTGTTAACCTGTTAGCCAGTCTGAATATTGATTTGAAACAATAATTCAGTTATATTTGGGGCACATAAGTTAAAGTGAAAAAATGATTATTATTAAGTAGACTATATTCCATTTATCAGCAGATGGTTACAGTAGTTCAGACTCTTTTACTTCAGACCCAGAACAGATCGGGAATAATGTAACTCGTCAAAGGTCAGTATTTCTGTCAATAAAAAAGCATATTAAAAAAATATCTTGTTACATTTCAATATTTAAAATTATATAGGACCAAGTATAAATTACATATTTTTGTCTATTCTTTAGTTCTTCACTTCTCTGAAGGCTGTTAGGTTATCTATTGATTTATGTAAAAGGGAAGTACTTTTGATTTTTTTTCCCATCTTGAATATAAAACAGATGAAACCCTTATTGTCTCATGGTATTCTGTGGAAGGTTTAAGAAGGACTGATAACTTCTTGACAGCAGCAATTTAATACAGTCCTTTTTTAGGTAAACTGAGTCTCTTTAAGTAATAAATGTGCAGATTTCCTTTTATAACCTTACTAGAGGCCCATTGCACAAGGATTCGTGCAATGGGCCTTCCTTCTTCTGGCTGCCATCATTGGTTTTCCTCTGGCACCCGGGACCCAGGCCTTCCCTCCAGCTAGAGCGAGGCTTGGCTTCTCTGCTCTGCCACAGTGGAGAAGCCAAGCCTCTTCAGTCTTTAGTCCTTGGTCATCTTCAGTCTTCAGTCTTCACCTGCATATGCATATTAACCCGCCGTCTTTGTTGGGTTAATTTGTATACTCACCTCTGATTGGCTAGTGGAGGTACAGTCAATTTGCATATTTTTCTTTTATTAGTGTAGATGGCAAATACCAAAAGAATTCTATGTTTAAAATGCTATCCAGAATCCCAGCCCAGTGTTGGGCTACCTATCTACCCTGAAGATCTGTGTTACATATAACTTTTCAGGCATAAACTAAAAAGGTGAGGGTGGAAAGGGTTTGTCTTCAAGGGCTTTGCCATCCACAGAACACTGTCTGCAGGACAGAAGCATCTTTCTCCTCTCACTTCTGAGGTGTGGTAAATATCGTTCTGACATAGGCCTAGAACAGTGTTTCCCAAACTTCTCTCATGATGAGAATCACCTGGTGAGTTATTAAAATACAGATTCCTGAATCCCAACTCAGAAGTGCTAAACTAGAATTTTTGGGAACATATAGGTAAAATTGTATACTTAACTATAAGTTACTTAACTATAAGTATACAATTTTACTTATATGTTCCCAAAAATTCTAGTTTAGAACAAGAGAAATGGATTCTGAGAAAAGACCATGAGATTTGGCCATTAGATCACATCAGTGCCTTCTTGTACGTGACAAAGCAATCTTTTAGGAATCTTTATAAGTTACTTAACTATAAGTATACAATTTTACCTATATGTTCTCAAAAATTCTAGTTTAGCACTTCTTAGTTGGGACTCAGGAATCTGTAGTTTAACAGCCCCACCAGGTGATTCTCATCATGAGAGAAGCTTGGGAGACACTGGCCTAGAGGATGTAGAGAGAGGCTGGTAACATAGAATCACCAAAGATCTTAGAGCCAGAGGCTGCTTCTTTATAGTTCTTCCTGTGTTTCTTAAAATTCTCAGTCATCTTGGTTTTTATTCTACTTTTTATCCCTATAAGTGAAGATTAGATTTCCAGAGTCCATGAGACTCTTTTCAGAATATAGAAAAAGTTGGTGGGAAAGAAGCGCATCTCCAGGTGAGTTGAGCATGAGTACAGCCACCTTTAAAAGGGATGGCCTGTGGTAACACAGAATGGGACTGCAGATAGTGAGCCAGATTGTACCTCACCTTGCCAAACTCCAGACGTTAAGCTGAAAACTGTCCATGTTTAAAGTAGAGTTTGTTTTTTTTTTTTTTTAAAGATTTTTTTCATTGATTTTTAGAGAGAGAGGAAGGGGAGGGAGAAAAAGAGAAACATCATAAGAGAGAAACATTGATTGGCTACCTCCTGCATGCCCCTTACCATGGATCAAACCCACAACCCAAGTGTATGCCTTGATTGGAAATCTAACCAGCTACCTTTCTGTGCATGGGATGGTATTTACAGAACCCTGAACCACACTGGTCAGGGTTAGAGTTTTTGGTTTTTTAAAAATAAATATTTTAAACAAATATTTATAATTGAATGGGGAAACATTATACTAGTTTTGCAGTCTACCTCAAATTCTTGTTAATAACTTTTCAATTTTTTAAAAATGTTGTTAAATGTAAAATTATACTTTATAAAAAAGATTATGTGCCATATTAAATTAACTACTTGTGGAATGCACATCATAAATAGTACTGGCTTTACTCATTGTAATATGTGTATACCTACTTGAGAAAATATCCTTTGCTGCTTAGCCAAGTTTGAATGCTTACAAAGCAAAAGCTCCGGTATCAGTAGCATGACCAACTGCATGTGGTGACTTTTTGCAGGTCTCATTCAGGAACATCCCCTGATACCACTGCGCCACCACCCCCCCCTCCAAGGCCACAGCCCTCGCATTCTAGATCGTCATCTTTAGACATGAATCGGACCTTTACAGTCACCACAGGTAGGGGTTAGAGCCGTGAATCAAGTTATGATCTGATTTAAAGTCATTAAGGGCACACAACACCTTATTTTCTCAACATGTCTGTTTTTATATTTATCCAAAGAAAAAATTTGGATTTAAAAAGTATCAGAGAGGGAATTTTTTTTCTTAATGTCTGTCTAAACCGTGTTTGAATTCAAGTGATAAAGATGGGAACCTGAGAGATGCCACAGAGATTGTAAAAGTACGATATGGTGATATCAAAAAGGAAAAGCGAATAGGTCTTAAGTTAGCAACAAAAGGGAGAACCCACAGCTTACTCCAATATTTTAATTTTTATATAATCGGTCATTATTATTATGTTGATCAAAATAAAAAGTTAAGACAGTGGGTAACAATGTCCTGTTTGGACATTGTGAGTTTGGAATTACGAGGAAAAAGAAATAATCAACAGGTCACTGGATTTGTGGGCTAAGAAAGATGAATCCATTATTTGAGAATCATTTTCATAGAAACAATAGAGTGAAGTATTAATTAAAAGAGAAAATTGGAAGTCCTCATAGTCGATAGCTAAAGATCAGTCAGAATATGGAAGGAAAGCCAAGAATGTGTAGTATTATGGAAACAAGGAGGAACATGTCAAGAGTTCCCTGTGCAGTTGAACAAGAGAAATGGATTCTGAGAAAAGACCATGAGATTTGGCCATTAGATCACATCAGTGCCTTCCTGTACGTGACAAAGCAATCTTTTAGGAATCTTTATCATTTGATCATATTCATTCAATCTGTTCTACTAGCAGAGTAATTGTAGACTTACTAAAAAGAAGACTTGTGTATTCACACAGGACAACAACAGGCTGGAGTTGTTGCCCATCCTCCTGCCGTGCCTCCAAGACCACAGCCTTCACAGGTATTCTGCCACGTGTTCATTACTAAACACCAGTTGTTACACTCCTCATGATTAACTGTTACGTATTTGATTCTATTCTAGAATTATTTTTAAGGTCCAGAATTACTGAATTTTCATTCTTGCAGAGCATTTAATTCAGGGATAATAAATCTTTATTTTCAAAGAAAATTCCAATAATAATTTCAGTTATTTTTTTAAAGAAGCTGCTAGTAAACCAAATGATAGTGTTTTGACAAAGGAGAGTTTAGTTGAAAGAACTGGATTGGGAGATAGGAGATGTCCATCTGTGTCTTGGATCTAGCAGTGACTCAGAGTGACCTCACTATGTTGTTCTGGATGGTTACTGCGTCAGTAAAGGAAGTGTCAGATGACCTCTGCATCCCTGCCAGGTTGAAATTGTTTTGATATGCACAAAACTATTATGTTCCAGGGTAGATTCTGGATTATAGCTGTTAGTTTTATGTCACTGACTGACTACCTTTTACATGAGTGAATTTGGTTGATTTTTTTGAGTTAGAGTCTTAAAATGAAGTTGAGTATTTGCAGTTAAAAAGATGATTTCTTAATCATTAAAGGTGCTGAAATTTGAATATTCCAGTATTTATTTTATCTAAAGTGCCAACAAAAATATTCTTACTGGATTAAGCTGTGAAACCCAATGAGTTGGTCTCTTGATTCAAGAACCGGTCTAGTGGGGAAGACAACTATAAAGAATTGTAAGGGCAACAGATGTGTTTATGAAATGTTTTGCTACATCTTTACTAATTAGTAAAGTCAGGGATCACATTGAAAAGATATAAGTGAAGGAAGTAACACTTAAGTAGAGACTTGAAAGATAAAGTAGTACTGATTTGGGAGAAGGCTTTCCAACCAGACAGAAAGGCATCCACAAAATCATACACGTGTGGGGTAAGACTTCAAGGAAAATGAGTTAGTTTAGAACAGTTGGAATGATGGGAAAGGAAACTGAAGAGGTCCGTAAGGGGCAGAGCATCTCCTATATCATTATAAGAAGGATACACTTTTTTTTAGAGGAGAGGGAAACTTTTTAACAGTTAAAGCAAGGAACAGATTTCTGATATATTCCTATAGCGTCCTGTACTTCCTTTGTCATAAAACTTTCACACTCTATTTTAATTCCTTGTAAACCTACATCTCAACCTGCAGTAGACTGTCAACTTTATTGAGCATGGATTTTATTTGTTTTGTTCATTGTTATAACCATAATGCTTGGCCAAAAGTAGATAGTCAAAAAAAATATTTTTGATTGAAAATTGTAGAAGGATTGGTCTGGCAATGAAGTAGAGGATAAATTGAAGGAAAGCCCACAAAAGTGCTGGAAGGATAATTAGCACACTGGTTTTTACACTTTAAAAAATAATATTTTTATAAACATAAACATTTAAAAAAAATAACTTGTTTGAAGAACAAACAATTGCACAGTAGCCCAATTAAGAAAAAAATAGATGCAAGTGGGAATAGAACCTAACTTTCCCCTCTCCTTATGCTCTTTCTTTGCAATAAGAATTTTGTAAAGCTATTTGTTTTATTGGGATGATGCATCTGTGTGTGTGTGTGTGTGTGTGTATGTGTGTGTGTGTGTGTGTGTGTGTTAGCATTTCTCTTCTGGGTTTTTTAGAGCTAAATGTTCCTGTAGGTCACCTCCCTGAATTTACAGATAAAACAGAGCATCTTTTTAATAATATGTTAAAAGAGCCGCTTGGTGACTGGTACACCAATGGACTGTTTGTTCTTCTATTCTGAACCTTGTGCAGGCTCCTGGTCCCACAGTGCATCGCTCAGTGGATGCCGATGGCATGATAGCTCACACTAGTACCTCACCTCAGCAGATACCAGAGCAACCAAATTTTGCAGATTTCAGCCAATTTGAAGTATTTGCTGCATCAAATGTAAATGAAGAACAAGATGATGAAGCTGAGAAACATCCAGAAGTCTTGCCGGTCAGTTTTTAAGGGCTTATCTAATTTTCCACAGGGACTCTTTCCATATCTTTAGAGCCAGTCTGTAAACAGAGGAGCCTCTAAAAGAGCAGATATTAGAGTGAACATCAGTGAGCAAAATATCTGGGGCTGCTGCTGCTTGGAGATTATTTATATTCCCTAGGCCAGTACTACTCAGTTTTTTTCATTGTCATTAAACCCCTGCTAATTGCAGTGTATTGCTTTAATAAGAATCAGAATCTGAGTGGGAGTAGCTGTTGTGTGAAAAACACTGCTCTGGGGTTGCTTTTTTTTTTTTAATCCTCACTCGAGGATATTTTTCCATTGATTTTTAGAGAGAGGGAAAGACGACAAAACATTGATGTGAGAGAAACACATTGATTGGTTGCCTCCTGCACATGCCCAACTATGGCCCGGGCCTGGGCCAGGGAGGAGCCTGCAACCGAGGTACAGTCCTTGACCAGAATCGAACCTGGGACCCTCCAGTCCCCAGGCCAACGCTCTATCCACTGAGCCAAACCAGCTGGGACTGGGGTTGCATCTTAATGCTAAGCTTCTGATTGTGTGACTTGGTGAAGATATCCATGTAGCAGTAGGCTATGGTTGCCATAGCTTGTATGAGAATAAGTCACTTTAGTTAGACTTACAGACTACAGGATGCCAAAATGTACCATAATCTCTGGGTACAATGCTCCTGGAGACTCTGTTTACTTCTAGTTGCAAGACCTTCTCTAGGGGTCCCTGACTTCACTAACTATAAATGTGGAATTGGAGGGACCACATGAATTCTAAAACCTTGATTCTGATTGTCTCAACCCAGATTGAGCCTCTCTGACAGATCCCAAAATCCATGTTCATTTGACAGGCATCATTTAGCCAAAGGTTTCTTATAAATCTGATACGTAAAAAATTTTCTAGCCACTTCTTCAAGCCTGTAACCTGTCTCACAGTGGGATCACAGGGTATGGCCTGGACCTCCAAGGGAGAACCTGAGGGGAAGTACCAGTGTGCACAAGATGCTGGTCGTCAGGCCCCTGGGTGGATGCATCCCTCCCAAGCTCAAGAAATGCCTAAATTCCCTCTGGTTGCATCCTCAGCTCTCCCCTTCCCCCTCAGATCTATTACCTTCCCTCCTCTCTGCTCTTCATAGAGAATGGTTATTTTACCGGGTTTTCTCAAATTCCTTCTCATCTTCATTTCAGATTCCTTATTGTCATAATGAATATTTTCTTAACATTTTACTCTGGTGCTTTATGTATATTTTTATGCATAATAATATATTGCTTATATATAATTAGTAATAATATATTCATTTCTAGGTTGAAAAAGTTTCTGATCCTGCAAGTTCTCTTCGAGTTGCCAAAACAGATAATAAAATTGAAGAAAAGACAGCTGCTAATGCTCCTGCCAATGTGGTATGCAAGAAGTCTTTTATAATATTGACTAGAGTCTTTTATAATATTGAAATTCATGCATGGGGGTGTGTGTCTCTCAGCCCAGTCTGCACCTTCTCCAATCTGGGACCCCTTGAGAGATGTCCAGCTGCCCTCTTCAATCCGGGCTGCTGGCTCCCAAGTGTTTGCCTATCTGCCTTCCTGGTTACCCCCAACCGCTTCTGCCTTCCAACCTGATCAACCCCTAACCACTCCCCTGACAGACTGATTGATGCCTAACTGTTCCCCTGCCAGCCTGTTTGCCCCTAACTGCCTTTTCTTGCAGGCCTGGTCCCTCCCAACTGCCCTCTCCTGCTGGCCATCTTGTGGCAGCCATCTTGTGTTCACATGGGAGCAGCCATCTTTGACCACATGGGGGCAGCCATCTTGTGTGTTGGAGAGATGGTCAATTTGCATATTACTTTTTTATTAGTTATGATAGAGGCCTGTTGACGGATGAGGGTGGGGTCAGCTGGTTTGCCCTAAAGGATGTCCTGGATCAGGGTGGGGGTTCCCGTAGGGCTGCCTGGTGAGGGGACTGTGGTGGTTTGCAGGCTGGCCACGTCCCTGGCAACCCAAAGGGAGGCCCTAAATCTGGGATTTATTTATCTTTTATAATTGAAACTTTGTAGCCTTGAGCAGAGCCAAGCCTCCTGCTTGTTCCATGGATGCAGCTATTTTTGTTGGGAATTATTTATCTTCTGTAATTAAAACTTTGTAGCAGAGGCCAAGGTAGGCCAGGGCTGCAAGAGCTTGGCTTCCTCTATCGCCAGGGGAAACCCAAGCCTCCTGCTCTCCAGCTCCACTGCTGCCATTTTTGTTGGTATTTACTTATCTTCTGTAATTGAAACTTTATAGCCTTGAGTGGAGGCCTAGGCCCGCCAGGGTGTGCGGAAAGCTTGGCTTCCTCCATTGTCAGGGAAACCCAAGCCTCCTGCTTGCTCTGTGGCCACAGCCATCTTGGTTGAATTAATTTGCATACTCGCTCCTGGTTGGCTGGTGGGCGTGTCTTGTGGGTATAACAATGGTTAATTTGCATATTACCCTTATGAGATAGGATCATTTTGTACATAAAAAAGAGATAATTTATACTTTTTAAGATTTTAAAGATAACAAAAATCTTAGAAATAAAGTTAGAGAACATCTAACCCATTCCTTTCACTGTAGCATCTTTAATCTGTCTCAGCATATGATCTTCCTGTAAAATATCCTAGATAATAGTCTATCATCCATATGAATACATGCCACAGTTCTTAAAAGTTATGTGGTATTTGCCGAAACTGGTTTGGCTCAGCAGTAGAGCGTTGGTCTGCGGACTGAAGGGTCCCAGGTTCGATTCCAGTCAGGGGCATGTACTTTGGTTGCGGGCGCATCCCCAGTAGGGGGTGTGCAGGAGGCAGCTGGTCGATGTTTCTCTCTCATCGACGTTTCTAGCTCTCTATATCTCTCCTTTCCTCTCTGTAAGAAAAATCAATAAAATATATATATATTTTTTAAAAAGAATTGCGAGTTTTAAAATTTTTTGCAGCACACTGGTTGGAAATTACTGATCTAAGTCAATCCTTAACTGCAATTTGCAGTTAAGAAAAATTTTGAAAGAAAAATTTTGCTCATTTTCTCCCCTAAATTCATCCTGACATTTCTTCTTTTTTTTTTTTTTAATATATTTTATTGATTTTGTACAGAGAGGAAAGGAGATAGTTAGAAACATCGATGAGAGAGAGTCAGCGATCAGCTGCCTCCTGCACACCCCCAACTGGGGATATGCCCGCAACCAAAGTACATGCCCCTGTCCGGAATCGAACCTGGGACCCTTCAGTCCCCAAGCCGACGCTCTATTCACTGAGCCAAACCGGTCTTGGCCATCCTGACATTTCTGATAGTTATTAAAGTAGCATTTGTTTCTGAAAGTACTTAAATTCTACTTTTTGAATACTTTATTATTTACTACATTAGTAATTTTCTATGGTGTTTTTTAATAGTTAATTTTTGTCAGCTCTTATTAACAAATTAAAAATAGCAGTTAACCAAAGAGATGGCAGTTGAGTCTTTTCATTTGTTAACAAGTCAAGTCAAGCTATGGTAAATACTAAAATACCATATTTGATTTTGTTGAAGACAGATTCACAGTTTCCAACAAAATATCTACTCATTTTCATTAGTTATAATTATTATGCACCTTAGTGAAGGGTTTTTTAACGGTGTCTAACTTACCTCTTCTTTATAAATGGCTTTATTCATTAAGATGATGTATTTTAGTATTTTTGAATAGGAAACTTTATGGTGATAATGGATGTACATTCCTGGACACTTTCTTTTATATTTTTTGAACAGATATATATTGAGCATGTGTTATGATCATGTTAAATCTGTGATTATTACAGTCTTGAGTCAGATTCAGGTCTGATGTTAACCTTTAAAAATTGTCTAGTCAGTACATTCACAATTGTGATATCATGTAGGAACATCTCCTATTATAACTTACGTCAGGTGTTGCTACAAATTATAAATAGTTTTAAAGTAAGAAGAGTGATTTAATTTTTGGAGAATAAGTGGCTTTTACAGAAAGCAAATGACGTTGACAAAATTCTGACTAACCATGAATGTCTTCAGGAAATGCTTCATTATTAATGGAATTCTTATCTTCCAGGGCAAAGGTACAACACCTCTTGCTCCACCACCCAAACCTGTTCGAAGAAGATTAAAATCAGAAGATGAGTTAAGGCCTGAAGTTGATGAACATACACAAAAGACAGGTGTCTTAGCTGGTGTTCTTGCATCACAGCCTTCTATTCCTAGGTAATCAAAGCTATCCTAAATTCAGTTAATTACTAGGAACAAAAAGTACAGCAATTAAAAATATCAAACAGAAAGAAATTATGGTCAGACTAGTTCTGTAGTTGAAGAAAGCTTCTTAATTGTTGCTCTTTGAGAGTTTTCTCATTTATGAGTACATAGAGTATTCTTTCCACTTTTCTATTATTAAGTTCTTTTTCCAATTTCATTTTAGTACTCTATTGCACACTTTTAAAAATTAATAGTGTAGGGTAACACTGATATTTTAACTCCAGTTCTTTTAGACCAGGACTTTTGATATTTTAACTCTAGTTCTTTTAGACCAGGACTTTGCAGGCTGGGTCTTATGGGCCAAAATCAGCACGTGGCCTGTGTTTGTAAGTGCCATGAGGTATGGCTTTTACATTTTTGTAAAGAAAGAGAGAGCGAGAGGGAGAAAGAGAGAGAGAACACAGAAATATGACCTTCAAAAAAGTAGTTACTGTCTGGCCATTTATAGAAAAAATTTGCTTATGCCTGCTCTAGACTAACAAGTTATTTTACAGAAGAAGAAGAATTAAAACAATAACAAAAAGTAAGCTTCTGAAATGTAGATACTTTTGGTTGCCATTGAAACTAAGTGAGGTTAAGCTAGATTGATAAGGCAAAAAATACTATTTTTCTGGTTTACAGGTAGATCATGGAAGAATGGAGAGAATTTAAAGATAAGAAATGACAAGGTTGTTTACTTATTTTGCCCTCTTTATCTCCTCAGGTCTGTTGGGAAAGATAAAAAAGCTATTCAGGCATCAATTAGACGCAATAAGGAAACCAACACAGTTTTGGCCAGATTGAATAGTGAATTGCAGCAACAATTAAAGGTAATATGGTTTCTGAATGTTTGGGAAGTTCCTTGGGCACAGAGTATCTCAGGGTTGAACTGGAACTTAGAGGTGATCCAGCAATGCTTATATTAGTATGAAACTTGCTGTGTAGCAAGAGAAATATCTATCTAAAATGTGTTATATGTCTTTGAGACTTTTAATATTAAAAAGAATATTTTATATTAAATGCTGATATGATTACCTTATAAAGGCATCGATATTTTTATACTGTTCCTTTACTTTTCATAATGAAACACCAGAGAGGAAATATGGTGACCTTAGGTACCTCTAAGATCACATACATGGCTCTCTCTACTTTCTTATTTAATTCTGATTTGAGTGTTGTCAACTTATCCTTTTATCAAAGATAACTCAGATTCTCTTAAAGGGACTAAACAGGTCTAAAGAAGAAGAGGGACGGAGGTAATATAGATCATCTTGCATGTGGAAAAAAGCTTAAATAGAAGTGCGTAGGACCAATGTGTGTTCCTGTCATCTGTACTTGAGAGAAATAGTTTTGTTTTTCTTACTTACTCTAGTCAAGATTTTTTTCAATCCCTGTGAATAAATATTAACAACCAGAATTATTTATGGCTTAACATTATTAAGCATTCATATTTTATAAACCAGTGTTTCTCAAACCTTAACACGTGTCTGGTTAATCTGGGGTCATGATAAATGCAAATTCTGATTCATATTAGGTATGGAGTAGACCCTGAGAATTCTGCATTTCTCATAAACTTCAAATATTAGAGATGTTGCTGGGCTGTTGACCAGCTTTGGGTAGCAAGGTTGTAAACCACAAAAATGAGTAAAAAAGAGTTTTCAGAAATGTAAAATGAATACAGAGTTTGTTCATTTCCATACCATTGTGTTCATATCCTCATCCAGCATTTGTCACACTGTCCTGGAGTTATTATCTGTGGCACATTTGTCTGTGTTCTACTAAACTGAACTCACCAAGGATAAATTATAATTATTTCTATTTAGGATAACTATATAATGTATGCCTAAACTTTGATTAAAAAGATTTTTTTTATTACAAAGAGGGAGTGAGGTGTTGTTAGTACTTAGGCCAGGACATCAGAGGTAAACTGGAACTATCCTAGATAAATTTGGAACCGTCTTGTCTCCAACCCCTAAACCTAGCACCTGTTAGGTTTTTAGGGTTTCCAGACCCAATTCCAATATTAGGAGGTGGTCCCCCATGCCAATAAAGAGTACTGACACTGGCAGGGTCTCTGAGAATTTCAGCTCAATTCTGACACTGTCTACCTGGAGATAATGCTAGGAGATAATGCTAGCTTCTGACCAACTGGCTATAGATGGAAGTTCCGATAGCACCACTCCCCGCCTTCTCCAACTAAGAATGCTAATCTCACAAGTCCAGGTTGTTAGTGGTACTTCTGACCAACCAACTGCCTACAAATTAGAGGTTCACATAGCCCCCTCCTGGGGATCCATTGATTTGCTAGAACAGAGAAATGTGTCCCTTATTAAGAACACTGATTTTATATGGCAAGGATAGGGGAAGGGGGCAAAGAGCTTCCATGCCTTTTCCAGGCTGTACTCCCACATCTCCATATTCTCACCAATCCAGAAGCTCTCCAAATACTGTCCTGAGGGATTTTTTTTTTTTAATATATTTTTATTGATTTTCTACAGAGAAGAAGGGAGAGAGATAGAGAGCTAGAAACATCGACGAGAGAGAGACATCGATCAGCTGCCTCTTGCACACCCCCTACCGGGGATATGCCCACAACCAAGGTACATGCCCTTGACCAGAATCAAACCCGGGACCTCTCAGTCCCCAAGCAGATGCTCTATCCATTGAGCCAAACCAGTTTCGGCGTGTCCTGAGGGTTTTTACAGAAGCTTCATTATTAGGCATTATTGATTAAATCATTGGAGGGCCCTGTTGATTCAACCTTCAGTCAGGATGGGACTGAAAGTTCCAGTTTTCTAATCGCTTGGTTGGTTCTCCTGGCAACCAGCCTTAGGTGCTTTCCAAAAGTCATTTTCATTAGTTTAACAAGATATGTATTCCCACCCCAAATGTTTGGGAAATTCCGAGGGCTTTTGAGAGCCTTAAGCCCGGAATTGTGGATGAAGACCAAATATTTATTAAATATACAGAATTTGGGTATCTGAATGACAAATGTATTATTTCTTATAAATCATAATATCTCTTTAGGCCTTAGATAAATGTCTGTTGAATGAATATTTTTGCAAAATTATTTGATCAAGAAGACATAGTTGGTCTATGATTATAAATTTGGGTTTGTTGTAAAGAAAGAGTATAAAACTAAGGACAAGCTTGCTAATACCAAACTGAAGACGAAAATTTTGTTCATAGGTGTTTTTAAGAACGAAAGAAAACCATAGAAACATGTATATAGGAGCCATTTTAAGAATCACCCTTCTCATTATTTCAGAGAAAAGAAAATAGGAAGTATGGTACCAAATAGGGAAAGGTAGTTCTGATTGAAATACAATACTATCAGTATTATGGGGGAGGGGAGGGAAGGAAAGTAGATAAATTAAAATTTACTGGCTATCTGCAAAGACTGCTCAAAAACAACAGTGATTAGAAATTCTATTGCAAAATAAGTTTATTCTTTGAGAAACTGAAACTCAAAATGAGATTCAGGCATTGCTATAACCATTGTAATCACCAGGGGCAAGTCTCTTAGTTAATTTATCTACAGTTATTGCAGGGAATAGGATTCACACATAATAGCCATTGTTGTGGCAGAACACATGGTCAGCCAGCACTCTGAGAGGAAAGTTTAACTTTTATTTAGCAGATCTGCTAGTCCAGGGGAATTCCGGATACAAAGCCTAAACTGAACAGGTGGGGAGTCTCTGACCTATGTAACTCCTTCCGTGGCTGGCCCCTGAGGGTCCCCGCTGCTCCACAGGGCCTTTGCGGGCCTGGGGGCATGTTCTGCAGCTCCGCCCTAGTCAGCTGTGGCGGAGCCTTGGGGTTGTGCTCTGCAGCTCTGCTCAAGTCAGAATGGAGAAGTAAGACTACAGTTTTAACCAGGTACTGAACTAGCTTGTAAGCCTCCCATTTACCTTTTCACCATCATTTGCAAATATTGTCTTTTCTAATAATTAAACAAAAAAAAAAAACACATTTTATTACCCTGATTTATATAATAAAAATATTTTAATAGCATATTTTAAAATTACATACATAAAGAAACATTTCTAAAGTGTCTTTTTTAAAAATGAACAGCTATCCCTTTGTTTTCTTAACAAATTTAAATTGTTTTGTTTTTTTTATGCAGAGCTGTTGTTAGATGTGCCTTAATTTTTATAGATTTTGTAACATAACTTGGCTTTGCATCTTTTTCAGGATGTTCTTGAGGAGAGAATTTCCCTGGAAGTTCAACTGGAACAACTTCGACCATTCTCTCACCTATAAGCCAATTGCCGTTAACTGTGAACATGCCCATTTTTAAGCAGTTTTGAGTTCAAGCCAATTTGGAGGCCCAAACATTCAGCTCACTGCTTAATTCAACATTAGATTTTATGATTCTGTTTTGCCCTATATGTTCACCATTGTATTTAAGTATCTTTTATTTTTTAATTTCAACAATAAAAGGGTCAGGATGACTTTTTCTCGAGGGTATATTGTGTTTGTTGGCACAGCCCACCCTTGTTATTCCAAAGCATCAGTAATATATAACATTGGTCCATTAGACTTATGTGGCCAAAACTTCACACTGATTTGATTTACAGAATGGGTTTCTTTTTACATTTCAAGCATATTTGCAAAAGGAGTCAAAGTTAAGTAAATTTAATTTGTCTTCTCTTAAGTTAAATGTTTTACATAAAGCATCTATATTTGTTCTGTAAAATCCTTTAAAATTAGTTTCCTTTTTAAATTTTTTATTTGAAAGAACTGTGTTGGATAAGACCTTCTTTAACTATAAGCTCTGCAGTAATCAGCGTTCTCTGGAGTCCTTAGTATTTTCAGCGTTCTCTGTGTCAACTTGGGGCTCAGGTTCTATATTATTTTATTTATGAAAATTTGATCAGTTTCACCAGTAACTTAAAATTGTTTTGCATGAGATTTTAATTCAGCTGCATTCAAACATATGAAATAGCTATGAAGATAGACCTTTCTTAATTACACCTTAAAAGTTGAAGGGAAAGTGTTGAATCAACACTTTCACAAACAACCTAACCACTTGCAAACATCACTGCTTTTTGAATGACTTATACACTTAACTCTCAATTAAAAGCTTATACTAATCAGTCTCCACAGAGATTATTTTCAAGTAATATGTTTTAAAACTTCTAAGGACATTAATTATTCACACAAAAAAATTAGAAATATCTTAGAATCTCTATCTTCAGCCGTCAGAATCTCTACAGCAGTGGTTCTCAACCTGTAGGTTGCAACCCACAGGTTGAGAACCATTTGCAGGGTTGCCTAAGACCATCAGAAAACACAGATATTTACATTATGATTCATTCACAATAACAAAATCACAAAAATAATTTTATGATTGGGGGTCACCACAACATGCGGAACTGTATTAAAAGGTCGTGGCATTAGAAAGGTTGAGAACCACTGCTTTAATGGTTTATTCTGTCTGTGGGATCATACATATTAAGCTGCATGGATATATCATAACTGAATCAAAAGTGTGGTTTTACACTAATGAAACAATATTTTAAAGTTTTATACATTTTTAACAAGAATTTAAATTTTTAATAATTAAAAGAAATTTATATTTTCATTGTTGAAAAAAAATGTTTCAAATAGCCTCGTTCACAATCCTATAGTGTACTAGTAGATTGTAGTTCCTTACAGGAGAATATGAAACTAAAAGGAAGTTGGCAACCAAAAGCTTTCTAGATTAGTATACCTTTTATCTACCATTAACTAAATAAAAATAATTTTACTACATATATCAGCTAAAGTTTCAAAGTACCTAAAAGGTTATGGCTTCAGATTGTTAAATACATAAATGAAGACTTTAAAGAATGGCCCAGAAAACTGCTCAACACCTATTTTGCTATTTCTCTGTTTTGAAATAGACTTGTCTTCATTTCTTTATTTTTATTCAACTAAATTCCATTACATGTAAATTTTGGTAGGTTTCCATTTATTTTTCTTTTTTTAAAGTGTTTTTTTCCAACAGCTTTTCAATTTAACATCACAAAATGTTAAAGCCTTTTATTTAGAAGATCTAAGAATTTTACTTAAAAATCGAAGAACATTTAAAAATTACAGAAAACTTTTTAGTACTTTGTAGTGGTATATTTTTAATGCTCTCTGGAAGATTATGTTCATATTAAGGATATATGTGACAAGTTACTGAGTAAATTGCCATTTATATTTCCTATATATATTTTTAAATTAATAATTCATTAAAATGTTAAAGATGATTGATAAATCACCTACAAATTGAAATATTTCTCTAGACTGATCATTTAAGAAATTTCATTCTGATTTTATTTTTTACCAGATCGTAAAAGAAAACTTTAAATATACAATATGCTTGTTCTGTCTTAGGTTTTGCCAGTTAAGTAACTCTAATAGTGTCCACGAAAAATAACTACCAAAAGAGATGGTTCAAAATCTTGGACTCAACTTATTATTGTGCATTTCACATTCTTGAACACAGATGCTAAAGTTTAAAAGTTAGGAGGAAACTTAAGGACCATCCTCGCATGGAACAAAAATACATGTCTATCTTTGCCAGGAGAATTGGCAGCCCTGATGTTTTCTTCAAGTGCAGCCTCACTTCTCAATGGTACTTTTTATTGTATTTAGGAGTACTGACAGCCATAGGAACTTGTCATCTTCAGCTTCTGTGGCACAAATCCACTCATGTTTTGGACCTTGAAGAATAAAGGCATTCTTGATATCTGTAAAAATATTTGAGGTTCACTAATTAATCTTTGCAGGTAACAATCAAAAGGAGAAATTGTTTAAAATTCAAAAATCGACCAATGTCTTCTATCTATAAGAATATTTTGAATAAAAGGAATTCAAACAAATACAGGTTAGGATATAACTTAAGTTTAGAATAACTCAAATATATGACATCTAAAATAATGTTGTCTTTATATTATAACTGATTTTAATTAGCAATTATACCTGAAGACTAAGTGATAGATATTTAATGTTATTTAAATCCTTGCCTTAGCCACTCCAGAAAGAACTGGAACTTGTAAAGATCTTCACTGATAGTTATAGATGGAGATATGGAGAGCTAACCTAGACAACTTTGGTATGAGAGCTGGTGACAGAATTAAGGCAACTACTTGGCTGAATGGCCACAATCTATTAGAGTACAAGATGGTATTTTAACATAGGGCATAGCTAATTAAGGGGAGTCATAACACTTTTAAACATACCCAGTTGTTATAGGTAACCCTTTTTATCTGAGTGTGTCTTGTAGGTGGAAATATTTATTCCCATACTTGGTTTTCTTTTTTTCTCAGGCTCATATTTAAAATGAGACTGAAGCTAATGAAAAGCAATTCTTTTTAGATTAATTTTTTCTCTCAGATCTTGGTTCCACTTTAACCTTGAGTCCTACCTTTACATGCAATGAAAAATACTGGAATGAGAGTGCTCCATTCAGGTTGTCTGGCCTACAGAAATATAAAAAAGAGACTGGTCCTTTCAGGTGTGGGAAGTATAGGGTAGGAAAACTAAAAAATAGGCACAGTTGGTTTAGGTTTAAGTCAAAATTGTTTTTATAAAAAAACTAGAGGCCTGATGCATAAAGTTTGTGCAAGAGTAGGCCTTCCTTTCCCTGGCTACTGGCACCAGCTTCCCTCAGGCACCCGGGACCCAGGCTTCCCTCCAGCCACTGGCAGAGACCCGGACTTCCCTCCAGCCACTGGCAGAGACCCGGGCTTCCCTCCAGCCACTGGCAGAGACCCGGGCTTCTCTCCAGCCACTGGCAGAGACCCGGGATTCCCTCCAGCCACTGGCAGAGACCCGGGATTCCCTCCAGCCACTGGCAGAGACCCGGGCTTCCCTTGCAGCCCTGGCTTCATCAGGAAGGACGTCCAGTCTGATTAGCATTTTACGCTTTTATTATTATAGATGCTATTTCTATTAAGGTTATTATGAATGAAATGTTTGTTACTGAACAACCTTTGCAAATCTGTTAATTCCTTCTTTACTTGCAATTTCAATGTGAATTTGAGAAAAGGGTCAAATGGGTCGGGAGATCGCGTAACTAGTTAGCATGCCAGAGCTAATTAACCAGACAAATCGCTCCACCAACTAAGAACAAAAGGTACAATCAAATATGTAGTAATCACATTTCTTATGGAATGGAAAAATAATAGATAAAGGTCTACAATTATAACATCCACAGGCAGTATATGGTGGTAAGGTAGTAGTTAGGGGCTCCCACCTTTAGACTACTTCCAAGAATCCCTTGTGTTGATGTGGAATCATGCCCCTTGTGAATTTTGAAACATCTAATGTCTAGAGTGCATGTCTGACAATGCCAGGATTCCCTTCTTTTGCTCTTTCAAGTAGATGAAAATTTACATGAGTGAAATCCTAAAAATATTTGGGGAATTACTTGCAAACTGCAAAGTATAATTCCAGTCTTTTTCCCACTTTTCTATTGTAATAGTTAAAGAGCTTTACTACATAATATAGCTTTCCAAAGGTAGTAAGACTTGGGAGGAAAAGAATACATACATTTGGAGTCTGGAATATCTTCTACGAGTAACCTGTGAAGGGCCACTGATGCAATGAACTGGTAGGTTGATTTTGAAGTCCTTTCAAATGGAGTGTGAGATGTGCCCCGACTAGCAACAAGCAGCGCATCGTTGAAGAGGAAAAGACTGAGGTCGCGGGTGTGTTCATAGAGCCTGTGTTAAAATGCAGAAGGGGCACTTTCAGAAGCGTTCCATATGCAATGTGGGGAAAGTGAACATTCATCTTTCCCTCCTTTATAACATGCATCATGCTAAAGCTGTGTTTTTAAACTTTTGTCAAGTTTGATATTTTGTGGATGATATATTTGGGTGACCTGGGGAAAATAATTTTTTGGTTTCATGTTTAATGATAACAGGTTGGGGTGAAGAATTAGTGAGGCTCAAGGTGTCTTACGTAGAAAGCATTGAACTGCCTGTAGGAAATACTAATTTCTAATTTTGATTGGAAGGAGGGAAATGGATGTGTAACCTCATGAGTATGATAGGTTAGAATTAAATAGCTCTTGATTTTCACTGAGGTTGCCACCAGGGTCAAATGTAGACATATATATGTATCAAGAGGCAAAATGTGTCCACAGCCTACATCTGGTTATTACCCACTTTGCTGTTCTGTTGTTGGAGCCAGGTCGAGTAGGTGTCACTGTATACTAAATGGGTGGTGTAAGTACTCAACCGAGCACCAAAGTGACATCCAGGGAGGAGCGTGGGGGAGGCCCACCCCACCAGGAGTGGCTAAGTAAAGCAAGCTCAGTGTTTTGATGGAGGGTTACCAAAAAAATTATTTTCTCTTACAAGTATCAAGCAACCCTTGGTTACTCTGAGGAAGAGAATTAATTTACTAGCTTGTTCAGAGGAAACCTTATTTTTACTTTCACTCCTTTCTGTTTAACTTTTAATTTGTCAATTTAGATCTACATACAGTTTTAATAAATGTAAAGTGACATCACATCCCTCCACTTAGATTACCCTAGATACCAAGCTAGTACACATATTTTCTATTTTTTTTATCTGTCCAGGTAATCACATAGATGAACATAGATACACATCTAGGTAGTTTGCCATTGTTTTACAAAAATGGTAATATTATTCACACTTTTTCCTGCTTTTCTCACCTGGCAATGAAAATCAAGTGAGCTGGTTTGGCTTTAATTAATTCATTTTAGTAGGTAAATAATAACTTTATGGTGTAGATGGACCATTTATTCAACTCATTGACTTTTGATGGGCCATCCCTTTTTGATGGACATTTTGTTTACAGGGTTGGGTCTCCTCCCTTCCTCTCATTTCTCTTGTTCTTTATTGCCACTATATATATATATATATATATATATATATATATATATATATATGCCTAAGTGACCGTTATGACCAAATGACCAAACGACCAGTCAACTAATTGCTATGATGTGTACTGTCCACCAGGGGGCAGATGCTCAATGCAGGAGCTGCCCCCTGGTGATCAGTGTGCTCCTATAGTTGGCCAACCTCCCGTGGTTCTCCTGCTCCCGGCAACTGAGCGAGACTGGCCAGATGAACCCAGATTGCCAGCCAGGCTGAGGGACCCCACCCATGCACGAATTCGTGCACCAGGCATCTAGTGTTGGAATAAACTGATCCTTATATAGAAATAAATTTCTTACCTGTGCTGTTCTATCATAGGATTACCAAGGGTAGGATTCATTGGTGAAAGGGTGTATTCTTTTTAATCAAAAACTTCCAGATTGTTCTCCATAGAAGCGGCCATATTTTATATTTAGAGTCTACTTCATGTGACAAATGTCTCTGACTTGTACATGGTACAAATTTTAATGTGCATTTGAGTTACTTGGAGATTTTTTTAAAATGCAAATTCTGATTTAATAAAGCTAGAGTAGCCTGAGAGACTATTTCTAAAGTGCCCTGGGTATGTTGGTAAGCAGGCCATACTGAGTAGTGAGGCACTTACCAGTTACAACCATCCTGTAATCTGGGCAGAGGACTGGGTCAGGGAGTTCAACATTTCTAAAGAGTACTATACCTCAGTTTCAGATATTTAACGAGTGTTAGGAAGTTCAGGTCATGTTGGTTGCGTGGATAGGTAGACATGGTCATCTAATCCCTAGAGCCAATTCTCATATATTTCCTTCCCATCTCTGGTTATGACTCCAGCTGGAAGGAGTGGGATGCTGCACATATACTGATACTTTGCAAGAAATAATGTTCTAGATCAAGTTGATCTAGACAATTGACAATAATGGATCAAATAGAATTGAGAAAGAAAGAAAGAAAGGAAGCAAGAAAGACAGGCTGCATTTCAAGTATGTGTGATGGGTGATATGCAGTAAAAGGCCGCTTCAAATAGGCAAAAGAATTCCATTTGTATTCTTGCTCCTTTATGGCAATACTTTTACCATATAATTGATAAGAACAATTATTTCCTCTATTATACCAACTTAGAAAAATGTTGAAAGTTATAATAAAAGTTTGCTGTTTTATGTGAATTAGCCAAGAAGATCCTACAAGGGTGCTTAAAAGAAGTGGTTCTGAAAGGGATGTTGCTGTGGTAAATGGTTGGTTCATTTTTTTCCCTTGGAAGGAACAACATCGAGAATAGAGGTAAATGAATGAGAATTCAATTTTGTGACCACTTGGGCCCCGTGGATGGTTGGCTTAGGGAAGGAAGAGAAGGAGTAGGCTTCCTTTAATTAATAAAATTCCACATTAACTGAGTTGGGAGTTGAGGTCTCTTGTAACCTGAGAACATGAACAGGAAAAGATAAATATCCAAATTAGTTTTTATTTCAATCTGATTATTAGAGTGCTGTTTAAAATACATATAAATCTGAGTTTTATCTAGGGGAAAAAAGCTTTTAAAAAGCAATTTGCTAAATTAAGGTAAATAATTATCTCCAACAATTTTTATCCAAAGACACAAAAAAATCAATCTTTTCTAAAAAAAACATCTTAATTCCATATGCAAAAGTAAATAATTTCACCTTTCTCATTGACATAATGGAGCTGCTGAAATGGAAACTATGGATCCTAGTAGAGTTTCAGAAAACTTCTACTCATATTCAAAAGAACTCTAAGGGTAGAGTATTTTCCCTAAACTTGAATAGGATTTTTATTTATTTATTTATTTTTGCTTGTTCACAAATAGGTTCAATGTCTCAGCAAGATGAAACAGGTCTACTATAGTTTAAATTTGCAATACCATCCTAGAAGCATTTTGTTGTTTATTGCATTAGCCAACCCGAAAGACAATGTAAACAACTTTTATAGACAAAGTACCCAACTTCTATAAATACATAAAACTTTAAAAGGAATTTTTAGAACATAACCTTTAGCATGAACAGACATCAGTAGACCATTGGTTCTATAAATTAACCTGAGCCAATACTATCACCTCACCCATCATCCACACTCCGGTGAATCATAGTCACTTTTTGGGTCCACAAGAAAAGAAATGCAGAGCCAGAGTTAAGTATCCCTGAGACGTCTAGGTTCGTCAATGCATGGTTGCCCTGGGAAAAACTAAAAAGGAAATTGGTCCCTTTGGGTAAAACTAAAAAGGAAGAACCATGCATTTTTGGCATTGTAGTAGGGTTTTTCCTTAAGAAAACTCTGGGTCTGAGGAGTGGTTATTTAAGGCTCTATTCACCAGTCCTAGAGGGCTCCATTTTTGTAACTAACTTTGGGGAGACCCGATGGGAAGGGGGAAACAATAAAAATCAGCAAGCTTAAAGTCACATAAATGAAAATCAGTGTTTCTGGGGGGAAAAAAACACAATAATGCATAATGTATTCTGAAAGCTTAATATACCCCAACTCTGTGGGCTATGACCACAGAAAGACAAATAGCTCCAATTTTCCTAGCTCTAAAAATACTCTGACTTCATCTCTACCCAGAGCAAAATTTTTTATTTATAGTGCAAATATTATTTTCTCTTTGGCAGATTTTATTAGTAATTTGTTTAGCAACTGCTGCTATATTGGTGAGTTTATTATGAGGAAGGTTTAGTTCAGCTTTTTACCTGCTGGTCTAATCAATGATTAGAGCACTGGGACTCGGTTTTGAATTCTAGACCAGCATTTGTTAGTGCTGTGATATCAGACAACTTGCTTAAGTACAGATTCCCCAAACACAAATATGGTTCCTCACCAAGTGGTTGTAAAGATTATATCAGCCGAAAACGGTTTGGCTCAGTGGATAGAGCGTCGGCCTGCAGACTGAAAGGTCACAATTTTGATTCCAGTCAAGGTCATGTACATTGGTTGCAGGCACATCCCTGGTAGGGGGTGTGCAGGAGGCAGCTGGTCAATGTTTCTAGCTCTCTATCTTTCTCCCTTCCTCTCTGTAAAAAATCAAATATATATTTTTTTAATTTTTTAAAAGATTATATCAAGTGAGAGAAGTTAAAATATATGGTAAAATGCAAAGCCTTCTACTCATGTGAGTTGGTATTATATCTACAAATATAAGCAGAGTTTCCACTAAGTATTATAGAAAGCCCTAATGGAAATCATAGGAATGCCATTTCTTGAGTTTCATGTAGTTTTCTAAATTGGCAGAAAACAAGATTGCAGACTTCTTCTTATATGATATCTTTTGGAATGTAATCCTATTTTGCATTTACTTTTAATTTCAAATATGTAAAAGTACATGTACTGTATGTTTATTGTTTGGAAAATCACTGATATAGTGCCTATTTAAATATAAATGTACCTCATAATTAGATTCTGAAATAATTAGTATATCTCACTATCCTGAAATTCTCAAATGTACTCTGTTGTAGAAACACTAAAGACAGACGTTTAAATTCTAATAATTGAGATTTCCAGTTTCTGGCTGTCTCTGTAAAGAGATTGAAAGTCCTCATGTCCATCCTCACAACAAAAAAGAAGCTGAAAAACTCTGATCAACAGCTCTCCGTAGAGCCATCAGAGTTGAGGTCACAAGGTAAACCATTGCCCTAAAAGCTGGAGAGACCATGTATACAGAGAGTTATAGTTTACTGGACGCAGAAACTGCACACTGGAGCCAGCACTGGGTAATAGTTTAAGGGTAATTGAGTAATTGCTATAGACTCTGAACTAGTTCAGAAATTAAAAACTCCTGGAGGCCTAGCCGCATCAGTTTACCTCCAGGAGCCCCATGAGGTTTCTACTGTGAAAATCTAAGAAAAAATCTCATTGCTTCCAATAGGGAGGAGGAAAGTAACCATTTTTAAACAACCCCAGAAAGTACTATTCTCCTTAACAAAAAAAGACTGCCTCAAGGGAAACTTTTTCCAAAGCCTAAACAATGTGGGAAGGGAAAGGCTTTTCTGTCCTACCTGAGAGGAAAAGAAAAACAACACCTGAGAAGCATCGCCCAGGTGCACAGGCTCACTGAAAAACAGACTAAATCGCCATCCATGGGATTCTTTATAATAACAAGGGATTACGGCTGCAAAGAACAGCAAGGCTCAGACTCCATTTAAAGGATCTCTAGAAAACCCAGGACTACAAAGGAGACAAAAACAAGGACATCAGAGAAATTTGAAGCCTCTAACAACACAGTTACAGCAAATAGATGAATAGAAACACAGACTTAGCCCAGAAGATGTTGCTCAATGGTTGGCTATTGACCCATGCACCAAGAAGCCACTGGTTCGATTCCCAGTCAGGGCACATGGCTGGGCTGCCGGCTCAATCCCCAGACTCAGCTATGGTAGAGATTTTGAATTTAAGATAAGTATGATAAATAAGGACTCCATTGGAAAAAGTGGATAGCATGTGAGAACAGATGAGTAATATAAATATAAATGAAATGCTGAGAAATTAAAAATAAATTCTAGAAATCAGAAACAACAGAAGAATAATTCCTTTGATAGCCTTATCAGCAGACTGGACATAGCTAAGGAAAGAATCAGTGAGCCAAGATACATTAATAAAACTTACCAAACTGAAAAACAGAGGAAAAAGATTGGAAAGAAAGAAACAGAATATCCAAAAAGTGTGGGGCAATTACAAAAGCTGTAACACTGTCCACAAGGAATATCAGCTGGAGAAGAGGAGCAGAAGGAATATTTGAAGTAATAATGGCTGAGAATTTTCCAAAATCATTGACAGACACCAAATCATAGGTCTAGGAAGAAAAAAAAAACACCTTAAAATCTACACCTAGGCATATCGTATTTTAATTCCAAAATGTCAAAGACAAAAATAAAAACTTGAAAGGACCTAGAGAATTATAAAATGCCCTACTTATAGAAGAGCAAGTATAAGAATTATACTGGATTCCTGTTCAAAAACCATGCAAGGAAGAAGACAGTGGAGTGACATAAGCGTTGAAAGAAAAAGCCCACTAAGGTAGAATTCTGTAACCAGTAAAATTATCCTTCAAAAGACTTTCTCAGACAAAAATTGAAGGACTTCATTGACCTGCCTAGCAAGAAATGTTAAAAGTTCTTCAGAGAGAAGGAAAATTGTATAAGTCAGATACTTGGAATTCATAAAAAGAGGAAGAGTGTTTAAGGTAAAATATATCCTAGGGAGGTAAAATAAATTCTAATAATCAGAAACTAGAGCAACCTGGCTGGTGTGGCTCAATGGTTAAGCATTGATCTATAAATCAGGATGGCACAGTTCGATTCCCAATCAGGGCAGATACCTGGGGTTTCCAGCTCAATCTTCAGTAGAGTATGCAGGAGGCAGCCAATCAATGAGTCTCTCTCATCACTGATGTTTCTATTTCACTCTCCCTTCCTCTCTGAAATCAATTTTAGACAATTTAAGAAAAGAAATAAACAGAGCAACTCCTAGCACATTCCTACTACACGGGTGTGTTTAGAATTGCTGGTTTGGCAGATAGTCTCCTTCCATCGTTGTATCTCTTCTATCGCCACTGACCAAAAGCAACAAAATCGAAACAAGACAAAAACTGTGTCAATGAGAAAAGTGACACAATTGTGTGATTTGATTTTCACTTAAGAGTCACTCTAGGTGGGGATTAGGAGAGAGAACGGATTTCCAATCATCCCCCACCTCAACCCTGTGATTTTGGGAAACGTTAATTGAAATATTCATTGAAATAACAGTTAAACCTTTTTTCCCCCCCTTTTATTGGAGTTGGACAAATAAAAGAAGTTAATTCCCTCTCCATTTGGTTGCTATTTGTTGAGTTATCATTGCCATTAATTCTGAGAACACAGTTTGGCAAACAATTTCCTAAAGCAGAGACTGTCCCCACCACTTGTTTGTGTGTAGGGTTTTTTTAAATATATTTTTTATTGATTTCAGAGAGGAAGGGAGATGGTGAGAGAGATAGAAACATAAATGATGAGAGAGAATCACAGATAGGCTGCCTCCTGCACACTCCCTACTGGGGACCAAGCCCAAAACCCAGGCATGTTCCCTGACCAGGAATTGAACTGCGACCTCCCAGTTCATAGGTCAAGGCTCAACCTCTCTGACACGCCAGCCAGGCACCCCCACCACTTGTTTTTGTAAATGAAGTTTTATTGGAACCCAGCCACACTCATTTGTGTATTATATTGTTTATAAAGATGGTATCTGTTATGTGTTATATTGGTTATATAACTGCCTTTGTGCTTCAAAGACTAAGTTAGGTAGTTGCCACAGAGATTATTTGGCCAGCAAGATCTAAATGTTTACTAGCTGACCCTTTACAGAAATTGCCCATCTTTGTTCCACAGGAGAAAATTGGGTGCTAGTTTATGGAAATTGACACCTCCTATCTTTTGTTCTTACATGACTCTGAAGCAGTGTGCAAACTAGATATGGTGAGACCTCAATATTGTGGTGATCTTATGGTGAGACCTTTTAACTACTGACCATAGTAAGTATCTGAGGATAAACTGTGTGCTCTTTCTTACAATTGAGCAGATCACACATGTGATATCCCACAACACTTGGATCATCTCTCAGTAGGGACATGACTAATTTCAGAATTCCTGTTTCTGTGTAGTTCATGGTCCTGGCAAAAACTAGTTATTTTCTCCCCTTTGCCCAGTAGCTGCCTGGAATTGACGTAGGTGATAATGCACCTCAGAGGGGTGTGTGTAACTTTTCAGTTCAACACACAGATTATCAAAAACTACTATGTCAGACATTGTACAGGATACAGGGTGTGAGTAAGATACAGTGACAGCTGCAAGGTAGTTAGATGTTTACCTTAAAAAGAAACTTATTTCCTCATCGCAGCAGTGAAGCTGGGCTACATCTTGGACTCTAATCAGATATCTGTTTACTTCTGATAGAATCTAAGAAATAAAACACAAAATCAGACACATTTTTAGAAAATAAAAGGCCCCACTACTGCAGAATCATTTTGTATCCCAGAATATACAATTGTTGAGTAGAACTCAGTTCGATTATAAAAAAAGCCAATGAGGGGGAGAATCCAAGATGGCTGCACAGGTAAACACCTACCCTCAGCCGCACACAACAATTTCAATAAAATACAACTAAAATATAAAGTGGACATTGCCCAGAACTACAGGAAAGTCGACTGACTGGAAAGTCTACAACAAGAAGCAAGGAGAAAACCAGAAGGAAGCGCGGAGGAGCTGTAAAAGCCTAAGGTACAGAGACACCCAGTGCGTGGAGAGGACGGAGCCGGAGAGGAGGGAGGCTGAGTGCCTGGCTGGCGTTCCCTAGCAGGAAGGAGATAAAAGCTCCGACTGTGCTGAGTGCCTGGCTGGCGTTCCCTAGCAGGAAGGAGATAAAAGCCCCAGTTCCGACTGCTCTGAACCCCAGTTCTAGGCCAGACCCCAGGGACCCAGGCTCAACCAGAGGGAGCTGGGCTGTAAGGCGGAACCCTGGGGGAGTGGCAAAAGGAGGTCCCGGAGGCGCGCACATTGCGCGCAGAGAAGGGACGGTTGGCTGTGCCGCGAAATTGCCCTGGTGGGAAGGAGACAGGGGCTCCAGACTGCTCTGAACGCCACCTCCAACTCCACTTCCAACTGAACTGAACCCCAATACCGGGCTCAGTGGGGGAGAGCCTAGACTGTTTGGTAGCAGGCGAAATCAAGGGCACCTTTCTCTCAGAGGCACTTGCAGCGAGTACTGAAGGACCCTGAGACGCAGGAGCCACATAGGGCAGGGCTGATGGAAGCCAAAGCTGTAGGCTCCACCCTGAAACCCCGCCCCATCAGGGAAGCTGCGAAAATGCCGAGATGAAATAGATCACAAAAGAAAGAAATGGAGGACAAAAAGCGACTGGATATAGAGTTCAAATCTACGCATATAAGGTTTTTCAAGAATTTGCTAGAAAAGATCGATAAGACCTATGAGGATATGAAAAGGGATCAACTAGAATTAATAAGGAATCAACAAGAAATGATAAGGGATCAACAAGAAATAAAGAATACATTGTCTGAAATAAAAAATATTATACAGAGTCCTAAAAACAGAATGGAAGATCGCAAGAATCAAGTCAAAGATTTGGAACATCAAGAGCGAGAAGACACTCTTCTGCAGAAGCTAGAAGGCAAGAGAATCCAGAAAATTGAAGATAATGTAAGAAACATCTGGGACAACTTCAAGCGAACCAACATCAGAATTATGGGGTCCCAGAAGATGAGAGAGAGCAAGATATCGAAAACATACTGAAAGAAATAGTGACAGAAAACTTCCCCCACCTGGTGAAAGAATTAGACTTACAAGTCCAGAAAGCACACAGAACTCCAAACAAAAGGAATCCAAAGAGGACCACACCAAGACAAATCATAATTAAAATTCCAAGAGCAAAAGACAAAGAAAGAATATTAAAAGCAGCAAGAGCAAAGCAGGTAGTTACCTATAAAGGAGCACCTATACAATTGTCAGCTGATTTCTCAACAGAAACCATGCAGGCCAGATGGGAATGGCAAGAAATATTCAAGATAATGAATAGTAAGAACCTACAGCCAAAGATAATCTATCCAGCAAAGTTATCACTCAGAATCAAAGGTCAGATAAAGAGCTTCACTAATAAAATAAAATAAAAGCTAAAGGAGTTCATCACCACCAAACCAGAATTATATGAATTGCTGAAGGAGGTTCTTTCGGAAGAGAAAGTAAATAAAGATAAAAATTATGAACAACAAATACATAAATATCAACAAGTGAATCTAAAAACCAAGGAAATTTTTTAAAAAATCTGATGAACAATATTAACTGTTGAATATAATAGAATCAGAGATATGGAAGGGGAGTGAACTGACAATTCTTGAGGAAAAGGGGAGAGGGGGATGTGGGAAGAGACTGAACATAAACTGTGCACCTATGGATGAGGACAATGGGGGGTGGGGAAAGGGCAGAGGGTGGGGTGGGAACCTGGTGGAGGAGAGCAATGGAGGGGGGGAGGGGGAAAGGAACATTTGTAATAATATGAACAATAAAAATTTATTTTTAAAAAAAGAAAGAAAGAAAGAAAGAAAAGCCAATGATTTTGTTTTTAAAATAGGCATTCTTTATATAAAGACCACAGAATTAACAATGAAAACTTTATTTTAGGGTGTTGTCTAATTTCTTAAGTTACTGTTTTATTTATAAACATTTTCTTAGCATCAAAAATAAAAAGGAAGTGGGGTGAATAAGAAGTAAACTATCAAGAAAAGGAAGAGAATGAATTATTACAAATTAAGAAGTCAGGCCCTTGCACTGGTGGAGATGGAGATGGTCACTTAGTGTGAACAGTCATCTAGAGAGGAAGTTCTAAGATTTTAAACTTTTTGTAATTCAATCGACTCCACTTCATTTTCCCTACCAAAATATGCAGATCTAAGTTATGACAAAATAACTCCATCTTGCTTCCCCAATTTGACCAAATAAAAATAACATCTCCAATCAATAATTTAATTCAATATAATTCATGTATCTAGCTCCTATTATATGCCAAACTCTAGAAGACACGTAAAACATAGCTCACCCCTGATTGAGTTCCCAGTCTTGCGAGTATAGGATTGTAATAAAATGTGACAGATGTTCAAGGTGCTGCAGGAGACCCAGAAAGGGGCAATTCCCAGCAGGAGATGGTGGGAGCAACTACAGGAAGATGATGATTGAACTGGACTTGTAAAGGATGAATAGGAGTTTGCCCAGCAGGGTAGGAATGGAAGGTCATTTTTAAGAAAGAGTATGGGCAAAGCACAACTGTGTGAGGGGAGGCTGACATTACTGGAGAACTGTGAGTAGATCTGTATGTTGGCTCATAGAATGGTAGGCAGGGCAGTAAAAGAAAAGGTAGAATGGGATCAGATGTTATTCTATAGGTAACGTCCAACAGAGGGCTTCTAAGATTTTTCAGGTTTCCTCAGTGTGCAAGATCCTAACCAGGTACTTTGCATAGAGGGATATGACGCAATGAAATACATGGCCCTTTTCTCAGAGGGGGTTGTGATCACAGTAGTACCAAGAAAGGAGGTAAGACTGCACAAAAGTTAAGGGATAGGCTCAAGCTCACTTAGCATCCTTGCAGATGGAAGGATGTGAAATGTGAGGGCTTGGCAGCATCAGGCACACAGCAGACATTCAACAGATGTTAGCTGATTGGACATCTGTATGTCTCTTTTGCCAATGATATGAGGTTTTATCCATGAGCAGGAGATGCAGCAAGTACATCAGAATACGTACAGGACACCCCAAGATGCTTCTCTGTATGTCTGACAGCTGATCTTTCTTATTGGAGTTTTGCTTCATCTAGAAAACAAAGTGATTTTAAGGGAAATAAAATTGTGAAACATGTATACATAAAAATAGATTTAAAATATTTCATGGCACTTTATACAGGACTTGTGATTTCTATACATTATAATAAGAATCTAATTTCATGGACCCAGTGTTTTAAAACAAAGAGGCAAATGACAAAACTATTCAAAAAGCATCTTCTGGGCAAAATATGTCATCAGTTTACATTCAGCCTGGAGAGTGCTCATCACAAGGATTGTTCAGAATGATAATACCACACTCTGAGATGCTGATTTAATTCAGAAAATCTCATACATTAAGTTCTTTCCACAAAAAAGGATTTTATTTTTTTTCTTTTAGTCCTCTAGAAAAAATCAATCCCAATACTCCATTCTTCAAACTTTCATATTAATAAAGCTTTTGTTGTACTTGTATAGTTTTCTGAAAACATTCTGTCTCATGTTGTTTGGCTTAAAATAGATGCCTGTTGTGCTCTAAGTCTCTGAACACAACGATTTCACATTCAAAGGCTGAAGAATTTGAGTGAGACTACCGAAAAAGCATTGTAGCATTTTTATTTGTGTTTTTTTTATAATTTTATTTTTTTTAAATATATTTTATTTATTTTTCACAGAGTGGAAGAGAGAGGGATAGAGAGTTAGAAACATCGATGAGAGAGAATCATCGATCAGCTGCCTCTTGCACACCCCCTACTGGGGATGTGCCCGCAACCAAGGTACATGCCCTTGCCCGGAATCGAACCTGGGACCTTTCAGTCCACAGGCCGACGCTCTATCCACTGAGCCAAACCGGTCCCGGAGCATTGTAGCATTTTTAAAGGACACAGACTCTTGTCAGCAACCAACCTGATCTATATAACTTTTGTATGCTTTCATTTGGTCAATTGCAGTGGTCAAGTCCCCACGGTCAGTATGTTCTGCAGGAGTATGAAGCCTCAGAGCATAGAGAAGATGGACATACTCATCAAATCTTCGGGATGGGCACAGGAGCAGCTCCGGCAGGCTGTGGGGGCACAGAGAAGGGAACCTGATCTCTTTCCAAAGGTCAAAGAAGGCCCAGTCTTCGGGGTGCCTCAGCTGTGCTCTCCCTCAAAACTTACCTCAGCATTTTGGTGACAATGGTTTTATCGTGCCTCTTCAGGAAAGCTCGGAATGCTGGTACCATCTCTCTGCACTAAAGGTGAGCATGATATTGTCAAAACTTCGCTCGGTGTGACAGTTGTAAAGCATTCTGTTACCCCGGGCAGACGTGATCTATGAAGTCCTCAAAGCAAGAGGGCAACATCTACCTCTGATCCAAGTACTATTATTATAGTACTTACTAATATAATGTACTAAGTATAGTGATTTATTCATACCATAGAGCTAACCCTGTTCATTGAACTTAACCTGTATTGACAAATGAAAACAGACTTTCCAACCTCATTCTTTGTGAACTAGTTAACTTACCTAACTCCCCGAGACTCAGTTTCCTCATGGATATCATACCTGACACTTGTGAAGGAAAAATAAATCCTGTCCATAAAATGCCTGTTGCGCAGTAAATGTTATTTCCTTGTCGTAAAAGACAGTTGATGGTATTCACCTATAATACCTGCTGCTAACCATTATAAAGGTGTTCCATTTGTATTTAACATCTGCTTTAAAGTGTATTCATTCATCACCAGCAAGGTGCCCAGGAAGTACCCATTTTTCTCAGTGGGGACATGCCTAAAAGATGCCAGTAATGCTAATTCCTAGAAATTAAATAAATACTGACTGATTTCAGTAATAGTAGCAGCTAACAGTTATTGAGTACTTAAATGCACACCCCATTTTAATGAGCCAGATATCATTATTATTCACTATAAAAAATTGGCAATTCTTGTCTTTGTAGTCAGTTCTATGAAATTGCCTTATTCGTGCAATTTTCACCCAATACAGAATTAGTATGTCTAGCAGTGTTAAACTCTCTGGGCAGGGTGAAGGGGTACTATAAAGGGAGGTGCCCAAGGTCAGGAAACTGCCCCGGGGGGCTCAATGCAGCCAGGGGGACACAGCTGAAGCGGCCACAGGTGGAAGCATGCCCCATGTCACAAGGTAGCCTCTTCGGCTGCACTTCTGATACAAATTGAGGAGGGAAGAAAGGGATCTTACTGCCATTAGAAAAGATCCCAACCAGAACAGCTAGTGATGCAGAGGGAAGCGAATATTCCTGCTCAGCTACATACGGCACAAGTCACAGTGCCCTTTCTAAGAAATGTACGACAAAGAAATTCCTTATGCATAGTGAAATTGCACAAATTGAGTAGCCTTACCCCAAGAACCACGGACCATTAATTCCTTTTCTTCATAAGACAGCCACCTTTGTCAGGGTCACACAGGTCTGTGGGGGCAGAGTGGGACTGGAGCTCACAGGCTCCCCTGTCTCTAACAGGTAAACATTTCCCTGTAAGTGACCCACAGGATAGCTGCAGCTAACAAAAGTCTGGCAATCTGCATGAGGATTAGTTCCGTCCAACAACTAGTTTCTGGGTCCTGCTGTGTGAAGCACTGTGCTAGCCTCTCGTGATACAAAATTAAATGTCAGGTCCTCGTCCTCAGTGTGGGTCTGGAAACCAAGCCCTATTAGTCTTTGTTCTTTGGATTGCACGTTCAGGTCTCATAAAGGCCTGAATGGTAACTCAATCATTTACCTTTTCAATGGTTTTCAGAACAACGGGGTAATTGTTGAAGAAATTGGTATATGTGTTCAGCTGGCTCCCAAACTTTAAGAATATTTCTCCCACACAGTGAGCTGGGCCCCATTCCTGTAGTCTGTCTCTCAGGTTATCTAGAAACTGCCTGTAAGACGGGAAAAGCATGACCATGAAATATTGGCCAGTGATAACCTATACACTTAACAAATAAATCAGATGTCATTAGTGCAGCCTACTTCAGCCTACTCATGTATGGCTGGGCTTTTGTGGCATACTTTTGTGATAATACAGATTGGACAGGACAAGGGGAGCTAGGAAGGGAGGGACTAGGTTGTCTGTGGGGGGATCACACCTCCTCACCTTAATCCCTTGAGGCCGAACCTCACGTTGGCCTCCATAGGCTGCCCCTGACTCTCCCATTCCCACATGGCCAGCCATGCAGGCAAGAAGGTTTCTCACAGTCCCCACAGCAGAGTGCTCCATTCATTTTAAATGGCCATAACCTTCCCTCAGGCCATTTCCCCTGGATCTAAGGTTGTCCTTCATTCAGCCATCACAGGCCTTGAAAACAGAACAAGCCTCATTCAACCTCTTTATTTTGTAGGAGTTGGGTTGAGGGAAGGCAAGGAACTTGGTCCCAGTCACCTGGAACAAGCATGTCAAACTCGTCACCCAGCCAATACTAGTATAACAGTATGTAAGAAACGTTTTAATAAAATTTTCATAACTTAACTTTTACAATATCCTGTTATACATAATTGTTAATAACGAACTACAATGTTCGCTAATGACTGGTTACTATCATCATGTTGCATTCATTTCCCTATGTGCCTTATGCACAGGCACACCATTTCTCTCTACTAATACAAGTAGCAAATATTTTAGCAACCAATTGCCACATCATTAGTCTTATACTGACTTGTTTGGTGTGCACAACAGGAAATATTTTATTTTTGGAGAAAAATAGGTTTATTTGTGTTACACTTATTAATTTGTATAGTTATTCAGTGTCTGGTAAGTTAATGACCAAAACAAAATATTAATTTTTATTAAAATGTTCTATTATTTTATGTTAATGATTACTCATTTATTTTAGTCCTTTGTATTCGGCATGTCTCTATTGAAATAAACCTATGTTTCTATGAAAATTGAAGCTTTTGTTTTTTTGCAGCCCACATAGACTTAAACCTTGGTTATCTGGCCCATGTTAGCCTTTGAGGTTGACATGCTTGATCTGGAAGGTTACTGGCAGAGAACCACAAGCTTAGTTTGTCTTTACCACAGATCAAATGATCACTTCCTCTGGGTCCTATTTCATACTTCAAAACATCTACTGTTGTTAGGCTGACCATGGGTTCTCTAAGCAAAGAATCCTAGTAATTTAGTCCCTTCACATCCTTCGGTTCCTTTCCCATTGCTCAACTAAACATGCTGTCTTGTCTTTTGCATGAACAATATGTTGAAGACAGAACTGCCTGGCACTGACCTGCACTCCTAGTACCAAGGGTTTGAACTGAGGCAGGGATCAGCCCTGGGAATCATCACTACCAGTTGCAGCCAGGTGGCAAAAATCCTCTCTTTTCTGTGCAATGATCAGGGTCCCCAGGAGAGGCAGAGACTGCCTGAGCCTCTGTGCAGGTAAGTGTGGGTTGCTCCCACCGCACAGTATTTCAGAAAATATGTATTCAGGAATTACCTGTTGAGACTTAAAACCTGCAGGATATCAGAGAAAATGATCTGGAGGTTTGCAGCACTCAGAATTGCTCTGTTTGAGGCCAGCGCTGCTTTTAGTGGTGCGACGTAAACATCTCTCACAATTTCCAGCACCTGCACGTATTTTCTCTCACTCTGTAAGAGTTCCCCTGCAACTCTAGTTCGCTTGGCAGACCAGTCCATCTGGAGCTTTCTCTCCTGTAGAAAAGCATTAAGAACTCAGAGAAAGCATAGTGATTCTTTCCAGGCTTACAGCCCCCCAGAAGCCTGAAAGTGGAGGGAGACAGAGCAATGGAAGTACCAGCAGTCGGGCAGTCACTCTGAGATGGCCCTGGCTGCTCTGTGACATGCAGGGTTGAAGGGAATCTTTATAGGGGACTATGGAGGACCTCGCTGAACATGGCTTGTCCCTAGTATCGCCAAATAGCCTCTCACACTGGGCCAGTGTGATGCTGTGGTAGAGATGGGATTTGACTCTTGGATCCTGAGAGGGCAGATGGAGACTTTACTTTTCTCAGTCTGTCCTTTGAATGCATGGTGTGTCCTGTGCTGGCTGCTGGCTGTACAGTGATGAGTAGGCAGCTGAGGAGGCCTTTGGGTTGCCCACTCTTATTTGTGTGTTTCCCCTCGTGGTGTTTTATTGATTATCCTGCAGACAGTAGTCCTGAAATGAGCTAGCCCTCTCATTATCAAGTAATTTACTTCCCATGGGCACGTTATGAAATATGGACACTCATGCTCTTCTTTCAGTATTTAGGGAAAAGCGCCTACCTTGGGAACTGTGAGCCCATCTCCCCTGGGTAGCTAGGTTGCCAAATGTCCTGTTTCCTATATTTCAACGTCTTGTTTTATTTTCTTAATGCAGAGGGAAAAGTCATATACTGGCGTAAAGAAACTCCACGCCCTATTATTATGTGTGCTCTGTTTGTATTTGGAGAAATTTGTTTGCATTCCTGGGAATAGGTCATTCTTTTCCTTTTATCTGCACTTTTCAAAAGTTGTAAAATGAGCAGCATCTTTACAAAAGAAAACAATTATAATATTTAAATTTTAAAAATGTAGTGGGCTTGTATTTGAGCCTAGAGCTATTAATGCTCCTAGAACACAATTTTCTCTTTCCCCTTCAGCCCTAAGTATACCCCAAGCCCCAAATAAACTGACAGGAGTAAAGCCTAGTGCCACACGAGGTTCACTCAAAACAAGTCAACCGGAAATTTATGAACTGAAATCAAAATGGAAAAGCAACTTAAGAGAAAAATTAGAAAACTCTCTGTTTGCAATACTATAAACACACAGTTCTTAGCTAATTTTATCTTTCAAACACATGGTCTGTAAATAATGCCTATTTAGATCTATCTGATGAGTTAAAAAATACAACTGCTTCCTACTTGAGGATTGGCTTGCAGCCCATATATTTTTATGTGTCTTTGCATATTTTTTATTCATTGGGGCCATCCAACGTTTATAATGATTTTGACTTAAGGTTTCAGTTGTCCAACTTTTTGTTGTCTTAAGACTGTTGTCGGGTATTTATTTCCCAGTCATACTCTCTGAGGGCCAGTGAGGGCTGCGGTCTGCACTGCTGTAGGTGTACCCACCCAGGTGATGTCCGCTGAAAAACAGCCTCGGGGCTGAGGTCAAGGCCATGGGATTCAAGTTTCTTTCTGCCAGCTGCTGTTGTTTTTTAGTTTTAGAGGACGTTCGTTAAAGCTGGGGACAGAGAAACCAGAAAGGGCCGGGAACATGAGCCTCGGCTGGGCTGCTTTGGCGCACCAAAAAGCCAGAGGGAAAAGCGGACTTGGGCACCGGCTCCGGGGGTTTCCTGGGATGAACTGCTGCTTCCGTTGCTGTCCTGGTTGCAAACTTCAGGGGTCCCTGAGAGTTTAGGAGATGCATGCCTGTGGGGAAAGAAGTGGGGGGGGGGGGCGGGGGGAGGGCAGGGGGAAACGTGGGTGTGCTCCTGGGAGGGAGGGCATGCTCAGGGACCTTTGTTTTGGGAGGTTTTAAAGACTGGGTATTTAGGGGAAGATCTCAATAGAATATTCATCAGCTTTGTGCTCATGTACCAAAATGAGGCTTATTCTCTTAACTTCATCTGTCATTGGATATGGTTGGCAAATGTCTGTCAATTATTTAACCTCAGTGAAGTCATTTAAGTCTTCTAACTTCAGATCCTCGTTTACAAAAATGTGGTTACTAATATCTGTGTTAGAGGATCTCGAAAATGAAATAGGATGGTAAATGTGGACATGTGTTGAAGAAAAGCAAAACAGCACGCATAGCTGTGTACTGGGACAGGACAGACTAAGGCTCTGCTGTTTTGCAGCCTCTGAGAACTACCGTTCTGGCCTGAGAGACGAAGCCCTAAACGCTGTACTGATGCTACACAGCATTTAAAGTCAGACCGTGAATTGGTGGGTAGGATAAATTAAACCTTTTTGTGCCTGTGTTGTTCCTTTAACTGCCATTCCTGTGTCATGTTAGTTAGAAACGCAAAGAGTAGCAGAGGTGGCTTTTGCTCCCAAGATGTGATACCTCCATCTCCTCGACTCAACTTCATTTCAGACCAGGAAATATTCAAAAGAAAAACTACTGCCCTAACCGGTTTGGCTCAATGGATAGAGCATTGGTCCTGGGACTGAAGGGTCCCAGGTTCATTTCGGTTAAGGGCACATACCTCAGTTGCAGGCTCGATCCCCATTCCTGGGACCTGTGTGGGAGGCAACCAATCAATGTATATCTCTCACATCAATGTTTCTCTCTCACTAACAAACAAATAAAAATTTTAAAAAGAAAAGAAAAATCTACTGACTGGATTCCCCCAATTACATTTGGGAGCTTTCCCTCCATCTCCCCACCCCCTGACATATTTTTACTTTGTTCTTGAAACTTCTAAGAAAGAAGAACTAACCAGAATAAAGGTGAAAGTAGTTGAGTGTTGTTGTTGTAGGGTGTGTGTGTGTGTGTGTGTGTGTGTGTGTGTGTGTTTTGGGGGGGTGGGGAGCCTCAGGAGAAAAACAGGTGGAAAAATTTTATTATGTAATAATTGGCTTACCAGCTGAACCAGCACCTCAAAATTGGGATCATTTTTGCTGAGACTTGGTTTTGTGTCCTGAGGATTGTCATCCAGATCATTTCTTTCCTGAGGATTCAATGCAGACTTGATTACACAGAGGCAGGTCTGAACGTTGGCACTGTGGCCCTGCCTTCAGCCCTAACTGCAGCGTTCCGAGTCAGTGAAGCGGCACTGGACAAAATCAGTGCCTCTCTTAGAGCAAATGTGGTGTGAAAAATAAAAACCCTTTAGCTTTCTTTGCACTGCATTACACATGAGAGTAAATTCCGGGCAGCTCCCTCCCGCGCCCCCCCCCCCTTGTGAGAGCTGGGGGAGTGAGACTGCTGCTCAGAAGCTCCTCACAGGCAGGGGGTCCCACATGGTCCGGCAGGCCTCTGCCTCAGCTCTGCTCTGTCCCCTGTCAGCCAGAGGCACACGGGTACCTGACTTTTATTAAGATGCCCAAAGTCTACTCCAGTACCAGGCTCCATGGGGGTGGTTGTGTTGGGGCTGGGCTATGATCATGCAAGATAGGTAGATGATTTTCTCTGGGCATAAAATGGTTCTAAAATGACATTTTTACAGAAATCAGCTCTCTGGCAATGCAATTTTCAGTGTTTTCTGAATCCTGATTATTTCACTTAATCAAGAAAGTATGGGTTCTGAATATTGTACTGGCAGAATTATTGCTTTTGCCTGAAGTACTAGCTTCAACCCCACTTTTCTGTTATGGAATTGAATCTCAACTAAGAAAAGAAGAACAATTCTTGGTTTCATACACACACACACACACACACACACACACACACACACACACAAACTGTCCTGGGCTGCAAATGAAAAAAAAAATATTTATGTTATCTTGGGACTCAACTGAAAAAGAGGCAAAATGCAAATATTTGACTTTTCCTCCATGACCAGAGGATATTCCCAGTTAACGTGGTACAGCTGATGCTTGTACTAGTAAGTGGCTTAAATGTCACTCATGATCCTACAAATACCTTTTCAAGAAAATAAAGTTCTTCAAGGAAATGACCAATTGGAAGACAATAATTATTATTATTGTCTATGAATTTCTCAAGCACATGTGTCTAACTCTACAGCAAAGCAATGGCATAAAAATACAGCAATAACTTTACCTTCGTGAATAAATTTAAGGCTGCCTTTGGGTCAGATTTTGTCAGAATAACATTCTCTTCCAAATCTTTGCTCTTTTCACTACATCTCTTCAACAGAAAATACGACAAAAATTCCAGAGGTTTGTCCTGAAAAATCCACACCCCATCCCCCCCAAATTCATATTTAATGCATTCATTGGAAATATAGATCAACAAAAGTACAGTAGAAAAGGGGACATATTTTTTAGTAGCGTTTCAGTTTTTGTAATGTGTAAGTCCAGAAAAAAAGTAATGATTATTCACGTAGAGTCAGTAAATGGGACTTCTGAGTTCATCACATATTCCAGTTACCATGTATACTGTTGGTTCTCAACCAGTTGTCACCATTCAGTTAGGTTGCCAAGGTCTCATGATATGGGTCTTAATATCGTCAGAACCAAAGTGGCCCCTCCCGGCCTCTTGGCCAGATGAGGAAGGGATAGGAGGGACCTTGTCTTTCAGGACAAAGAAGGTTTGAGAGAGAGACTACAGCGGCTGAATTACTGGGAAAAACACTCAAGTTTGGTTCCCTCTCAGACTATAGTTTGAGCACCATCGAAATGATATCATACCAGGTTACTTTTAAAGAATGAGGTGGCAGTAGTACACTGAACCTACACCAAATGCATTTAGTAAATCATTATTTCAGGAGACAGTGCAGGATCTCTCAAAGCCTCAGGGTTATCCCTGTGACTATCCCTGATCATTTTATTGACAAAGCTCACCGGGGCCTTCAGCACTGGGCTGCCCCTGGCTAGAGTGCTGGGAGGTGACTTCATGCAGCCTCTCAGACTTCATGGTGGACAGCTAACTTGGGGACACCTGGTGGCTACCCAGGAAGCCAAGGTGAAACCAAAACAGACACATGAGAGATAATGAAAACATGCAAAGACAACCTTAAGTCTACCTACAAAGTTGATTTACTACCGTGGAAGAGAAGAATCTGAGAATCTCTCCTTTGAAAACTAAAGACCTGAAAGAGCATCCGGTGTGTTATTGTTATCCCTAGTCCCCATCATATTCTCCACTTCCCCAGCCAGGCTGCTCATTGCACTTTCCTGTCACTTGGAAGATCTGTTCTTTTGTGTTCGCTTTCCTTCTTATCTAGCCTTTTTACTCTTTCATATGCTTAATTGTCTTAACTATTGAATAAAGTTTATGTGAAATATAAAGCCACTCATGTGTTTTTTAAATAAGTCACTTCTGACTGAAATTAACCACAAGACAGAAAACAGTGCACCACGGAGTGTAAATAATCTAGATTTTACTATTTGCCTATTTTGTGTACCTAATAGATCTTGGGCCCAGAATCTCTCAGTAGCTGTTTTTACAAACAGATGTAATTTTTCTAAGGAATTGCACCCCTGGGTGGATATACAAATTAAACAATAAATAAACACAAACTAAAAATTTATTTAAGTGTTAGAGTTTTTTGTAGTATGCTTTCTTTAAAAAAAAAAAAAAAAAAAAAAAAAAAAAAAAAAAAAAAACTAAAAAAAAAGCTTACAGGGTTTTCTTTTGAAAGCTCCACCAATCCATCTGCCAGAGCTTGTGCAATTTCTTGGTTATTCAGAATGTCAGTCATACTCATGGTGTCAAACATAAACTGTCCTGTAAATATAAAGCCATCTGCACTGTAATTAATTTATGTAAGAGATGTGATCAAGAAGAACACAGCTCAATCCGCACAGTTTTATAGTGGATAAAAATGCAAAGAATAAAAATTAAAATTCTATTATGCCATGAGGATTATCTTCCATGATAAAATATAAAACAAGTAAAAGCAACTAAATGTCCAGCCCTTAAAAAGTTCCCACCCTGCCGAAACCGGTTTGGCTCAATGGTAGAGCGTCGGTCTGCGGACTGAAAGGTCCCAGGTTTGATTCTGGTCAAGGACATGTACCTGGGTTGCGGGCACATCCCCAGTAGGGAGTGTGCAAGAGGCAGCTGATCGATGATTCTCTCTCATCGATGTTTCTAACTCTATTCCTCTCTCTTCCTCTCTGTAAAAAATCAATAAAATATATATTTTAAAAAAAGTACCCACCCTGACAAAGCTGGTCTTAATAAAATCTATAAATTAAACAATAAGGAAAGAACACATGAAAATGAACCTTGTAAGTTTAAATTTTTTTTATTGATTTCAGAGAGAAAGGAAGAGGGAGAGATAGAAACGTCAATGTGAGAGAGAATCATTGATTGCCTGCCTTCTGTGGGCGCCCCACTGGGGAACAAGCCTGCAACCCAGGCATGTGCCCTGACCTGGAATTGAACTGTGATTCATAGGTCAACACACAACCACTGAACCACACCAGCCAGGAATAAGTTTAAATTGTAGAATCCTAATCCCACCAAAGATTCCTCCATATTCCCCTTTATCTTTGTACTCAAATACATAAAGATTTTAAGCTCATAGAAAATAATATACTAACATACATACACAAATATCTTTCACATTTAAAAATATTTTAGACAACTTGAATTTAATATGAAAAGAATTACCTTCTATTCTACTTCTTATTGCTTACATATATCATCAAAAATACTTCTATATTTAAAGAGATAATCTTTCTATCTTTATGTATAGTTTTTATATCAAGGAAATACCAAGAAAAATAATTTCTCCCTATTTATTATTTAATAACTATTTGAAAATATTGGTTTTACATCTACTAAATGTGGTAGAGTTAAAGCCAAGAAGACAAATCCCTGTTTTGGAGGCATTTATGTAAAGATATATAGTGACAATATGTTGTATATTGACATAAAATATCTGCATACTTACTTGTGTTTCCTTCTCTGGCATAGACAGTAACTATGTAAATAGATGTTAAATAAGAAGGAGTGCTAGGGAAGGGAAGAAAGAAAATAGGGTATATATATCTAAGACTTGATTTATAGGGTGTTTTATTTAGTCAGATGGGAAGAGTTAAGGGAAAGCAAAATAGGTAAAGATGGAGGAAAATTCATTTACCTATATGATAAAAAACTATTTTAGAGAATGGACTGATTTTGCCCAGCCAGTGTTTCTCAATGGTTGAGCATCGACCTATGAACCAGGAGATCACGGTTCAGTTCCTGGTCAGTGCACATGCCCAGGTTGTGGGCTTGATCCCCTAGAGAAAGGAGTGCAGGAGGCAGCCGATAAATGATTCTCATCATTGATGTTTCTATCTCTCCCTCTCCTTTCCTCTCTGAAATCAATAAAAAATATTTTTTAAGTTATTTAAAGCCAAAACCGGTTTGGCTCAGTGGATAGGTCAGCTTAAAGCAGTACTGGAGATGTTTAGGAGTCAACTAAACATTGGCAACAGGAGTAGCAAGAGCTCTCACCTATTATCCTGCCACTGACGTTCTTCTGCAGCTCCTTGAAGAGAGGTCTGAACTGTTTCCGCACTGACTTCACGGTGTCTTCCAGGAAGTCCGTGAGGCTGGACCACGCCTGCAGCTTTGGTTCGCTGAAGTAGATGGAGGGCGGGGGCGCCCTTTCCCGCGGTTGCCCCAGCCAGTCACTGAGAACTGACATTATTTTCTCCTGTTATTATTGCAGACGTAAGCTTGGGTGAAACAATCCTACTTCTTATTTATAACCGTGTTTATATCAAGTTTATTATCCTTTCTCATTACAAAACTAAGATAGTCTGCTTTCAGAGATACAATTAGAAACTCAAAAAGACTACAATGAGCCCTAATCAGTTTGGCTCAGTGGATAGAGCATCAGCCTTCGGACTGAGGGTCCTGGGTTCGATTCTGATCAAGGGCATGTACCTTGGTTGCAGGCACATCCCTGAGAAGGGGTATGCAAGAAGCAGCTGATTGATATTTCTCTCTGATTGATGTTTCTAACTCTCTATCCCTCTTCCTCCCCCTCTGTAAAAAAAATCAATAAAATATATTTTTTTTAAAAGACTACAATGAATAATGGCAAACACCTATCTATTCTTTGATAGATAAGGTTGTCATTACGTTTGACATTAAAAATTAAATAGCTGCTGGATTTGTGCGTCGGGAAGTGAAGTAGGCATCTAAGTAAGAATATACTGTTTTATGTTTATATCCTCAAAATGAAAATACAGAGAAATCCACTCTGCCTGGCTTCCCCATCATGCCATCCAAAGTCCTCCGTGTCATAGCCAACCCTGTATCTTTCTTTCAAGCTGCTATCTCTATCTCTGCACGACTCTAGTGGGTGCTTATACACGTTTCTCTTCTTGAAAACCAGAATCTGAAGGATACAGTGCCATGTTAAATTTGATTTTCTTTCCTGAATAGATTTGTTTGACTCTCCTCCCATTAGCAACAGTACAATGACTGACATTTCTTTTTGAGAGTCAAATTTTTTAAACTTAAACTTCTTCTAACGCCACTTCTTCAAAATAGACTCGCCCAGACTGTGGTATTTTGTGGAAGAGCCATACTCAAGGGGCCAAAGAGCCGCATGTGTTTGCCGACCATGGTTCTAGACGGAGAATAGGAATAGTAGGGGAAAGAAGATGAACAGGAGGAAGAGGAGACTGAGGAGCGAAAAAGAAGAAAACTTGTTCTGTAAACGACAGTGTCTGCACCCTGCTCTGCTCTGCGAGGCAGATTCCTCTCTCCCCGGGGCCAAATATGTTATCATAATATAAACTACAGTTAACAAGTGACTTCTGTTACAAAACTCTACCAAGTCAATGTGCTTTCTGTTACATCATTTCCCGTACAAGTTCCCCAATTATGGCAGCTTTCCCATCTTCAAAGGCCCCTGGCATTTGGGACCAGAGTACAAAAGCTTTAAATATAGTTTCTGCATCACCCAAGCCTTCTTTGATAAGAGGCTGGGAATGTAAAAGGGGAGAATGATAAGCAAGCAAAGCAATTTGGTTGTCCTGTTGGTCAGCCAATGGTATGTTTTGATCCAATATCTTCAGCTTTCATATCTAAATGAATATTACACATTTTTGTGTGTATAATATCATTGACTGTTTTTCTTCTCAGATAATGTTACACCAATGAAACCTGAGCAAGCCCCTTCTTAATTATCTCTGTTCATTTTTTCAAATGAAACCATATCAATTGTATTTACTAAAAAACTATTCTTTGTATTCGTTATTTCTCTAGATCAGCAACTAAACATGCTTGCTTCACTGTTAAAGATGATGTTTTCAACTGAGTTTTATAAATGGTGGCTTGAAGCAAATATTTGCAAAAAACAATCCCCTTCTAAGTAAATGACTGAGTGCTGGGAAATGACAGTGTCAGAGAAGGAATGCAAGACAGTGGTTGGCTTCAGCCAGAACGAGTGTCCGTCAGAAGTGCTTCATCTTTGGCGATCCCCGAGTTAGTGTGTGGGTACGATGGCCCGTTCCCAAATACACTCACTGTGCTGGTAGGAGCCAGTTGCAATCCCAGCAGGGGCGGTAAAACACGTGCCGGTTAGCTGAGACAGCTGGGAAAGAACTTCTATTCCTGCCTCTGCACAGAAACACTTCCATTAGTTTACTCACAGGTTTTGCCAGGCAACAGTTAAGTGTTACTGAAGAGTGCTAATGAGCTGGCCAGGAAAAGCCATAGCAGCTCTTGTTCTCAATTCAGATCCCTTGTGGAATAGTTTATCAGCCTGTTACAGTCCACCCCTAAGAGCTGAAGTCCAAATACTTCATTTATGAGGACTGCACAACAGGGTGGAAAAGAGGGCATGGGGTCTGATCTGGGGCTTATTTTCAATCTGGAATACTCAGGCCACAGACAGAAAGTCCCAGTGTATTTTCTAAAATAGCGTGACACCAGGGAGAAGTCTCATTGTAAAGGGACAGATTTAAAACTGTTAAACACAGAATGGATACAATGGTCAAAATTTAGCACGGCATTAATTTCACTCCTTCAGTGCCCTGTATAGATTCAAGTATGCTCATTATCTTCATTGCTTTATGGTTCAACAGGGTTTATTACACATATCAAAATTTATCTAATTGTACATTTAAATATTGTATATCAATTATACCTTAACAAAGCTGTTTTAAAATTTTAACAATGCTCCCAAAAGATGATATTTAGGTGTTTGGGTAACTGGGCGAATGACAATATCTTAATTGAGGAATTCTGGGGAGGAGGAGGTCTGGGGCTAAACAGGTAACCAAGAGTTTGTTTTAGATATGCTAACTTTGAGAAGCTAGTAGAAATGCACAATATGAAGATGTCAAGTGGGAGCTAGATATGAGTCTGCAGCTCAGAGATATTGGATCTGGAAGCATATATTTGGGAGTGTCCAGCATATATTCTGAGTTTAGAGTCTTGGGAATAGATGAGACTGCCTAGGAAACAGGTGTAGTCATGGAAAAGGAGAGCCCGGATCCAGCCTGGGCACATGTAAGGATCTTGCTGAGGAGAATGAGAAGGTGTGGCTGAGGCAGGCAGGGGGACAACAAGCAGAGTGTGGTATTAGGGAAATCAAGAGAAGGAGAGTTTCAGGAATGTCCATCTGCATCAAGTGCTGCTAAGAAGTCAAAGCAAAGTGAGGACGGAGAAGGGACCACTGGATTTGGGCATGTGGAAGTCATTTATTTTCTTTCTAAAGCAATTTCAGTAGAGATAGAAAGAGACCACTTGTAGGAGCTTGAGGAGTGAGTGACAGGTAAGGAAGGTAGAGGCAATCAGCATAGAACAATGATTCTCAAAGTGTGGCCCTTGGATCAGCAGCAGCAACAGCAGCACCTGAAAATTCTCAGGCCCCGACCCAGACCTACAGAATCAGACATGCTAGGGTGGGCCCAGCAATGTGTATTTTAACAAGACCTTTAAAGGGTTAAAAAACGCACTAAAGTTTGAGAACCACTGGTATACTCAATTCAAAATGTGGTGAGGAAAAGTTTATGATCTCTCCTTCCTCTTTCTTTCTTTCTTTCTTTCTTTCTTTCTTTCTTTCTTTCTTTCTTTCTTTCTTTCTTTCTTTCTTTCTTTCTTTCTTTCTTTCCTTCCTTCCTTCCTTCCTTCCTTCCTTCCTTCCTTCCTTCCTTCCTTCCTTCCTTCCTTCCTTCCTTTCTTTCTTTCTTTCTTTCTTTCTTTCTTTCTTTCTTTCTTTCTTTCTTTCTTTCTTTCGGAGGGGGGGGGACAGGAGCTACTACAGGTGTTCCTGATTTAAAATGAATGATCTAATAAAGACAAGAGATTGAGGTTACCTGAGAAGATTGAAACATGGAAGTGAAGTCAGAAGGTGAAAGGCAGTGGGATACAGAGTCTAAACGGAATAGTGGAACTTGGATATGAACAGGGGTGCTTATTCCATTGTCAACAGAGGGGAAGACAGAGAATGAAGGTAAGAGGGAAGTGGTGGTGGATTTGGTGTTGGGAGGGAAATTAGGGAGTTTTCATAGGGAAGTCAAAGGTGAGGTCAGCAGCTGAGAGCATTGTTGGAGAGCTTGACTAGGGAGGAGAAGGGATGTAATAGTCATCTCCAAGAGTAGAAAAATGAATTTACCAGAAAATGTGGTAGGATTGCTTTTCAGTGCAGCAATCCCATTGGATATTTTTATCATTAAGTAAAGTTAGATCTATATGAACAGTTGTATCCCTTTATCCAACAATCTTCAGCTGTCTTAGTGCAAGCAGGCATAGATTTTGCAGATGGCTGTATTTTAACAGCACTGGGATTTAGCCAAATGATGGGGATTTCGCCAGGAAAAAGACAAACAGGTTCAGAGTCTTTGCAAGAGAGTAATATAATAATAAACCATTAGATCCAAGCATGGAAGCATAGTGATGGAGAGTGAAAATGTGAATATGGATTGGAGATCTTCAGGCAAAAAAATTGATAGAGTGGGAATACTTGGAGAGTGAAAATGTGAGAGTATGATTTGGAAGTGGGACTCAGAGAGACATATGCTTAAAATCCAAGATATCACAGGTGACACAGCTACAAGGGATTGGTGAAAAAGATGTTTTGGACTGAGAAGCCAGGGTCTTATGATTGAAACAGGGTCTTAATGGTTCATCCAAGTGGAAATTACATTTGACAAGTTTATGGATAGTTTTAGGGCCCAGAATAGTGATGGAAAATCTAGTGTTTGAGTGCCATTAAATTTCACTTGTGACAGTTTTATGTCACAAAACTATTGTTCTTTTCCTCTTTTGCCTTTGTTGTCTGCCTTTTAATAGTATATTTTCCTGCATCCTTTTTTCTCCTTCTCCAATGAGAAAATTGGCTTTGTTCTCTTTATAAAAAAAGGTAATACTAGTTTATTACAGAAAGTATAGGCAAATAAGATAAAAGAAAAGATATAGATTCTATTAGTATTTTGCTATATTTCCACATAGATTTTTCTATGCATAGTTGAAATTATATAATTCTAATAACTGTAAACATTTTGTACAATAACTTTTATTTCATTTTTTTAAACCCCGTTCCCATCCTTTGGTTTTTATCCTTTCCCCTGGTTGAAGCTTGACAGTGAAATTTGAAAATTTTAAAAACACACAGTTCTCTAAAGAATGGGTAATAAAACAATGTGAGAAAATTTAATTCCACATTCCCTCTTCCCTATTCTGGTTGGTAAATAAACAAACCCAGTGCCATGAATGCAGAGCTTTTATTTAACAGATAACCCAAAAGTGAATTTGATTTAATGTTTTAAAATGTCCCTTCAAGTACTGAAATCAACTTTGATACTAAATAAGTAGGCACTTAAACTTATATCAGCAACCACACTCACCTTCACAAAGCATCTCACTGTGTCTAGTGTTCTAATGGCAGGTATTTATATTGGTATGTATTTGTGTCATTGGAACTTTTGTTAGTTGGGTATTGCACAAGTCCAATAAGGTAAGATGCTACTACCCTAACACTCATGGAGGCTCGCAAGCTTGCCTAAGGCTACACAGCTGCAGTGCCCTGAGTGGGGTTCCAGTCCAGGCCCTTGTCACCAAGTTCAGGCTCACGCATCGCAGGTTCAGACACAGCAGGGAAAGCTTTCTCAGGTTGACTGATTACGGTTCCTGTGCTGGTCAGGCCCTTTCCCCGATGGTGTGCATGCTATGCTGATTTTACTGTGTTTTCCAGAAGAAATAAAAATAATGTTCCTGGCTGTCTCATGTCCCTACTGGCTATATTTCTACAGGAACAGGTTACTCTGACTACTAACCCCAATGCCCATTTCCTCTACATCCATGAGTATATGAAGTATAAAGCAAAAAAAAAGAAATAAAGAGTAAGTGTGACAGAATCATTAGAGGGTATGTCACAAATTCAGCAAACATCATCGTAAAGGAGGCATGACCACGATCTTTCAGAACTGACCTGATGCTCCCAGTGGTACGAAGAGGTCCACGTGACCCCCTTCTTCTTCAGGGGCCACGAAGCTTCCTAATTTCTCCCAGAAGTCTCTCACCTCGGGCCTCAATAAATTTTTAATACCAATTTTATAGCCTGAGGGGGGAAAATTGAAAAGCCACATCAATTTGTAACGCTATCATGAACAGAAAGAAACTCTTAGCAGTTTTGGAGAAATGGAACCACAACTCAAAAAGCCAACCTCTACTCCCAAGACCAATATTTGTATGGCACCTCTGCTCCAACGCCATGCCATGTTAAGGCCCCCAAAGGTCCCGCTGGACTTCAGCGTGGCCTGGTCTCCTTCCCATTCCGGATTTATTGGACACTGTGCACTCAGTTTAGGATGTTGTGTTTCTGCCTCCACTGTGTAGCCGCGTGAGTTACCAGGCTCACAACAGGGTTGAGAATGGATGGCCAGTCAAGTCCTGGAATTTTACAACCATGTTCCAATAGAAATATTTCCCACAGTTGTCAATCAAAAAATAACTTCTTCAGCCCTAGCCAGTTTGGTTCGATGAATAGAATAGAACATTGGCCTGTGGACCCAAGGGTCCGCTGAGTTCAATTTTGATCAAGGACACGCACCTTGGTTGCAGGCTCCTCCCTGGCCCGGACTCTGGTTGGGACGCATGCAGGAGGCAACCAATCAATGTGTTTCTCTCATATCTATATTTCTGTCTTTCCCTCTCTTTTCCACTCTCTCTAAAAGTCAATGGAAAAATATCCTCAGATGAGGATTTAAAAACTTAATTAAAAAAAAAAATTGTTCCAAGCAGAAGCAATGCTCCCGGAGGTGGAGCCCCCTCCCTGGGAATCTGTGTGATGACTCAGCTAAAGTGAGTGTGTCTGGACCCATTTCTGAACCAGTTCTGGAGGCTCTGCATTCCTGAACCCCAGAAACGTAATGCAAGTCAAGTCACTCACAGGAATCCTGCCGTCTAACTACATAAGCAAAGATCCTCTTCAGGTGACTGGACTAAGAGACGTCCTTCTGTTGTTGTTAAGGCAAAGGCATTTGGGAAAACACCACAGTTATATAGAAGGAAACTAGTTTTCTGAGATATTTTTGTTATTGTTACTATTGCTTTGATAAAAGAAAACAAAGAAAAGGCAGAGTTTGGAACCTTTTCTCATCTGGAGAACAAAAAAGCTCAGATCAGGAAACCCCACCGGGCTCTTTTGCTCCGGAGGAGGTGGACCAGCTACCGCAGTGTGAACTGGCACTTGCTACTTCTCCACCATTTAGAGAGGAGCCACCAAGTAATTAATCCTAAATTTAAACGCCAAATAGCAGCTGTGCTCAACTTTGGGGGATGTAAAAACTTAATGTGGAGCACAACTTGCTTCAGGCACAGGTAAACTAAACAAGAAAAGCCAAAAATAAGGCGAAACTGATCCAAAAGCAGTTAGTTTCTGCTAATAATAAAATTCACTGAAACTATTCCAAGTTGTAGACTTCCAGCCACAGAGATGATAGTTTGATGGGTGATTCAGGGACTTTGCCATTTAGTGAGATCCCTGCCAGCTGGATCCTTGGCCATCTCTCTCCTCTCATCCCACAAAGATGGAAGATTCCAAGTTAGCAAAACGTAAAACAATTCTATTTTAGGTATAAACAAGGAAGGATGCAAGTTATAGTATGAGGGAGAACTAAAAGTTTATTTCTAAAACATTTATCATCTCCTTCCCCCCAAAAAAAGGGAAACCATTGAAGTTTTTAAAAGATGGCCCATAACAAGTTAATGATATCAGCCAATCCCTTCCTTTGTGACATAGCCATTGGAAGTATAATGAATATTGTGAGTGCACACCAATGCATAGGTCTTGGTATTTGCTATTATTAAAATTGCTTAGCCGAAGCCAGTTTGGGTCAGTGGCTAGAGCGTCAGCCTGCAGACTGAAAGGCCCCAGGTTCGATTCTGGTCAAGGGCATGTACCTTGGTTGCAGGCACATCCCCAGTAGGGGGTGTGCAGGAGGCAGCTGGTTGATGTTTCTCTCTCGTCCATGTTTCTAACTTTCTATCCCTCTCTCTTCCTTTCTGTAAAAAATCAAGAAAACATATTTAAAAATAAAAAATTAATTGCTTAACTTTTATCAAACTTAAAACTTTTGTTCATCAAGTGATATAATCAGCAGAGTAAAAGGTAACTTACAAAATGGGAGAAAATATTTGCAAGTTATATATCTGATAAGAGGTTAATATTCCGACTATTTAAGAATGTCTACAAGTCAATAATAAAAAATCAAAGCCAAATTAAAAAATGGGCAAAGGCTTGAATAGACATTTCTCTAAAGAATTTATGCAAGTGATCAACAAGCATATGAAAAGATGCTCAACATTATCAGAGTAATGCAAATCAAAGCCACAATAGATATTATCTCATTCCCATTAGGATGGCTACTATGAAGGGAAAAAAATTAAAATTAAAAAAACACAGAAAATAACAAGTGTTGATGAGGATGTAAAGAAATTCAAACCCTTGTGCACTGATGATGGGATTGTAAAGCAGTGTAACCACTATGAAAAACAGCATAACGTTTTCTCAAAAAATTAAAAATAAAACTACCATATAATCCAACAAATTCTACTTCTGGGTATATATAAAGGAATTAAAAACAGGATCTCTAAGGTATATTTGTGTATTTATATTCTTAACAGCATTATTCACTATAGCCAAGAGGTGGAAGCAACCCAAGTGTTCATCAATGCAAGAATAAACAAAACGTAGTATATAGGTACAGAGGAATATTATTCAGCTTTTAAAAAAGGAAGAAAATCTTGTTACGTGCTACAATATGGATGAATCTTGAGGACATTATGTTAAATGAAACAGCCAGACGTAAGAAGTCATATACTGTATATGATTCCAATTATATGAGATATCTAAAATAGTCATGCTCATAGAAACAGGAAGTTGGATAGTAATGCCTGGGAGAGGAGGAAAAGGGAGTGTTGTTTAATGGTGTAATGGTTAAGTTTACTGGTCACTTTCCCCAGAAATCTGGCCAAGCATTAATCTGGGTGTTTGTGAGGGTAATTTGGGGTAACATTAACATCTGAATAGACAGACTGAGTAAAGCAGGTTCCCTAGTGTGGGTGGGCCTCATTAAATCAGGGGAAGGCCTGATTGCTCTGAGCTGGGTTATCAACCTTCTCTACAAATTGGAATTTCAATGGTACTCTGCAGGTCATACGCTGCCTGGGACAAATACCACACCAATGTAAAGTGGGTTGTTCTTTCCAGCCCCATCTTACCTTGGAGTAAATTGATTTCCCTGCTATCTCCGTCACTGAATATCCCCATGCTCTGTGCCTTCTGCCCACCCAGGGCTTTATCTGTGAGATACAGCAAGCTCTCCAAGGTCAGGCCACTGTATTCGTACACCACAGAAATGACACCTGCCCTAACACTGTCCACCACCATCTAGAAAATAAAACTGAAGCTGTAGAAACCAAATCCCATCACTTTACTGCTAATGTAAGGAATTGAATGAATTTGTAATTTGTGATTTGTAAAGACATTTTTTCAGAAATTATGGAAAGAGAAGGGCACGCTTTCTCCTTCACTGCAGTTTTTAAAAATCATTTTTTCTAACTATAAGAGAAAATTATATACATTTGTAGCTCCAGCACTCAGAAATAAATTCTATTATTTTCTTCCACGCATACACAGAGACCTATATATAACTTTTAAAAAATAATAAAATTGAGATCATTCAATTTTGCAACAGACCTCTTAAGTTTTTGTTTTCTTCTAAGTTATGAATTTAAAAAAAAAAAAAAACAGGAAGGGAGAGGGATAGATAGAAACATGGATGAATGAGAATTATTGATCAGCTGCCTCCTGCACGCCCCCTACTGGAGATCAAGCAGGTAACCTGGGCATGTGTCCTGACCAGGTATGGAACAGTGACCTTTTTGATCGTAGGTCAATGCTCAATGATTGAGCCACACTGGCCAGGCTGAATTTTTTAATTATAAATATTTTCTATTTAAATAAAAATTTAAAACGCTGTTCTTTTATAAAGAAGACAAATAGGAGAATGGACTTACTTTATACCTACTTATTCACCCATACCCTGTCACCATTAATCCTCTATGCCCAACTTGATGCACTTTTAAACAATTAAGGAAACTATCTGTGGCCCATGTGGAGCTCAAAACTCTGACCTTGTTCCCATGTGAACAGGCTCAGTGAGCCACTGTGAATGATCGAGGTCAATTTGATCTAGATGCCCAGATGCCCAGAAATAGAAGTGATTTCATATCTTGAAAACAAACATTTTGTTGTAAATAGAAATTTTGTTGGAAAACTTTAAGTAGGCCAATGGATATAACCTGCTAAATGTTATTGCTTACATATGTCTTGTGTGTGTGTTAATGTATATGTGTACTTCCTTTATTTTTTCTTATTCATATTAATTAAAATTAAAATATATCACTTCATTATAAGAAGAGCATATTTAATTTAAGGACACCCTCATCAAATAGATCGCAAAATTGGATTTCTGACATTTTTTTTTTTTTTGAGAGATGGTAGGTACATGATATTATTAAATTCCTTGGTATTCCAAAGAAGTTTTAAAATAATCTGTAATAACCTTGCTCTTTTGTGGTTTAAGTGCAACAAATTCAATTCAATAAGAATTTATTGGATATCTACTAACACAGGCAGTTTAGGCTCTTTAAAAAATAATTTTAATTTATGGTTATCTTTACTGCTTCTCATTTTTAAAACTGTCTTGGGCCTGTAAATTCCCACTTAGATCAGGCCAATTTTCTTTTAGATGAATCATTATCACACACATGGTGGCCAAAGGATTGCCATACAATTTCTAATGTCAGTGAAAACACTTGATTCCGGAAAGACCTGGCCTTCCCGCCCTGTACCTCATACGCAGGAATCCGAGACGATATTAACATGAAGTGTGTCTGGAAAGCATCCGAAGGGCTATTGTCGTTTTTTAAAACTCCACGCCAATTTTCCCTTGAGAATGAAGGGTAGGAATGTCTTCCAAAAGCATTACTTCTGTAGGGGGAAGGGGAAAAAAGGGAAGTTCTCATTTTCTCTCTCCTAAATATATATATATTTGCCAAAGCCGGTTTGGCTCAGTGGTAGAGCGTCGGTCTGCGGACTGAAAGGTCCTGGGTTCGATTACGGTCAAGGGCATGTACATTGGTTGCAGGCACATCCCCGGTGAGGGGTGTGCAAGAGGCAGATGGTTGATGTTTCTCTCTCATTGATGTTTCTAACTCTATCCCTCTCTCTTCCTCTCTGTAAAAAAATCAATAAAATATATTTTAAAAAAAAAATATATATATATATAAATGTTTATTGATTTCTAGAGCGAGGAAGGGGAAGAGAGAAACATTGCATGCGCCCTGTCCAGGGTTGAATCTGCAACTCTAGGTGTGTGCCCCACCGGGGATTTGAACCTGCCATCCCTTGGGGTGGGAATGATGCTCTAACCAACTAAGCCACTCTGGCCAGGGCTCCTTTTCTCTTAGTGTGATTTTGATAGTATGTTCTCTGTGGTCGCCAGCTATATTGTATACAAGACAAGTGGCCTCAGTACTTCCGTTTCTCCCTGTAGTTTGGGAACAAAAGCAAATAGGTCTGGGCAAGCTGGGGCCAGAGCTGCTCCATTACTTAGGGGTTCGAGGGGACATTCTGAAAAGGGGCAGCTGGGAGATTTTATATTTCCTTAATCATCCAGGCCTCACGGTGTTCCCAGTGATGTCTCCCTTCTCTCCAGTCACTCCCACCCCTACATTACCACCGGAATATGCTTAAGCCCTACAACACACACACACACACACACACACACACACACACACACACACACACACACACATATATATTTGTTCAGTAACTTTATACAGAAAATATACTATACCCACCATGTGGCCTCTTTATAGAAAGCATGCTAAAGACCACTGTTATCCTAGCCAATTTGGCTCAGTGAATAGAGCAGCCCTCAGACTGAATGGTCCTGGGTTCAAATCCAGTCAAAGGCATGTACCTGAGTTTCAGGCTCGATCCCCGACCCTCATCAGGGCGTGTGCTGGAGGCAACCAATGGATGTGTTTCTCTAGTATCAATGTTTCTCTCTTTGTGTCTCTCCCCCTCCCTTCCACTCTCTAAAAATCAATGGGAAAACATCAGGTGAGGATTAACAACAACAAAAAAAGATAACTGTTCTTGCCATATCAAAGGATAAGAGCCATATAATGGTGAGAGGTCCTGCATGTTAGCTAGATTATTCTAGAATTGGTATCAGGGGATGGTCCTGAGCAGCTGGAGTAGGCGGAGGTTTGCTTACCGCTTGGGCAAAGCTTCTAAGGAAGCCAAAGCAAGCTGTTTCTCCAAAGCTTCATGTAATCCCACTCGGTCCCTCACAGTGTGGGGGAGACGTGGTTGGCATCGGGATTTGAACGATCTGGAGCAGCGTGTTCCGCTCACCCAGGGGGGTCGCACTCGGAATAACTCCTCTGAAAAACAAACAGCAGCCGGCTTGGCTGTTGATTGCATGCTTCTCCCAGCCAAGACTCCATAGATAAAGGCATAAAAAATAAAGCTGTCCCACGGCAGTGTTCCAAACGGCAATCATTTTAGCCACTTTTATGGACTCTGTTTGGATTTCTTATCCTGTCAGCACTGTGGCTGCAAGTTCCCAGTCGTTTGAGGTCAAGAAACAAAGCTCAGAGAACAAGCAACTCTTTTTCTTGTGGAAGCCAGTTAATTTATAGGCCCCTATCCATTTCTGCCTTTCTTCTGAGCTTCCAACAATTTCCCATTTGTGACAATCTCACAGAGGGTGAGTCAAGAAAAAGCAAAAACAGGAGAACTCAATTCAGCTTTGTCCATTAACTTTACACACAAATCAGAAGGCTTAGCTGAACGTGTGTCTTGTCCCAACTCCCTTTCCACTTAAAAAAAAAAAAAAAAAAAAAAAGCCATTCTTCCTATGTTCATTCCCTTTTCATTTCTCCGCCCTTTTCAACAATCCAAATTCTTCTGATCTGTCCTGAACCTATTTATGTGCTTTTGCCTGTGTTTGTACTTCTCTCTCCTCATCTTTGGTCTTATAACTAAAAGAAAAACTAGGATAGCAATCGAGGTGCTGATAATTGACCATATATTATATAATCCATCTGAAATCTTTTTGGCTTATTCATGAACTTGAAATAGAGTGAGGAGAAAAAGAGCTTGTTCTGAACATACTTCAGAGGATGCCATCCACATGCTGTTCCAGAAAGATTGCGCTATCCTCCTTTGTGGCAAGTTGTATGTAAGCCCATTGGTTTCTACAACACTTGTTATGATGTGAAGTTTTAAATGCTACTCACTCTTACGCAGTGCAATCTTCCCCCAAATTAGTTTCCTTAGGCACTTTTCTCTGTGTCTCTCCTGTAGCTCCTCGTCGCCTGCTTTGGGTTCATTCAGGGTCCCATAAACAGCAGCAGCTTCCCTAGGTGTCAGCCAGTCTAAGCTGCACACACAAGCAATGTAATGGTGCTTCCAAGCTCCGTACTCATGATCTGTTGGCAAATAGGGCAGAAACCACCCCAGCTTGATGCATTTGGGCATCCATATGCAATCCTTCGGAGAAAGAAGCGAGAACGATGAGTTGTGAGTTTTTTTAAAGGTCAGTTTCTTAGTAATAATGCTTTCAGGTACACAAATAATATTTTTTTAATACTTTCAGATTTCCAGTGCAGTTTATTTGCCATCTAATCTTGATGCTGAGAAATAAGAAACATTCATTTCTCCATAGCAAAACATCCTTTGATTATGTATGAATATACACTGAGTGGCCAGATTATTATGATCTTTGAACGCATAATAATCTGGCTGCTCAGTATATATATTTTAGAGGTCCGGTGCATGAATTCACCCTAGAGGGTCAAACTCGAAATAACTCCTCTAAAAAACAAACAGCAGTGTGGTCCAGCCAGCCTGGCCAGGGGCAAGGAACATAGGAGGTTGGCCAGCCTGCCTGCTGGTGGGCTGATCAAGGGGACAATTTGCATATTAGCCTTTTATCATATAGGATATCATAATAATCTGGCCACTCGAGTATATGTATTAGTTATCTTGATCCACACATCTAGTGCCCCATAGCATTTGGTTACTTTAAGGCTAGATTCTGGGACTTCTGCCTCTAGCAATGATATAGTTGTTTGTTTCGAACCAATCCTCCCACAGAGAACAACTTTGATTGAACCATATGATATTGCCAGTGTGCAACCAGTTTTGATATATGAAAACAGCAGATTTCATGTGGTTGAATCTTATTAAGTATCTTGACAAAATACTATACAACAATTATTTGAAGACATTGTAGAGCTACCAGTGCAATGAGGACCTGAGCAGCCAGAGAGAAGCCTGATCCTGAGCACCACTCTCACCTCAGGATGTTTGACGGCTCCACAGTGAAGTTCAGGCTGACAAGCTGAGCAGAAAGCTACGAGTGAAAGACTCAGAAGCTGTGAAGACCTCTAGACATTCTCACAGGGAGGAGAGGAAACAAATTTAAATTTAGAGCCCACTAAGGGGAGGAACCCCGATAACCACACAGGCTTTCAATTGAGATTCTTTTCAGCAAAGACAATGAGGAATTGGGTGAACTATCACCGGGACTGAAGCTGGCTTTGAAACAGCTCATTCTCTGATTGATTTCAGGCATCTGCTCCTAGCCAAACCAAATGCCAGAGCCAACAGCAAATTCTTTCTGGAGGTAGATAATATCATCCAGAGACTCAAATTATCACATTAACTACTTATACTCAGTATGTGGTATTCAATCAAAAATAGCAGGCACACAAAAAGACAATTATTCATTTTTTTCTTTTGTATTTGAGTAAGTAGAAAGAGACCCTCAGGAGATCCAGATGTTCTAATTATCAGATATAAACTTAAAAAAAAAATGACCTATACTTAATATGTCTAAGAAATGAAATAGCTAGGTGGAAAATTTTGGCAAGATAATCAAATCAACATTCTAGACCTGAAAAGTATAACTAAAATTTAGAACTCGATGGACCAGTTTAAGAGCAAATTAGAATCCAGTTAAAGAGGTAATTCGTCAACTAAATGACAGGCCAGAAGAAAAGTCCAGACTGAAACACCGACAGCCAAAAGGAAGGAAAAGACATATGATAAAATGTGAAACTTATGGGATAAGTATTGGAATCCCACAAGGAAAAGAGAGAAAATGGGGCAGAAGCAATATATAAAGAGATAGCATCTGAGAACTTTTCAAAATGGATAAAGGACATTAAATCTCAGATTCAAAAATCACTGCAAAGCACAAAACAGGATAAATGTACAAACACACACACAGACACAAACACTAGGTACATTATGATAAAATTACACAAAACAAAAGAGAGAAAAAGATATAGCAGCTAGAGAAAATAGAAATATTACCTTTAAAGGAACAACTATAAAATTTCCTACTCCTCAAAAAATAGTTGTAGAAGCCAGAGAACAATGGCAAAATATCATATACTACAAACAATTCACTGCCAACCTAAAGTTCAAATTTCCAATGACACTAGCCTTTAATTATGAATCTGAAAAGATACTTTTTTAAAAATAAAAACTGAGAAAATTTGTCATCAGCAAGTTGCATAAAATGAAATATTAAAGAGAATTCAGAAGGAAAATGACCCCAAGTGGAAATTCAGAGATGTAGGACGTTAGGAAGAGCAACAACAACAAAAAGTGAATATGTTGTTACCCATAAATATTGACTATATAAAAAATATTAATAACGGGGGTGCAGGGGTTGGTGAAAAAGGTGAAGGGATTAAGAAGTACAAATTGGTAGTTACAGAACAGACACAGACATGTACATTACAACATAAGGAATTAGTCAATAATAACTATGTATGGTGCCAGGTAGATATTAGAATTACAGGGGGGCTACTCTGTAAAGTCCATGATTGTCTAAACACTATGCTGTACACGTGTAACTGATACTCAATAACATTGAATATAACTGTAATTGAAAAATAATAATTAAATAAAGTTTTGTGAGGTTAACATATATTCAAGTGTTTGTATCTTTTACATATGTTTAAATATATATAAAATCATAGATGACATTAGAATATCTGACAACAAAAGCATAGAAACATAGGGGGGCGAGAAGGATGGCGTTAAAGGATTCTAAGCTCTTTGCATTCTCTCATAAGTGGGTAAATAATCCTAGCATGAGTGCTGTAACCGCTCGGGTAGCCATGAAAGAACTCCTGAAGAATTCATCATTAACAATAAAAATAAATAAATATTTAAGTACTCCAAAAGAAGACAAGGAGAAATATGAAATAGAAAACACATGGAATAAACAAAAAATAAATAGTAAAATGGTAGAGTTAGGCCCAAATATATCAGTATTTACATAAATATAAACAGACCAAATTAGCCCCACTAAAAGTCAAAGACCACTAAATGTTAAACAACAGCCACAACCACCATATTCTGTTTATAAGACATATTTTTTTAAACATAAGGACACAGAAAGGTTGAAAATAGAAAGACAGAGAACAATTTGCTATGCAAACACTAAGCCTGGACTTTTTTGCAGCAATAAGTCCAGGGCTCACAGTGGCTCTTGCATGTGGCCCCATCGCAGAGAGCAAGGTGTTCTCTGGGATCAGAATCTAGCACATGCCACCTGGGAAGTGTGTACAGGTTCAAGAAGTAAGTTATTGACTTGTTTTTAAAGTATGTCCCCATTACATCCTATTAAGCCTTTTTTTTAAAAAATGAAGGAACAAATAGGCCAGAGGCAGGCTTGTCTTCTTTATAGATAGTAGCCAAAGAGAGCTCAGTTGAAGTTGTGAATTATCATGGATAAAATAATCTATAATAATAAAACCGTAATATGCAAATCAACCGAATGGCCGAAGAGCAGAATGACTGTCAGGATGACCACACTACGACACTCACTGGCGCCAGGCCAGCCAAGGTGTGTGTGATGTGACTGGTTGAGGGGCCCCCCGCCATCACCCCATGATCACCCTGTAGACAGAGGGAGACCCAGGCCATCAACTGGTGGGCTGTGGCAGGTTGGGGCGCCAGCCAGGTGGACAGGGCCTCCCTCTGTGGGGCAACTGATTGCTGGGCTCCCAGACTATAAGAGGGCACTGGCCGGGGTAAGGGACTTCCCTCCCCTCCATCCCCAAGTGCACGAATTTCATTCATCAGGCCTCTAGTACTACATAAAAACTAAAGCTTAAATAATTTTAGGAAAGAATGGACTTTTTTAGCCAAGGTAAAATATTTTCTAAATATTTGAGTACTTAAAAATTATTATAATCACATGAATTATTAGAATAATGTATAGCTGTTACTTACAAAATAAAGTAATGTACTTATTATTTTTTTTTCTTACGGATAGGTTAAGTATGTGTCAGATACCCCTATTTATCTTTGAGAAGAAAGTTACCCAGTAGCCTCATTAGAGATGACTGTTGTATTTGAACCCTAACTAAGAAGTAACAAGTAGTACACCTGTTCAGTTAAAAACTTCCAGGGCCAGCTGACTTGTGCGGCTGCACACAAATCTTTCGGGCTCAGAAAGGAAAAGATGTAGAGAGAAATGAAGCGTGGTAACACTGTGGAGAAGTCCACTTTGGCCACTTGCATCCTTTCTGAAAACTGATCGTGGACAAACCTAAGAAGAAAGAGGCAGAAATTTAGTTCAGAACACTAATATCCATGAACTGTACAAAACAGAACAACTTTTAAATTGAGTGTAAAATTATTGATACTTTTCTTATATTATTACCTTTTAGGTTTGTATGATTTATAGCAATAGTGTAAAATTATTGATACTTTTCTTATATTATTACCTTTTAGGTTTGTATGATTTATAGCAATAGCCTCTTTTTTATTCCTGATATTGGATAATTTGTGTTTTCTCTCTTTTTTCTTTGCTACTCAGTGTGTCAACTTCGTTATTTTTTTTAAAACAGCTTTTGTTTTTGTAGATTTTTTAAAAATTTTCGTTTTCTATTTATTTATTTTTACTATTCATTATTTTTTTCCCTTCTACTTGCTTTGGGTAAAATTTGTTATTTTTTCTAATGTTTTTTTTTTTTAAATGTAATACTGTTTATTTAGGTTCAAAAATATTTCAGCACTCTTAAGTATATAAAAGTTTAAAAAAAAGTATATAAAAGCAAAAAAAAAACAAAACAAACAAAAAAAAAAACAAAAAAAAAACATTCCTAATTGTGTTTTAGTACAGAAGGTTCTTGAACTTTCATTGATGCAGTGAGTCTTGACTTTGCTGAAAATGAAGAGTTGTACAGTTTGTTTAAGGACAAACAGTTTAAAACTACCACACTTAACTAAAAACGACACAAACTCTTCTCATGCCAGCTGACCCCCCTTTTCAGAGCTGGAATAGCAGTGTTGTGTCACTATGAACAAAAACGGGACAACCTGAAGTTAAACGGATGCCCACTGCAGTGTCCCTGGTCCACTCTTCACAGCATCGATGCCAAGCAAAGAGCATCAAGAGCTTGTCTCTATTGTTTTGTTCTTTTTACAAACTATGGATATAGTTAACTCAGAACTTCTAGCCAATAAACAAATAGTTAGCACCGTCTTTCAGATTTAAAAAAAAAGAAAGAAAGAAAATGCCAGAAACATCTTTAAATGCATTATCACATCAACAGCAAAGTGCACAGAGTGAGAACACAAGTGCCTTTTCATTTAAAAATGTTTGGAAATATGTACAACTTTGATATAGTTCAAGGATACTCCGGATACCCACGGCCACTTCATGTAAACCACTGACAATCTCTAGGGTACTTTAAGAGACTCCGTATGATCATGATCCAACTGTGTGCTTAATCCTAATGTGGGCAACAGACCCTTCTCAAATAGAATTGTGTCAGTTATGGTGCTCCCCTATTCTAAGGTATTCATAACGAGACAGATAACACAGCTTTTTAAACTTCTTCTCCCTCTTCCTCTTCATCCTCCTTCTCCTCCTTCTCCTCATTTCTTCACTTCCGTGTTATTTGAAAATAAGTCCAAGACATCATATTTTATCTATAAACATTTCAGTGTGTATACTAAATAATGAGAACATAAAAAACATATTATTTAATATTATCATACCTAAAGAAATTCAATAATTTCTTAGTGTGAGAGCTATAAAGAAAACTTTTTATATGACATCCATCAAGAAAAACTTCTTACACTGCATTTCAAGCTCCCTAAGCACAGATCTTGAATAAAGACAAAATCTAAGGCCCTATCAAAGTGATCATCTTGGGACTATAGAGGCCAAAGAGACATTTGACAGCCTATGAAAGATGCATTGCTGCTGGCCCTACAGCCACCAACTATAAAAACAACAAAAATGACTGTCCTTTTTAGATATTAGCATAAACTTCTGCTACAGTCCCAAGCTACCAGATGGGGACTGTAGCGGAAGAATCTCTAGAGTAAGAAAGTTTGGGAGCAATCTAGGTACCAGTAAATCAAACTCTTCACTGGGACTTCTCATCTCCTCCAAACTTCATGGAATTACAGACATTTGTGACCAGTCTCACAGCTGATTGGAAACTTTGGCAATAAAAAGCCGCCAAAACTCATTTACCTCAGGCCATTGACACTAGAACATTTTCTCTCTGCTAAGGCGTTACTGCTGCCCTGTTACTGGGTCCTAACGGACAGATGAACTCACTGCAAGAAAAGTCATGACTCTGAACAGATCTCATTCTGCCGTGGGTCTTCTCTGACCTACATTCCCACAGAGTGGGTCAAGCCTCAGAAAGTTTCCAAGTGAAATGAAAATGGCGCCTCCAGTTAGGGACAAAAAGACCTTGGCTATATTCATGAACAACTTGCTGAACATCCACTAGACCCAGAGAGAGTCTTGACCAGGAATTGACCCAAACTGCTGGCTTAGCTAAAGCCTCATCTACATACAAGTCATAAGAGGAGGGCAAATTCTACCTTGCAACAGAACACCAGCTCACACATGTAGAAGGAACTAGATTAGAAAATCACCACTTGGTAGCTATCGTAGTAATAAATGCTTCAGATAAGAATCACCAATGGATGCAGCAAGTAAGTTTGATGAGAAATAGGATATTTGCATAGATTCAAATATTTTTAATTCATTTCAAAGTAATCACTCCACTACTTTTTAGTTATTACAAAATACTTCATAATTAGTACAAAATACTTCCTAGTACTAATTAGTACAAAATACTTCATAATTAGTCGTCTAAATTAAGAAATATTGTAAAAATAGTATAAATAATTTATTTAGGAAAGGACAAATGGACATGGTTGGCCCCGATGTGGTCCACTGAGAACACAGCATTGCTTCTGTGTTCTTCCTGCCAAGAATGTAATGCCCTGGATCTGATCTTGAGGAAATGTCAGCCAACCACAAACTGAAGGTCATTCAACAAAGTCACACATCTGTGCTCTTCAAGTGTTAAGAAAAAAACAAGGAAACACTGAGCAGTGAAAGGTGGCTAGAGAGACATAAAAATTAAATGCCATCGGTGGCCATGGATTGGATTCTGGAATGAGAAGGAAAGGATGATTATAAGGAGGAACATTGCTGGAAAAATCAGGAATACTGAGTGGAATCTATGAGTTGGATGGTCGTGCTTAATAAATGCTGATTTCCTGGTAGTGGAGGATGTACTTGATTTTCACACATTGTCCTTGGTTTCAGGACTTACTGAAATGCATAGGGTTAGTGGGGAACATGTTTACAACCTACTCCCAAATGATTTGGAATAATATGGCCAAAGAAAAAGTAAAATGTTAACAACTGAGGAATCCAGATGAACAGTGTAAATAAATTATTTATACTATTTGTGCAATGTTTCTGTAAGTTAAAAGTTATTGCAAGACAAAAAGGACTTTAAAAAAAAAAAAAGGAAGAAGCTACCTGCTTTTGTTCCAAGGTTTAGTGATTGCCAATTATTGTGTGTGTTTCTACTCCCCTGGCTTTATTTTTAGTCCCTGCTCTCTCTCCATTCCTGTCCGTGCAGCTTTGTCACAACCTGAGACAAAACAGAGTGGCTTTAAAATGAACCTGTTGGCATGTCAGTCTGGGGAAAGCACGTGCATGCATGTGCATGTACATGTCATGTAAGCAGGAGGGCGAAGAATGGAGTGGTGCATGTTCTGCAGCATCTAGTGTCCACAGACAGAAATGTCACTTGGAGAATCTTCTCAGTATTGATAGAGATTAATATTCAGGCTGAACAAGACTATGCCCGCACCAAGAACAGTTAACCCAAATGGATCACTGATCTAACGCCTCACTGTCTGAGGCAGGCTTCTCCGTCACTTCACTGGCTCTTGACAGACAATTTGCTCTCATTTGGAATTACAAAACTCACCCATCCAATACGATGCAAAACAGAATGTCTTCAGCCTCCTTTTCAAAGAGGGACTCAGTACCTTTGGAGTTTTTGTTCCCATCCCCTTCACCCCCACAGCCTCTCCCAATTCATACCAGCAGAGTAAACGGGAAGAATTGAGTTACTTTTTAAAGAAAATCCCAATTACACATGTTTTATTGATGTTTCCCAGTCTGTGCTTCTGCTACAAGGACACATTCAAGCATAATGAATGAATCTTAAGCAAGAAGGAAAGAAAATGCTTCAGTCACATTTAAGAAACCAGTGCATGAGCAGCAGAACAGGGCGAGTTTGCAGCAATGACACCGTGGCTTGTTGCAATTTAGTTTGCATGGCAAAGTAATAAATCTGTGAAGAGAAATCACAACATGTAAGGAGACAATGAACAAAATGTGCTTTGCTCATTTATTCTGACAAGGATAGCTTCTTTTAAATAATTCATACTAATGCTCTGCAGTGTGCTACTAGATGTACAATGTGTACTTTGCAAAAATAACAAGGCTTTAGTAATATGGAGCTTGAATTGAATTCTCTGCTCTTAAATTCCTGATAAGAAGTGGAAAGAAGCTGCCAAAACTGTGATGAAAGTGACTGGGGGAACAGCTTGGGGAGGGGGCCTGGAGAGGGGCGAGTGGGTTAGGTAGAGGTACCCGTCTTCCAGCTACACCTCTTGAGTCTTGTGACTTTACAAACACTCTGTGGCATGGGGAGGGTCTGTAGGAGATGGGTTTCCATGTGCGTTCCAGTGACACATAGAATAATGACTGGGATTGAGGTACAGAGGAAATGAAGAACCAAGTGCCAAAGTCTTCAGCAATTAAGGGAGCAACCATAAGTTTGTTCTTTATATCTTAATCTGTTTCTGTTTTGTTTGTTGTTTGTTTTTTGTTGTTGTTGTTGTTGTTGTTTTAGATTCCACATATAAATGAAATCATGTGGTATTTGTCTTTCTCTGTCTGACTTATTTCCATTAGCTTAATACTATCTAGATTCATCAATGTTGTTGCAAATGGCAATACTTCACTCCTTTATAATGCTGAGTAATAGTGCATTGTATATATGTACCACAGCTTTATTTATCTATTCATCTATTGATGGACAAATAAGTTGCATCCATATCTTATTTTAAATAATCTTAGAGAATTTTAAATAATTCTGCAGTGAATATGGGGATGTGTATATCTTTTCAAATCAGTGTTTTTGTTTTCTTCAGGTAAACACCCAGAAGCAAAATTGCTGGGTTGCAAGAAGTATTTATTAAATGGAT